ATGCAAGAGAGAGTTGTATAATATGTAAGAGAGAGTTGTACAGCATGTAAGGGAGAGAGTTGTACAATATGTAAGAGAGAGTTGTACAATATGCAAGAGAGAGTTGTACAATATGCAAGAGAGAGTTGTACAATATGTAAGAGAGTTGTACACTATGCAAGAGAGTTGTACAATATGTAAGAGAGTTGTACAATATGTAAGAGAGAGTTGTACAATATATAAGAAAGAGTTGTACAGCATGTACGGGAGAGAGTTGTACAGTATGTAAGAGAGTTGTACACTATGCAAGAGAGAGTTGTACACTATGTAAGAGAGTTGTACAATGTTGTACAATATGTAAGAGAAAGTTTGTAAGAGAGAGAGTTGTACAGTATGTAAGAGAGTTGTACACTATGTAAGACAGGGACAGAATCAGAAAACACACCTGGAATCTACATTGGACTCTGATTTTAGCGGAGATTGGGGAAAGGATTGTATCACTTCTATTTCTGAAAGAGAAACAAATGAACCAAACTCAATTAAGTAACCTCATACAGAGTGGACTACCAAGTCTATATTCATTCTAAAACTCATCCGTTTGACTTGAGCTGTTAAAATGAGTCCTTACAATTTGACCTGCAGCTATCAATGGCCGTCTATTGATTGGTTCAGAATACCCGGTGGACTCACAACAAAGTGTTCAATGGAATCACCCTCGGGAAATGCGTAGTTTTCTTAAGTGGAAATAAGCATCTTTACATCGATAAGTTCAGAATTGTGAACGATCAGCGAGTGGCCTTTACTCGGGATGACTATCCTTCTTGCTTGACGAAGTCTGTGGATTAATCTATAATACTGCTTGGAAACGTAGCCCTGAGACGTGGAATCCCAATACACAGACTACACAAACATAGTTAGTTCAACGGCAGAGGGACGCTACTTACTGGACAGCTCACAGTTTCACTTGGGTATAGTCCCTGTCAGTACTGTCCACGATTATAGGATCACCACATAGCGTGAAAAGTGAGACAAATGTTTATCTGGGCAGTCTGTAATTATATGAACCACAGTTAAGTGTTGGTGGGAAGTAACCATGGGTATTGACCACCACACACTCAAGGAAGACAGTTCGAGATTTGGACACGCTAGACAACCGGGTAGACAGATAATAATAGTTTCTGAGTAATGATATCTAACTGAAACAGATATATTAGTAATTATAGGAATACGAGCCGCGATGCCCTGTAGCTCACCTGACTTTTAAAGAAACATATTTTGAAACTTAAACCTTTTTTGTTACCAACAGCTATAGAAGTTAGGGAAAGATTGATCGTTGAAGACAGCGACGTTGAGAGTAAATAGTGATGCCTTGATCGAATTTTGATATTCATGTTGTCATTGCATATACACAAAGTGTAAACCATATACTGTCTGTAAATGTGGATATTTTAAATGAGTGATATGAACAAGCTGATACGTCATCACAATCAAGAACCCGCATACCTATTTCAGCGTCATCACTCAAGCAACATCAGAGAACATATTTAAGAATACACAATGCCATTTAGGACTTGGCCAAATGTAACACGTTATATTTGGGATTACACTTTCTCAGTAAAGTACAGATTCAAGTACGTTTGTTGGACACAAAGTCGAGTGAGTGGCTGAGTGGGTTAGAAGGCTGACTTTGTGTGATGCAGCCTGACTCTGAGAGTGTGGGTTCGATTCCCGGATGGGGCTAGAATCTGTACTTCACTGAGAAAGTGTAATCCTAAATATAACGTGTTAGATATTTAAGAGCATGATAAACCAAAGCAACGGCTTGTTTTAATTGACCTGCAAGGGGTATCTGACAAACTAGCCAAAACACACTGGTAAACACGCTGGCCTGTCGCCCGGGGACGGTTAGGGAGTGTCGCCGGAACTTGGATCCTCTATCTAGACACTGGACCATCCCACCAACAGACTCTCTGGGCGTTGAACCTACGGGGTTTTTCAGATGGTTTCATTTCCTATTCCTCTTCGATGTGGACAGATAAGTTGTTGACATGGGTGCAGACTGGTGTGAGATTGGGTCTAACATACGCTCATTTCAGTTTGGGACCTATCTATTTGCATTGCGCATGACATCATGTTCAGTGTGGTGACACACGCGACTGTGCTGTTAGGGTTGAATCAGTCTCCAAATTCATAATTGCGCCGCACGTGGAACACGCGATAGGACTCACTACTAACCACATATATGCAAGGTGTCATTACCTTTAGAAACAAGATGGCTGATATATGTAGTAACATTGGGACAATAGGGATAACTGAAGTCCAGGTTGAGTTGGATCAAAATCAAACTGGAAAAAATCGTTTTACTCCGAAAACCAAGTACTTGGTGAGGATGAGCAACGTCACATGCAGGAACGGCGGAGTTATGTCTCAAAATGACGTTCTTGTCGGAGTGGTTATCATGTATGGTATGAATCACATTTTTTAATCCAAGGAGCTCTTTTCAGAGAGACCATGATCAGGCGAGGCGAGGCGAGGTTCACATGGCTGGGGACGTGAAGTAAAACGGGACTGAATGTCGTGGATTACAGCACATCTACTGGACATGCTGGTGTCGGTCTGGTGCTGGTGTTATGGCGCTAGAACACTGATATAGGCTGCTGCACTTTAACAGATTCCTTATCATTTAATAAGTACATTGCACAATAATATATGCTGACGTGGTAAAACTGACACTTCCAATGTCCGCGACATGGCCAATCACATCCGAGTTATGTCAGCACGGGACACCATCGGGAAAATAACTGCAGAAGTTAACGACGTTGTGACGCACTGACAACACGCCTCCACCTTCAGTCAGGTGAGCTGAAAAATCATATATAGTTTGAAATTTGGTTTCATTCTTGTGTCACAGTGAGGTAGTTTATAGCATCAGAAACAGGAGATAATCATCAGGCAATTAACCTGTGTTGGCATAGATGAAACAGCTGTCCGATACACCTCCCCTTCGGACTTGTGGCCAGCCCATACAACGTCACGTTCATACGTCTATCCCATACAACGTCAAGTTCATACGTCAATCACACACACAAGGTCAAGCCCATACAACGTCAATCTCATACGTCAAGCCCCTACAACGTCAAGCTCACACGTCAATCCTATACAAGGTCAAGCTCATGCATCAACCCCATACAAGGTCAAGCCCATACAACGTCAAGCCCATTCAACGTCAAGGTCATACGTCGATCCCATACAAGGTCAAGCTCACACGTCAATCCTTTACAAGGTCAAACCCATACAACACTAGGCCCATACTAAGTCACGTACATACAGCATACAGCCCGTATTTAGCATGATAATCATAACAGATACACCATTTTCAGATTTATCAGTTTTATTCAGTTTTGACAGAGAGCTGATACTGTCTCTTCAACCAGAATGACTTTTACTCAATATTGAAAACAAGTGAATACACAGTGAAAGACAAGATACGGCAGCTAATGTACACCTGTCAGCTTCAACCTCTAATGTGATGCTTATATTTATACAGACCAATTCTTAGGCATCCTGAGACACTTTGCATTATTCCTTGAGATTTAAAGTTTCCTAATCTCCTATCCAATGAACTTATGGTTAGCCTAAGTATCTTATATTCACCAGTTAATAATTGAGATCTAAACTGTTCTATCATGCTAATACAAATCAATATAGATCAATAATAAAAGTACACTGTTTAAATGCCTTGTAATATAAAAATATTGATATTGTACAGATCACATAGACAAACACTATATCCATTGCATAGTGGTGGTTAGGAGTGGCCACTGGACTCATGGAGGTATGTGTAACAGCAATACAACCACTACAGCAGCAGGCTCTTGTCCAGCTCCTAGGACAGTGATTCACAGCCTTGACCAGCCATTCACATAGACAACCATGCCAAGTTATAACCTGTCATGAAACAAGAAGTGACCAGTTGTTTTCAGAGACTGTATCTTAACAATAACTGGAGCTGCATGTGCAACTTTCCTGAGATTACACCTCTCACACTTACGATATACTTCACAATGAAGTTACTTCTACTTACATACATGCTTCTACTCACACAAATTACACACAAAATCTACAAAAGTATGATTATTTGACAAAACCAACTTAAGTGTTGTCTATTGTCTCAAGATCTATTATTAGTTGGCTAAAGTTGACAGTACACTACAGGATACACCTGCCCACTAGACAGTACACACCACGTGGTGCGTGCATCCGTGATGTACACACCACGTGCTGCGTGTATCCGTGACGTACACACAACATGCTGCATGTATCCGTAACGTACACACCACGTGGTGCATGTATCCGTGACATACACACCACGTGCTGCGTGTATCCGTGACGTACACACCACGTGCTGCGTCTATCTGTGACGTACACACCACGTGGTGCGTGTATCTGTGACGTAGCTAACTTAGAGTGTTTCTATTCCTGGACTGCTGACACTTTCACAGTTGTCTTCATGTAAACATTCTCATTACAGAAAAAGATGTTTCATGAAAATAAGCTTGATTATGCTTGAGTGATGAATACATAAGGAAATTACTATTTTAAAAGACCCTGTATTTGCTGTGTGATGAAACATTAAAACAAAACACGTTACCATGCCCTTCCCATGATGCTGTTGCCGATGTCAGCACCTGGCTTATCTTAAGTTGCGTATTGCTGTAATTCATGTCAGGAACAAAACACTTCTGTGCATAGTCGCAACATCACAAATGTCATATTACTTTAACATTTTGCATTAACAAACAAGTGCAGGAATTTGGCATTCATGAAAAAACAAACAAGTTGACTCCAGAACAGTGAAAGACACAGAAGCATCTGATGTGAACATCTCCTCCAGTACACACCCTGGTGTCACTATGTACCCTGATGTGACCCGGTCAACACCACTAGGACTACACTGGAATCTCCTCCAGTACACACCCTGGTGTCACTCAACACCCTGGTGTCACTCCAGTACACACCCTGGTGTCACTATGTACCCTGATGTGACCCGGTCAACACCACAAGGACTACACTGGACCCCGGACCTGCATATGTCCACCACACATCAGTCAGGCTTGGCCAGGGTCTGTGAGGTTATACAAGCCGAGTCCAGAGTAGCCATGCTGGACAGAGGTCCAGTCTAGAGTGGTAGTTGTGGACCAGATATGTGAATTTGTTGTAGATATTGGACGGATGAATCTGGTCTGCGTATGAAGATCAGTATGTATCACAGACATTGCTAATTGAATTACGTGAATAATGTATAAGTAATGGTCACTGTAAAGCAGATCTCTCCATTCCTACAGCTACATGCTGCCACAAGAGGACATATATACATCGGACTCCAGCCCCTCATTCTCTCTACACCTGTCATGATGCTGCCACAAGAGGACATATATACATCTGACTCCAGCCACTTCTCCAGCCCCTCATTCTCTCTACACCTATCATGATCACCAGTCCCACTGAAGCATAATGTGCCATTCAAAGGTAGAAACTTCAAGCCCATATAAACAAATCTACATAAATTGTTTGATTATAATCAAGGGAACAACAATTTAAAACTCTCAAATGCAATGTTTTCTACCTCAGACCTATGCCACAGTACTGCAGTCTATTTACTGACGGGTTATATTTAGCAACCAAACACCCCATACAGTTACCGGAATGTAAACAACGGAGATGATAAATGCTCACTTTCAGATCAGTGACATGCTCACTCACATATATGTACATGACGCATAACAATTCATTTGGTATAAAACAAATGGTACAATATGTTACAATTATTTAGGTAAAATGTGTATGTGTTATAAAAAATAAATAGTCTCTATATACAGGAATGTTGCTGCCAGCCAGATAGACAGGCAGTTGTGCAGCTAGCTGCTTGTGTATCACAGTGATGAGGATGCTGCAGCTGTTGCTGCTGGAGATGCTGTGTTCAGCGGGAAGGGGCACATGACTAAATAGTTCAATAAACACTTTGTATTTGGTTGGAATGTCCTCAAAGACCTTGTTATGGTCAGAATATAACGAGAGTGCTACTGACAGGTGGGAGGAGGGGAATTAAAATGTAACTAGCATAACACAGCAGTAGCAGCAGCAGCAGCAGGAACAGCTTGACAATGTCATGGCACTCTCGTCAGTGTAAGTTAAAACAGTACATTGATCTTGACACGAACATGAAGGACTGCTGTGTATTTGCACATGAGAACTTTCCATGGTCCTGTGTTGAACCAGCGTTTACTGAGCTGGAGCTGTTGCTAGTCACAGGCCTTCTTTCATCACCATCCTGTGAAGGGAACAGACCATAATTAATATGCAAATAAAATAATCAGTTGACAAAAAAGCACAAAGTAAACTCTTCCTATTTCAATTTTCTGATATGATCATCATAAAAACAGATCAGGTTAAATATTTCTGTTGTGTTGTTATAGATACAAGGATCAGTTTTCAGCAGGGCTGGCTATTGATACAGATCAATAACTGCTAAGTGATTATTAATCAATTTTCATTAAATATCGGAAAAGAAAGTTTGAGCAAAAATGAAAAAAAGAACCTGAAAAACAAATCCACATATTTTACATCAGTTGTGAGTGGTGACATATGTAAGCTTGGATTACTAACAAAACCTAACATCCTGAACATAATTTATAATTTAGAAGCAGCCCAGTTAAGAAAGATCCGACTTTGTGTAATGTGTGAATACATTAATACTTCATCACAGTAATTTATGTATGATATTATCGATGGCACAATTTAAAGATTGATTATCTAAAATAATTTTTTCGATATTTTCGATGATGAATCTTTTAAGACAGCTCTAGTTTTCACAGAGACAGAAGTTTATTACCACATGAGGTACATTAAACACACAAAATACAAGAAGACAGCACATCTAGTGTATTGTCTGAGGAAGTCAAGTTACTCTACAAGCAACACATGCCTCCAGCACTTCTACAACATGATGTCAGTGGTAAGAAATGCTAGGAAACAATACAGATAAACTGAAAATGTTAATGAAACCAGTACTGCTTGCATAAAAGGGAATATAAATATGTTCAGAGCAAATTGCATAAAGATTTCAGAGATTTAAAAATGATTTGGAAACAGTCCTGGAAAAATCTGATTACTTCCTATGGAAAGTTGTTGCGTGAGCAATTTGATATTCCTGTGTTACATGTAGACTGGCCAACCTATTCCACTTCCATACTCAGAAGGAATTTTGAGAGACAGTTAGGACACATGGTTCCTTGTATCTGGCCTCATATACTAACATGGCTTCACAATTTCATCAACTTTCTACAGAAACCAGTTTTGAGACCCGCTGTGGATGAATGTACAAAAATGACCTTGACTCACACAAACAGTTATTCCAAAGAGTTATCACCATTTCACACTTGTACATGATGTGGGCTGGCACACAGCAATCATACAACCCAATCTTCTGTCTACTTGCCATACTTGTCATATATTTCTCAAAATATTTTGCTAATGCTGTTTTAATCAAACTTAAAATATGCATAGTTTCAGATGGAGTGAAAAACCCCATTCAAAGAGTGTTAGTTTAGTTGTCACATGTGTGTGTGTGTGTGTGTGTTTGGTTACCCTGACCATGATGTGACTGGAAGCTGGCGGTTGAAAGCAGACACAAGATAATACATGTATGTATAACTGGCAAAATACAAAAATATGAATACCACTAAACTAGCATCACCCGAACCACAAATGGACACGACAGAACATACAGAACACCTGGTGTTGTACAGTGCAGATAGATCGTACAGAACATCAAGGGGAAATACATCAAGCTTTTTGGGAGCTAAGGGAGAAGTACACGACACTTTCTATGTGTCATTTATCAAAGGGGAAATACACAAACAGCTTTCATAATGTGACTTAATTTGAACACTTTCCAATGATTTTCACTCTAACAGTTTCATATGAAAGATTACAACAAAGCGACATCCCACTGTAGAATTCCCAGGTTACTGTACACGATGTATCAACAGGAAGAGGGAGGGAGCATCTGTACCACCTGCAGTGTCCCCATCACTACAACACAGACAAGTTACCTGTCTTGGACCGGGTCAGTCTACACCTGGCAAATAAAACATACAATTGAGTGCAGAGCATGGAAAGAACATGATTGCTGCCGCTGTGCACCAAGCAAGGGTACAAGCCACGGGTGGATGTACTAACTGTGGGGTAAGTGTAGATAGGGCAGGTTGCAGGACATTCTCACACACCCAGGGTAATCTCTCCAATGCTGCTCCAACTAAAACCTTCACCCCTCACGTCATCACAAAGTAATATGCACCAAACAAATGTTGATTGACTATTTACTTGTAGTGTCTTACCAAATCAGTAGAAGATGAATGCTTCATCTGTTACCCCCAAAAAACCTCCTCACTATCATGGAGTGGATGTACGGAACTATTTCTGCGTTGATCCAGAAACAGTCACCAAGTAACATCTTAACATTCTCCTGCCCAATAAGATCACAAACTGTCCAAATGTACACCACATGGACAGGTATAATGTGGTAACATTACTTAGGCATGATTCCTATCTGTGGATTCAGGTACTAACTGAATCAGCATGGAGACCCCCCCTAGGTGTGAGGGTGAGTTCAGAGGGTGGCGAGGCAACTCACCATCCCCACTCCGTGTGCGAATCTGGCCTGTGTGGATGTCATACTTGAGACTGTTGTAGAAGTTAAAATTGAGGTTTCCTTCATCATTTGAAGGAGTCCTGTAAGATCAGGGCAGGTTAGTGCATTTCAGTAACTGATCATGCTTAATTTCATTGAGCACATTGTTCTATACATGTGAAATACAAACTGCTGACCATTGGTGGTAGCTAATTACTTCGTCATATAAACAATTCCAGATCTCACAACAACATGTTTGTATCTCACAAGTATTATTTTCTGTACATAATTACACAGTTGAAGGTCATTAACCCGTACACCTCTTAACAGTCTCTGGATATATCCTGATGTTTGGCCTCCACATTACAAGACATGAGACAGCATTACATGACATTACATGACATTACATGACATTACATGACATTGACTATGAGGGTGTTGCTGTGAAGCTACGAGGCACACACACACAGGAGGGGGAGAAGGCTGGGACGTCGTACCTGGCTAGTCTGTGTGCTGGAGTCATCTTCCTTCCTCCTGCTGGCTGGATGGGGGGTTTGGGGGTGAATGTCTGTTTCCCAGGCTTCACCTCTGCAGGCTGAGCATAGTTAAGCGTCCTCTGAGCAGCGTGAGCCTGAGCAACCATTGCCTGGTGCTTAGCCTTACTCTGCTCAAGAAGCGCTTTGCTCTGCTCCATGAGCCTCTGCTGTTTGACGGACTGCTGCTGTGCCAGGTGATACTGCCGGCTGTTGGAGGAGGGGTTCTGGTAGTTCTGGGGCTGGACACCGGTCACCTGGCTGTACGCGGTCATCAGGTCACTCTGCCACTGAGCACCAGGATCGTCAATGAAACTGTTAAATGTTGCATTAGCATTGTCCATGTTAATATTAGTCTGCCTGTGTTTGCCGGTCATCTGGTGGTCTGTACGAAGCCGGTTGGACCCAGAAGATGAGGATGGGCGAGATCGAATTATTTGTTCCTCCATTGTTAAATATCTTTGTAGTGGCTGGACAGCGTCCTGTCTGCGGCTAGGCTGCTGTGACATTATGCTGGAGGAACTCCCACTAAGTTCACCTCCATTCAGTAAATAGTCACTGTTTTGTCTGGAGTGTGTGGCACTGCCTGGCCGGCTGCCAGTAGGGGTACCGAGAGGGTGGATGAGTTGGTCTGGCTGAAGGGCACTGGTGCCATTGAAGGCTGAGTACTGACGGGCTTGTTGTCGGACAGCTAAACGCTGCAGAGCGTCATGGATTGCCTGCTCATTGTAGGTGTCTGTAGACAAGAGCATGATCATCAGCCAACATACATGGATACAACTCATAGCTCAGCTTTATACTGCAAGATTTACACAGTAAGTTTTACAGAGCATTTATGTAACATGTTATACACAGCAAGTTTTACATAGCATTTACAGTACAACCAGAAATTATTGAGAATTTAAAGATTGTAATTTTTTTTAAAAATTACACTCATTACTCACATTTTAAATGTGAATATTAGCTGAACATAACTCCAGATTCAAAGACAGGTGAACAGTTAGTATTTTGTCAAGTCACCATGGGCAGCAATGCAGGCTTCAAGTCCATGCTGTCCCAATAACGGACCACTTCTTCTTTCATTTCAGCAATATTTGTCAGATTTTTTTTATTGACACTTTCCTTCATAAGTTCTGTTGGATTAGGTCAGGGCTATAGCTTGGCCAATCTAATAATGTCATATTTTGGGTCCGAAACCAGGCCTGTGAATGCTTTGAATGATGTTTTGGGTCGTTGTCCTGCGAATATCTGTGTACCGCTCACTGTTCATATTCCCTTCAAATACACAGAGAGGCGTTCCCCCTAACACAGATATGCCACCCTACACGTTAAATTTCGGACTGTACTTTGGGCGCTGATACAAAGGTTTTTCAGTTTGTTTGGTCCAGAATTTCAGGGTTTAGGAAACAGCCACACAGAACTTTCATCTGAGAAAATCACATTGTCCCAGTTAAAATTTCTATGCTGTAATGTAATTTTTGGAGTAAAATTGATATTTTATACTTATCCTGACTCATGCTCTTTTTGCTTGTCTTCTTCTTCTTGCGAACATAGTGGAACACTTGTATCTCCCTAATTGAAGCTCCCTTCAATTTAAAATCACTAATTAGTATTCACCACGAGTTACCTCCTTTCCACAAGCTGGCGGGGAGCAGAGAGCCACCCTCTACCCATGTGCCTCACTCTCTCCTCATATACTGAGCCCAACATTTGAATTTACAGGAAATCCAAAGTGTTATTTGGGGAGGATGGGAGGGCTGACCTCATGAGTCAGGATAAGTATAAAATATCAATTTTACTCCAAAATTACATATTTTTCCTTATCCTGACTCATGCTCTTGCTTGTAGCATCCTACAGCGGAGGTGGGAATATCTAATACTTTGGATTTTTAATAATTAGTGATTTGAACTGTGATGATTGTAATAACCCTATGGGAACTTCATAAAGGCACTGAATTGATGAATTCCTGCTGCTAACTTATCAGCTGCCATATAAAGGTTATTACCATGTACTTATTATGATAAAGTATATATAACATTAATACAATGCTTAAGACTAATAGACTTAAGCTTGTTAATATGCTAGTATAAACTCCTTAGAGTTTGTTAGCTAAAATACTTTAAGATATAACATAGTACTAAGCTTAAGATATGATTAAACTTAAGCTAATTATATAATAGCAAACTCTTTAGAGTTTGTTAGTTAATATACTTATATGATATAGATATAATGCTGAGCTTAAGATATGAATAAGCTTTAGCTACATATATAATAGCAAAAACTCTGTAGAGTTTGTTAGCTAATATATTTTTATAATATGAGTATAGTACTGTGCTTAAGCTATAATTAACTTAAGCTACATATATAATAGCCAAACTCTGTAGAGTTTGTTAGCTAATATATTTTTATAATATGAGTATAGTACTGTGCTTAAGCTATAATTAACTTAAGCTACATATATAATAGCCAAACTCTGTAGAGTTTGTTAGCTAATATATATTTATAATATTAGTATAGTACTGAGCTTAAGATATAATTAACTTAAGCTACATATATATAGCAAAACTCTGTAGGGTTTTGTTAGCTAATATATTTTTACAATATGAGTATAGTAGTGTGCTTAAGATATAATTAACTTAAGCTACATATATAATAGCAAAACTCCGTAGAGTTTGTTAGCTAATATATTTTACAATATGAGTATAGTAGTGTGCTTAAGATATAATGAACTTAAGCAACATATATAATAGCAGAACTCCGTAGAGTTTGTTAGCTAATATATTTTACAATATGAGTATAGTATTGTGCTTAAGATATTATTAACTTAAGCTACATATATAATAGCCAAAAAACTCTGTAGAGTTTATTAGCTAATATGTTTATAGTGTAACCATAGTACTAAGCTTATAGTACTGAGCTTAAGTTATGATGAAACTTAAGCTATATATATATAATAACAAAACTCCATTAGAGTTTTGTTAGCTATCTGCTATAATGTAACCATACTGCTTAAGATATGATGAAAACTTAAGCTAATTGTATAATAAGTGAAAACAACCCTTTAGAGTTTGTTAGCTATGATATAAACCTAGTATTGAGCTTATGAAGGAAAACTTAAGCTACATATATAATAGCAAGAACTCCGTAGAGTTTGTTAGCTAATACATGTTATAATGTAACTATAAAGCTTAAAATATGATGAAACTTAAGCGAAATATATAATAGCAAAACCCTCTTTTAGAGTTTTGATAGCTAATATACCTATATGATATAAACATAGTACTGCGCTTAAGATATGAATAAGCTTAAGTTACATATATAATAGCTAAAACTCTGTAGAGTTTGTTAGCTAATACATGTTATAATATAACCATATTGCTTAGAAATATGATGATACTTAAGCCAAATAGCAAAAAACTCTTTAGAGTTTGTTAGCTAATCTACTTATATGATATAAACATAGTACTAAGCTTAAGATATGAATAAGCTTAAGCTACCTATATAATAGCAAAACTCCTTAGAGTTTGTTAGCCAATATATTTTAATAATATGAGTATAGTACTATGCTTAAGGTATAATTAGCTTAAGTTACCTATATAATAGTAAAACTCCGTAGAGTTTGTTAGCTTAATTAACTTAAGCTATGTATAAAATAGCCAAAAACTCTGTAGAGTTTGTTAGCTGATGCATTTATCATGTAACCATAATATTACTCTTAAGATATGAATAACTTAAGGTAAATATATATAATAACAAACTCTGTAGAGTTGTTAACTTATATATTGTATGATGTAATAATCATAGTACTGTGATGATAAAAGGAACTTAAGTAAATTATATATAGCATGAAGCTATTTAGTATTGTTATAAGATAAGTAAAATCTGTTAGATTGACTTATCTTCTCGAGAACTGTCAGCTGTTGTGCGAGGACCATGGGATCGAATTGGTGTATACCTGAGGCGTCCTCGGTGGTGATATCTCTCAGATAATGGTTTGCAACCACCATATCGGATCTCAGAAATAAACCCTCCAATATTTCAATCACATTTGTGTGGAACAATTGTAGAAGTTAAGCTATAATATCATGAGTATTAAGCTCATGGAGGGTCGGAATAGGTCCATCCGCATATGCCGTAGTATGACAGTTCTGATCCAAATGGAGATATAGTACATGAGACTTCTCTCTGCGTAAGTTGATGATAGAGGAAATAATCTGTTGCATTTTTACTCCTGTTTGGTTTGGTGGAGATAAATTTACAGTGCTCTTGCTGGCCATCTTGATAGAATCATCGTATCATGGGGTCCAAGTATGTCATCAGGCGTGTTCATAAACCTCACTTGTGAGGTGTTGGAACACTATATTCATATCCCAGGTTGGGCGTGAAATTTCCGTTTATTCTCCAAACAGAAGTTTAGTAGGTTTACTAACCATCTAGTTGTGTTAGTTAAGCTTGATGAAATTCAGCTGTAGTCTGAAGCGCTGTGGATTTAGATCCACTTGTATCTTTCGTCTAGGTAATTAAGCTGCGAAGTCCTTGGCGATGTAGGTGCACAACCAGGTGTGTCTGTCCTCGTTGAACTTTATGTAAAATCGCCTGACTGCCGATCCCTCGTCTTAACTTGACAGGGGAGGTCTCTATCTTGAAGAAAGGCAGTCTAATCATGAATGTTCAGGTTAACTGGACTGTAATGAGGCTTGCTCGTTCACTGATATATAGTTGTCACTTGTGGCGTAAGTCTTGAACTGTGAATAGAGATCGACCTCTGTGTAGGTCGTTGTCCCTCATGGTCCAATCAGAACAAGGCATTTTGATTCTGTATAATACCAGCTGTGATGTCACCGGTGTAGCGGGGAAAAACCCACCTTGAATAAATTCTTGTCGTCGTTGATATTAGCATAAGCGTCGGTCTTCACCGTAGCTTCGAAGTTATCCGGTGACCACGTGTTTGAGGGTTAATGGTAACCGTTGCGAAACCTCCGGCGTATGAAATATCTCGCTCTGTAATTTTATGCTGGGTAGGTTATTTTCCTGGTTGTCGTGAAAGTAATTTCAGTTTTGAATATAATTCCGACTTCCTTATATATAAGGGTATAAACAACTTGCAAGTTGTGAGCTTGTAGACTGTATACATGAATGTATCGTCATAATTGTAGAATTAACGTTGAACTTGTTGTACATATTTCTTCTCAGAAACTTTGGCGATTAAGAGTTATACTCGCTGTAACAAGGCTGCTGTTCAATTTCGATATTGAATTGTCTGCAGATATGCGTAATGGTCGCATGTAGATAATCGTATCGTCGTCGGGATTGTATATTAGCAATTTATACGGAATAGTTGATTTCTGTGAAGATCTATGAAATGTCGTTGACTAATAATACAGCGGCGTTCTGTGTTGTAAATAGCCTGAGCAATTATCTTGGCGTAGGCTTATAGGCGGCATCTGGCATACAGTTGATAATCAACTTATGCGGCGTCTTGAACGGACTGACGAGTAGCTATATATGGCGAGTGGCTAGTATATGGAAACCTTGGAGGAGACTTCCTCGGTGAGCGCCGGAGACTTCGCGAAGTTCTCGAAGTATCCCTTCTAGATCTTCTGGGTGAAGTAGACTTGGAGCCACTTAGCCTTAGCGACCATCGCGAAGGTGTCGAGAATCAAAGCCCGATTAGTATATATATATATATATATATATAATATATATATATGGCGCTTGTTTCGTGAACAGCCTCTGTGTTTAACAGGATGTGGGATCGGCGGCGCTTGCCTAAGTATGGCGCATGGATCATCTTATCATATTCAGAAGTCGTGTTACGAAGTCTGGTGATAAGTGTCTAATTGATCGTTCTAGATCTATTTAGGCCAGCGAACATACGTCTCGTCATGGATTCAACAGAACCAATATCACGATTGTAGTTCTTATACTTGATATCGATGATCAACTTGTCTATGGGTTGATCTTCTCGGAGACTTGTGAGGAGCGTTGATAGTTTCGCGAAGCTCTTGTATAGTCCCTCGATGTCCTTCTAGATGATGATGATCTGGATTCAGGTGTCCTTGGCGCATGCCTTAGCGAAGCTTCCTCTGCGTCGGTCGGAGAGCGGCGATATGACCTTCAGCGAAGGCTTCCGTGATGTCTGATGGTCGAGTCCACATCTAGGGATGAAACCGCATAAGGTGATGATCTATCCTGCCTTAGCGAAGTCCTTCGCGAAGGCTGTATCTAGGTTCTTTCGCCTCGCCGCGAAGGCTGTACATCTAGGTCCTTTCGCCTTCGCGAAGGCCTTAGCGAAAGGCTGTACATCTAGGTCGCCGTCAAGGTGGTCCGTGACTTCCGCCAGCGAAGGTGACATCGTCCTGGCTGCTACGTTGGACGGGGGTGCCTCTGGGGTGCTGTCTACGTTGGAGCCTTCGCGAAAACTTCGGACCCTGCTACCGCAGATATTGGTCCTCCATGATGTTCATAATTTGTCGCATCATGTCTTCTGGGATGGTCTGCGGCGAGGTCGTCGGTGCTTTATCTGCGGTGTTAATGGAGGGTCCACGGAAAATCGTCCGACATCAGTGTAGAGGCATCAGGCTGCATGGTGATCTCTGCTGATGTCGTTGTAGCTAATCCCGGTCGTTTCTTGTGGCGTGCGTCGGGGATGATGATCAGCTGATCATCGTAGAGGTCCAGGTCATCGGCTGGAACAATCTCGGTTGAAAGTCCTAGTAGACCGTTGATTTTCCCTCAGAGGTCGGCGCTGCCCTGGGTGTGCGGCGTCTGCGTTGAGTGTTGGTAATGATGGGACCCTCAGGGCGATCATCGCATATCTGCGTTGGTACATCAGGCTGCATGCTGATCTGTGCCGACATCGGTCAATCTTTGATGTACATCGGTATGATGACCGGCTGATCATCATACAGGCCCAAAACCGATGGGAGCGGTCTCGGTTGTTGAGATGTAGTAGAAAAACCCTCTAGTCTTCTGCTGCGGCGATGGGATGTCTGGGAAGCAGAATGCTTCTTGGAGATGGCGGACTCGTCCCACACCTCTCCACCACTCTAGCGGAACACCACACGGGAGAGTCGGCCAACAGCAGTAGACTGGCGAGGGTTCCGTGTATCAGTCATACTAGACTCTGCTGCATCGCGACCTATCTGCTGTGCGTGCCAAGCGCAAAGTAAATATTAATAAAGAGGTAGAATTGGATAAATTAGTACCGCAACTGCAATGTGAATATAATAAACATGGCGCCGTACATCATATTAAAGGTGGATCAGCAGCAGCATAAAAGCGTAATCTGCAATAGTACAGAATTTTCATCAGCGTAATCCACTGAAACAAACACGGCGTCCGTGAATAAACTGTAGAAAAGCGACTAAATATCAATATATAATCGTTGAAGGATACTAGCTAAACCTCTATAGATGTCTATCACGAGGTAACTAACTAAATATAATCAAAGGATATAGTGTGTCGGGAGACACAGAGCTCTCACGTCCAGCTCACTGGAAGAAGAAGGAGAGAGAGAGGCACATGGGTAGAGGTGAAGCCCTCGTTCAGCTTGTGGAAAGGAGGTAACTTCGTGGTGAATACTAATTAGTGATTTTAAATTGAAGGGAGCTTCAATTAGGGAGATACAAGTGTTCCACTATGTTGCAGAAGAAGAAGAAGACAAGCAAAAGAGCATGAGTCAGGATAAGGAAAAAGCTACATTCACATACGGTATGAAGGTTCACAATCAACTTAGGACAGTACAGCATGTTTTATATTCACCCTCTCCATCCAATAACTGAAATCTCAGACTAAATATTGACAAAAATGGAAACAGAACCATGTATGAACTCTGTACACAGCAGTGGTCGACATGCAGTAGACATATTGAGGCGGATTTCAGACAAATATGTTAGTCTTTGATACATGCCAGTACATATCCCCGTACTGGAAACAGGGCAACTTACCAACACTGGGTTCTGACATACCAGAAACACACAATAACTTACTCACAGTGAATTCTGATGTACCACAAGGACACATACCTTACTCACAGTGAATTCTGATGTACCACAAGGACACAATAACTTACTCACAGTGAATTCTGACAAACCAGAAACACACAATAACTTACCCACTGTGAATTCTGATGTACCACAAGGACACAATAACTTACTCACAGTGAATTCTGATGTACCACAAGGACACAATAACTTACTCACAGTGAATTCTGATGTACCACAAGGACACAATACCTTACTCACAGTGAATTCTGATGTACCACAAGGACACAATACCTTACTCACAGTGAATTCTGATGTACCACAAGGACACAATACCTTACTCACAGTGAATTCTGATGTACCACAAGGACACAATAACTTACTCACAGTGAATTCTGATGTACCACAAGGACACAATACCTTACTCACAGTGAATTCTGACATACCAGAAACACACAATAACTTACCCACTGTGAATTCTGATGTACCACAAGGACACAATACCTTACTCACAGTGAATTCTGACATACCAGAAACACACAATAACTTACTCAAAGTGAATTCTGATGTACCACAAGGACACAATAACTTACTCACAGTGAATTCTTACATACCAGAAACACACAATAACTTACCCACTGTGAATTCTGATGTACCACAAGGACACAATACCTTACTCACAGTGAATTCTGATGTACCACAAGGACACAATAACTTACTCACAGTGAATTCTGACATACCAGAAACACACAATAACTTACCCACAGTGAATTCTGATGTACCACAAGGACACAATAACTTACTCACAGTGAATTCTGATGTACCACAAGGACACAATACCTTACTCACAGTGAATTCTGATGTACATCAAGGACACAATAACTTACTCACAGTGAATTCTGATGTACCACAAGGACACAATAACTTACTCACAGTGAATTCTGTTTACCACAAGGACACAATAACTTACTCACAGTGAATTCTGATGTACCACAAGGACACAATACCTTACTCACAGTGAATTCTGATGTACATCAAGGACACAATAACTTACTCACAGTGAATTCTGATGTACCACAAGGACACAATAACTTACTCACAGTGAATTCTGTTTACCAGGACACAATAACTTACCAACTGTGGATTCTGACCTATCAGCAGGACATAATACTTTACCAACACTAAATTCTGACATACAAAGACAAACTTACCAACTGTGGGTTCTGAAGTGGTGTAAGACGATGCTGATGAAGGCCGGGATTGTACTGAGGCTGATGATGGTCGAGCAAAGGGCGGCCGGCCACCTGGGTTAGTTGAAGACTAGGTTAAAGACTACATTCACACAGTCTACACAATACTGTATTGGTTACATGTGTCAGACGACAGGAGAATGATACCAGTACCATGATCATATGCTCATGAATTTCTTAATTTTATTGATGCCAATGTCAGCTTCTTAGCTGTTTTCTATTTTTTACTAGATATTTTACACAGCATATGTCACACGTAAAAAGCATTTATGAAAAGTAAGTATTTAGGTGTTTGGTTGTTCTATTTGTTTATTTGTTACTTAACACAGCACTCAGCATATTCCAGCTATATGGCTATATAAGTATAACTGAGTCTGGACCAGACAATCCAGTGATCAACATCATGAGCATCAATCTACACAATTGGGATATGATGACATGTGTCAACCAAGTCAGCGAGTTTGACCACCAAATCATGTTAATCGCCTCTTATGACAAGCAAAGGTTGCTGAAGATCACTTCTACCCCAGATCTTCATGGGTAAAGTATCTTAGTGAGTGTTGTTGAATGAGGTGTTGAAATCTGACAGCCTTCACTAGTGAAACAGAAATGATCAGGGACTATACTGAGTTCATGGAAATATTACATAGAGTGAAATGTGTTGCTATGTAAGTCCTCCATCTACTACTGAGCTCTGGGCCCAGTTTCACAAAGCAGAAGTAGTTTCCATTCTTTTACATAGGCTCACAGTCATCACGTCGACACTTAGACTGCTTTGTGAATCGGTGTCTGCACCATGTTCCCCTCCATGTTAATCTACCTACACAAACAGTGAGTTGGTCTGCTACACTAGTCTGCTGTCCTAGTCTGTGCTTACCTTTACAAAACTCACCATACACATTAGGAACATATGTAAAAGGGATGGTCTGAACATAAACCTCTGCAATAAATAGACCAAACAATACAGAAACGTGGTCCGCAAGCAGTTCTACACAAGCAGGAAGCAATCTGAAGCCCAACTACTTTGGTCTAGTGTGTGAGCAGGTTTCACTTTAACACCACCTTTCACAGTGATTCGTTATATCATGGTTTGACAGCATACTGTGACAGGTCTCCCACCTCCACCACTTCGGTGAAACACAAGAGCACAGGTACAGTGATGATAAACATAGAACATACTCAGGCCATTCAGGATTTGAAACCATGATCATAGGTCTATGTGTTTCCAAGGGATGAAATAATGGTCCAAATAAAATTGCTACATTACAAACAAAATGATGCAAGAGGCAAGTTGGGACCTGCAGATCTATGCCATGCCATCATCGGGTAGTGTAATATAAAACCTTCTGCCTTGACCATAGTTGTTACAGTCAGGAGAACATGAATACAACACAGGGAAGGCAAAATACATGTGAACATAATTAGAAATATAATACCATTTAAAATATCCTACTAAAGTTTACAAACTGAATTTTCAGATCTAAAAGTGAGAAATCAACTTCTCTCTGCTAAAATGCAATAAAAACCTCAAGTTGACAATGTTCTTTCTAACAGCCAACAAGCACTGCTAAGGAATCTACTACAGCTAGAAGCAGAAGAACCCAAAGGCCTAAAACTGAAAGGAAAACAAATGAGTTTTATATCTAAGTCTAATCTAACTTCCCACTTCACAATGTAGGTTCTTTTAGGGGATTCTCACATCACAATGAAGTTCACACTAGGGGATTTCCCACTTCAAAACTAAAGTTATATTAGGGAATGTCCTATTTCACAATGTAGGTCAAACTAGGGGATTTCCCATTTCACAATGTAGGTCAAACTAGCGGATTTCTCAGATAGGTAACAGAATGTAGGTAAAACATTCTAGGTCATGACTGTTAGATTCGTGGATTTCCTACTTCACAACATAATCTATAGTTGATTTACATGAGTTGTGTGGTCAGATTGTGAACATCATTCTTAGCACATCTGCAACATTAGAAGCCTCACCAGACAGTGCATCTGTTGTGAGTGATGATAGGGGAGTACCTGTTTTGTGATTGCTGACAATAGCAGACCTTGGTCGTGTCAGTTTCTGGCTGTATATGGACACAGCATTGTTGTAAGATGAAGGAGGGGCTAGATGGGCGGAGGCAGGCCGCGGCAAGCTGTGCGAACCCCCACTGTCATATCTAATATCAGCATTTGAAGCACTGCGCACTGAGTGGAGAAAGGGGACAGATTCATGCACAGAGTGATGTTAAATTACACTGGAAGAAATAATTAAATGCTTAGTGGAAACAAAGGAAACAGCATTTCTTTTATGCTTGGAAATCTTGAACAGTTATGCTTTCTTCCCCAAATCACACTACATTACATTGTCTCTGTTCCCTGCGTGAGGTGATGATGTCTTCCTTTGTTTTACTATAAAACGCTTCACAGCATAGTCAATGATGTGTACCAACGTTTGTGAAGTCATTCTGAACAGATTGTTAAATCAGAACATTAACAATTACTGAAACACTTTTGATCTTATGTAACTGTATGTGCAACATGTTAATTTAGTACTTCAAGGTCAACTAGTGCAGTGGGAAGATCTTGATTGTCCATGCTACTTCCTGTTAAGCCATCACCATGGGTGCTACAAGCCAAAGCCAATGAAGGGTTCATGTACAATTGAAAGTCTAAATACAACTTTTGCTTTTACAGATCATAATTTAGCAGAATTTAATAAGGATGAAATACTAAACGAGATTACTATCTAGTCTAATGTTATTTACAGAAGCATCTTATGTTAACTGTAACACTGACATGAATCCTTCTGTGCAGCACATGTCTAGCACTGCTGCCTGTAAGCGATCATACCTCGAGGGATGTCCTCCCAGTTGGAGTCATACGGCAACTCACTGGATTCTTTACGTTTCACAAGTGAACTATCGTTGCGGACACAACCAGACGGTGCTCCCCCAGCCTGACTATCAGAGGAGGTCTTGGCATTGCTTCCCAGGAAGATGCTGGCCGACTTGTTAAGCTTGGTGTAGGTTGTCAACACCTCCTCCAGTTCTGCTTCACTGCAAATACCCAGGCACAAATACACAATCCAGCTATCCATGACTACGATCACTTCATCATTCCATAAATGTTATACAGAAGTGAAATTAGAAGTTCGTGACTGAAAGTGTCAATTAGTGTTTGGTCAAGCATTTATAACATTTTGTCCAACAGATAACAGGAGGCCATTGTCCATTTGTTAGGAGGCAGAGTTTCTGCCATTGAAACTTTCCAGATGCACTCATCCCTGTGACATAGTTTGTGACAGTTCTTGCCAAGTAGTGTACACAAACAGTGCTTACCAAACAGCAATCATAATCAGTTCTTACAATGAAGCATTCACAAACAGTTCTCACCAAACAATGTTCACAAACAGTTCTCACCAAACAATGTTCACAAACAGTTCTCACCAAACAATGTTCACAAACAGTTCTCACCAAACAATGTTCACAAACAGTTCTCACCAAACAATGTTCACAAACAGTTCTCACCAAACAATGTTCACAAACAGTTCTCACCAAACAATGTTCACAAACAGTTCTCACCATGCAGTGTTCACAAACTTCTCAAACTTAGATTCATGGAGACCCTCCATACTGTCACTGCGACGCAGGTGTCTCCGATCTATCATCTTCCTCGCCCGGAGTTGCTCAGTCTCCTGAGATCACAGAATGCGAATAATTATTAGTTCTCCATGTGTTTGGACGATATTCAGCTTGTGGGACAGAACAGCAAATTACAATGTTACATAACTGATGGCATATTTAATTGGAAGGACAACAATATAGATCCAAACACTACTTCAAGACAGGTGCTATAACAAATCTCTACCTTGTTGTAGATGTGTACGAAGTCCCCCAGCTGTTTGGCCAGTATCCGCCTGCGATCTGACAACGGTAATTTCCGACTGGGGACAATGACTTTGAATGACTGCTGGAGATTTACAGCTGCTCGTTTGAGGAATCTCAGAACTAGATCCTGCAACAGATAGGAGCAGTGAATAAAACTAAACTACAACTTAATTCAAATGTCTTCAAAGTAAATGTAACTCAGATAAGCAATAAGCACTTTGAGTATCCATGGCAACACAAGCAGAAAGTCCTACCATCTGCTCATTGAGAGCCTCCACATCCTCCTGAGACAAGGCACCGGTGTCACTGATGAGCCTCTGCTGGACCCGGACCAGGTACATGGCAAACGCTGACCGTGCCTGGACCTTACTGCCAACAATTGAAACCAACACATTAGGACATCCATTCAGTCAGATACATCAAGCAACATTTGTGTCAGTATTCAAGCCATATCAGGTAAGGCAGAAATTCAAGAAGTGCCCCTCCCATACAAACTCAGTTGGGAAAATGTAGTATTCCTTGTAGTACTAAAAAAAAACAGATTGATGATGAATAACCAGTTGACCATTATTTTAACTCAGGATTTTGTGGATTAATCATGGACTGTTCACAAACAAACATTTAGTATTCTACAATTCTCTCAATGTGAGACTAAGAACTTATCAGTCCACTTCTGCACGCAATGTGGGAAAGATTCCTAAACAGAAGCATACTGACAACAACAGTGACTGATGGGCACCGAGTTTATCAACCCATATATTATCACAGACGGATTCTGGGTCGCTGGCAACAGAGACATATATACAGAGCATGTATTATGAGTCACTATGTCATCAATACCAGGGATCAGTCACGATGTCATCAATACCAAGGATCAGTCACTTTGTCATCAATACCAGGGATCAGTCACTATGTCATCAATACCAGGGATCAGTCACCATGTCATCAATACCAGGGATCAGTCACTATGTCATCAATACCAGGGATCAGTCACTATGTCATCAATACCAGGGATCAGTCACTGATGTCATCAATACCAGGGATCATGGATCAGTCAGTCACTGTGTCATCAATACCAGGGATCAGTCAATAGCTGTCATGTCAATACCAGAGATCAGTCACTGTGTCATCAATACCAGGGATCAGTCATGATGTCATCAATACCAGGGATCAGTCACTGTGTCATCAATACCAGGGATCAGTCATGATGTCATCAATACCAGAGATCAGTCACTATGTCATCAATACCAGGGATCAGTCACTATGTCATCAATACCAGGGATCAGTCACGATGTCATCAATACCAGGGATCAGTCAGTGTCATCAATACCAGGGGATCATCAATCAGGGATCAGTGTGTGTCATCAATACCAGGGATCAGTCACTATGTCATCAATACCAGGGATCAGTCACTATGTCATCAATACCAGGGTCATGTCATCAATACCAGGGATCAGTCACTATGTCATCAATACAAGGGATCAGTCACTATGTCATCAATACCAGGGATCAGTCAGTGTCATCAATACCAGGGATCAGTCAGTGTCATCAATACCAGGGATCAGTCAGTGTCATCAATACCAGGGATCAGTCACTATGTCATCAATACCAGGGATCAGTCACTATGTCATCAATACCAGGGATCAGTCAGTGTCATCAATACCAGGGATCAGTCACCAGGGATATGTCATCAATACCAGGGATCAGTCAGTGTCATCAATACCAGGGATCAGTCACTATGTCATCAATACCAGGGATCAGTCAGTATGTCATCAATACCAGGGATCAGTCACTATGTCATCAATACCAGGGATATGTCATCAATACCAGGGATCAGTCATGTCATGTCATCAGGGATCAGTCAGAGTCATCAATACCAGGGATCAGTCACTATGTCATCAATACCAGGGATCAGTCACTGATGTCATCAATACCAGGGATCAGTCACCACGATGTCATCAATACCAGGGATCAGTCACTATGTCATCAATGTCATCAATACCAGGATCAGTCACTATGTCATCAATACCAGGGATCAGTCAGTGTCATCAATACCAGGGATCAGTCACTATGTCATCAATACCAGGGATCAGTCACTATGTCATCATCAATACCAGGGATCAGTCACTATGTCATTAATACCAGGGATCAGTCACTATGTCATCAATACCAGGGATCAGTCACTATGTCATCAATACCAGGGATCAGTCACTATGTCATCAATACCAGGATCAGTCACTATGTCATCAATACCAGGGAGCAGACAAAATGAGTAACTAAACTAAGGATCAGCCTCACCTGAGTGAACCACCCTTGAGGAGGAGCTCTACAACATTATACTTGGGCACTGGTTCAGGTTCTGCCTCCGTACACTTTGTCTCCAACGCCTTCTCCTCCTCTGTCGTTGGACTGGGTGGAGTTGGAGAGGTGTCTTTCACTTCTTCTGGAGCAGCAGCCTCACTTGGTATCTGTATCGGCTCCACTAGCTCCACTGGCTGCACCTTCTCCTCTTCCTTCACACTGGGCTCCGGCTTTTGCTGATTAGTTGATTCTTCATCCGACACTTGGTCTTCCTCCAGATCTTCTGGTACACCCTGAACTAGTTTTGACTTGGGTTCTAAGAAACAGTGCCACTGTGGTTAGGTGATGCTCAGACATGTATGATGTGTTAAATGGGAAAATTTACACAAGGTGAAACTCCTCATCTTCATGTTAAGAAACCATTCCTCCCAGCTCCAGAGTACTGTATGCTGTGATTCATGAATTGTCTACCACTTTATTATACGGACATCAACACCATCAACATGTGCCAGATAGCAAGTGAGTTCTGATCAGTTTTACAATTGTATCACGGCATGTCAGGTACGGAACCGTCAAAATTTGTAACATCCACATGCGAAAGAAGCAATAAAACACAAATAAACCTGGCACCTTAGAATCATGTCCCTGTTGCCAACCTTAGGCCAGGGTAAATGTGAACTGATGGTAAATTACCTTTCTTATTAGCGAGTCTAGCCTTCTTCCTGTTCTTGATCTTCCTCCTCTTGTGCCCGAGCCGCCTCTCGTACTGCCTGGTTCGGATAATTGCCTGAGCATAAGCCTCTACATGACGAGGCTGCAACATGGATACAGCGTTACACCGACGACAGAATACATACTGACTAGAGGAACTGTGGAACAGAATATGTGTTAAAGTGACGAAGAGAGTATATTGAGTATCTTACATCATTCTCGCCTTTAGCCTGGTTTGAACCTGTGATCTGTAGGTAGCCAGTCCTGCAACCAGACACCAGTGTGTTAACACTAACGGGTAACAATGTCTAAATGTACAACACTTATTTACTTCTGTAAAATCAGATATATTTCGAAACTGAAGAAAACAAAAATCCATAAAAACAGTGACAACTGTAACAGAGATTACTTGAAAAAAAAAAAAAAAAAAAAAAATATAGATGAAGAGGGGATAACATATGCAGTGTGTTTTAGAATCTTACCTTGACCTTGACCCTAAAGAAGTTGCACCAGTCGTTGCCAGCTTCCCAAGATTCCCTTTATGTCTGAAAATTACAAGACATCAGCAAGTGTAGTTCAGTGAGTGAGTGAAATGGATTTTACATTGCTTTTAGCAATATTTGAGAACAGCAATATTCTTGAACAGCAATATCATGGCAGGGGACAGCAGAAATGGGCTTCACTCATTGTATCCATTAGGGAATGGAACCTGGGTCCTTGGTTTGACAAGTAAATGCTTCATCCACTATGCTACTCCACAGGCCCACGTAGATTGTCTGAATATTAACAGACACAATGATATCAACAATCATGATACTGAGGCCCACTTGTCTGAGGGCGACCATATTGGGTGTCAAGGGGTCATCAAACACTTGTTAGTGTCAACTGTGTCTAACCACCCAACCCATAGCATCCCCAGGACACAACAAGCATTCCCCAGGGGACAAACCAGCTGTACTCACCTCTCTGGGTACAGTCTCTGGTGCAGCATCAGGTTGTGGGTGGTGTTGAACTGGAGGAATGGCCTGAAGGAGAGAGAGAGTAAATATATCTCCCAACCATCGGAGTAAACACTTGCTAAGCAACAGATGTAAGGGAGGTAACTCTCTGAGGCTTTGCTCTTGAAGTAACTTTAACCAATATGTCCAATGCTTGGGATCAGTGGAATGACAGTGAGTTTGCGGATGTTACTTTTGGGATTGTGTGTATACGTAGTCGTGGTTAGGACGCCCATGAACATTTGACCTGAACTGAACCTTTAGTTACCGGGTACTGACTCCTAAGATGATCTACAAGACTCATGGACATCACACACTGACTTACGAATAGATCTCCCACGAATCTGCTGTTGGGAATATTTTCACCCATCCTCCCTTTCGCTGTTCCTCTTCTTTACAACGCCTGATAATCTTGATCTCCTCGCTATTGAGGCCTCCCAAGTTCTTGTTGGCATTTTTGTCTTTCGCTGCCCGTTGCATTAACCGGTCCAGCAGAGAGAGGTCTCTGACGCTGCATTGTAAAGGCTGATTATTATATGGCACAAACGACTTGTGTAAAATGACATCCAAACCCAAAAACTGAGACATTATTAACTTATACTGAGAACAAAAAGTAACCCGAAGTTATTTTAGGTATAACACTATTACAACAAACAAGATTGTCAGCATATCTGTGACTACCAACTTAGCTCTTTCCATTCAAAGGACGAGATATCACGTCTGAGGGTCACAACCCTTCAATACGAGACTATTTTAGCAAGATGACACTTACATACGAGGGACGTGATATCACGTCTCCATGGTTGCAACAGTTGACATGGACCATTCAAGAGGAACATAACACTTGAACTGATTTTTTTCAAAACATCTTTATTCACTTTTATTAAACTATTCCAGACTAAAAGAGAAAATATTAGGTCGTCTTTAGCCCAGAAACATTGGAAATGCAGTTTTTTCTAAAAGGAGAAACATAATTGAACTTACACAGCAGTATGATAATTATGACAAATTTTTCAATCCTGTGACTACACTACGGGGGAAAACAACCACAATTTAGTAGATTTATGTCATCACTTAGGATTATGGCCTTGACATCCAAAGAACGAATGACACGAGTGTTACCTGTGGTAACAGTTATAAGAGCAGTCAACAGTCAAAGAACATTGCTAACAATCAAACATCAAACGTTGTACCAGTTACTCGCATCATCACAAATGACAGAACTTGGCTTGCAGTCCTATACGATTTTCCACAATCAGCCATTTAATGCTGTGTGGTCACCGAATATCAAGATCATATAGCACGTGGTTTTCACCAGGGGAGATAATCAAGTAATTCCTAAATAATGCAATGTCACAAAGTACACGAATTGCATTGGAAGGACGAGCATACACGGCTAGAAAACTGTGAACTATGTTTAGTATGAGTAGACGGGTTATCACGTGTCGCGTATGGACATTGTCAAATATCGGACTTTAATATCTCGTCCATCGAATTCAGAGGCTACGGTTGGAAAAATCTGGTTGTATGCAAGGGTTGTAGATGCCTGGACATGATATCATGTCCTTAGGATATATGTGCATCTGTGAAAATTTCCATCGTATGGAAAGAGTTAACATGGTTCAGGAAGTATAAATGTGCAACGCAAACTGTAAACATGTTGAAGGTCCTGAAGGACAACACAAGACATTTACATGGATCACTGTTTAACACTGTATGAGTTCAGTCTGCAAATACATTTGAACATGAAAGACTTTGAGGTTCACTGATGGAAACATGCTCTGGCATTAAAAAACCTGAAAAGAATCCCCAAATAACACAAAGATGATGTTGCTCAACTGATAAACAGGAGTGAACCAGAGAGCTTGATGTATAGCTGTATCCTTTCCTGTCATCCACACTGTCAGCCATAATGATTGAGGTGACATTGGGCAGTCTCCAGTATAAGTCTTGGACAATAGTTTAAACTTCCCCTCTGTCTCACAGACTCAAATCAAAGTCTAACAGAAGACATTCTCATGGACAACAAAATGTCTACAGAAATCACCTTCTCCATACAGACTGGTATTCTCCCATGAATTTCAAAGTTTATCACAGAAACATAGATAATACATTACAAGAGAACAAAGACATCCACATGAGTTCGTTTGGGAGACATGCCCTATAGCCTGACTGTATACACAACAAAAAACCAAGTTGTTGGTGGAGACACAACACAGACACTAGTTATATACACAACATAAAACCAGGAGGGTAAGTGTGCATGAAAACCATGTGTATGGTTAATTAGGTGGGGACAATCACAGGCGCTGGGGTACAGGTCAAACAGAGGCACAGGGGTATAGGTCAAACACAGGTGCTGTGGGACAGGTCAAACACGGGCTGGGGGAACAGGTCAAACACGTGCTGGGGAACAGGTCAAACAGGCCTGATGTACAGGTCAAACACAGGCGCTGGGGTACAGGTCAAACACAGGCACAGGGGTATAGTCAAACACAGGTGCTGGGGTACAGGTCAAACACAGGTGTTGGGGAACAGGTCAAACACAGGACTGGGGAACAGGTCAAACACAGGCCTGATGTACAGGTCAAACACAGGTGCTGGGGTACAGGTCAAACAAAGGCACAGGGGTATAGTCAAACACAGGGGCTGGGGGACAAGTCAAACACAGGTGCTGGGGTACAGGTCAATCATAGGCGCAGGGGTATAGGTCAAACACAGGACAGGGGAACAGGTTAAACACAGGTGCTGGGGTACAGGTCAATCACAGGCGCAGGGGTATAGGTCAAACACAGGACAGGGGAACAGGTTAAACACAGGTGCTGGGGTACAGGTCAATCACAGGCGCAGGGGTATAGGTCAAACACAGGACAGGGGAACAGGTTAAACACAGGTGCTGGGGTGCAGGTCAATCACAGGCGCAGGGGTATAGGTCAAACACAGGACAGGGGAACAGGTTAAACACAGGTGCTGGGGTACAGGTCAATCACAGGCGCAGGGGTACAGGTCAAACACAGGTGCTAGGTAGGCGAGGAACAGTAACTTACCGCTGCAGATGACACAGGTCTAGTGCGCGCTGACTGGAAAATACACCGTATTAACATGTGAGTGCATGCTAAAACTACAATCCCTACGGTGACAAGAGTGGTTTCCCTTGTTTGTGTACCAACTCTTGAGTATTTCTCTATATTTGAAGCTGTAGCATTGTGAGGTTAGTAAAAGCTTTCAAATTCAACTGTGTGCATGCATTTTAAATAGAAGCACTTATGCAGAGTTAGAGGCATATGCTTCCCACACAGTAAGCCATCAGTTCACAATCAAGCATTATGTCATTTAGCTCACTGTCAAGCATTATGTCATTTAGCTCACAGTCAAGCATTAGGGCAAGCATGCTTAGAAGCAATATCATCATAAGGTAGACACAATGTTAGCTGATTAAAATGGTAAACCTTGATAACATTATTTTATAAGTTTAATATCCAACCCAAAACACTGGGCACTGACAGGATGTCTTCTTTAAAGTTTTAACACCACCCATATAAAACTGGTAGAACTGAAACATGTTAAGGTTATATGGAAGCATCCTTTTAAAAGTGCACCTTGATTAGACCAAGTAGGGAATAACATAGTTTTGATTCACATGCAACATGTTAGTCATTTCTCATTATATATATACATGAACTAGAGTAATCTACTTGGCAGATATTGCCACTGAAGTTATCAATTCTATGTGTTAGCATCGATATCATCATACTCTGACAGTAGAATGTCTAGCTTTTCTACAAAAACTTCACAGACTTATGACATCTACACATAGTTGTGGACTTACTGCAGAGGATTTGACTATCTGTAATATGTATGAAGGTATGTAAGCACGGTGATCAATTGTTGTCATCAATAAATGGGAACAGATGTTGATGAAACATGTTGCCATCAATAAAAACGAAACATAAGCCATCACGTTCATCATGAAATCCTTTCGCACAAAATGTCTCATAATTGTATCATTTTTTATTATTCATCTTTAGTTTGTATCTTTGTATCAAGTGACAGAGAAACAAGTACCTTAGCTCGGGCGGCCATTTTGGAAGCAATTTCCTGATTGCGTCGACTCTGCTGCATGTTCCTCATCATGGGGTCATGACACACCACACCTGGAACATAACCACATGACACACCACACCTGGAACATAACCACATGACACACCACACCTGGAACATAACCACATGACACACCACACCTGGAACATAACCACATGACACACCACACCTGGAACATAACCACATGACCACACCACACCTGGAACATAACCACATGTCACACCACACCTGGAACATAACCACATGACACACCACACCTGGAACATAACCACATGACACACCACACCTGGAACATAACCACATGACACACCACACCTGGAACATGTCAACCACACCTGTAACATGACACACCACACCTGGAACATAATGACACACCACACCTGGAACATAACACACCACCACCTGGAACATAACCACATGACACACCACACCTGGAACATAACCACATGACACACCACACCTGGAACATAACCACATGTCACACCACACCTGGAACATAACCACATGTCACACCACACCTGGAACATAACCACATGTCACACCACACCTGGAACATAACCACATGTCACACCACACCTGGAACCTAACCACATGCAGCCAGCTGTCAATCACAACCCACTGTAGCACATGACACACAGCTGTCAATCACAACCTGGAACTGCAGCACCCAGCTGTCAATCACAACCTGGAACAGCAGCCAGCTGTCAATCACAACCTACTGTAGCAGCCAGCTGAACATCACAACCACATCACAACCTACTGTAGCAGTCAGCTGTCAATCACAACTACCTGTAGCAGCCAGCTGTCAATCACAACTCCACTGTCACAGCACACCAGCTGTCAATCACAACCTACTGGAACATAAGCAGCCAGCTGTCAATCACAACCTACCGCAGCACCCAGCTGTCAATCACAACCTACTGCAGCAGCCAGCTGTCAATCACAACCTACTGTAGCAGCCTGCTGTCAATCACAACCTACTGTAGCAGCCAGCTGTCAATCACAACCTGCTGTAGCAGCCAGCTGTCAATCACAACCTGCAACAGCACCCAGCTGTCAATCACAACCTACTGTAGCAGCCAGCTGTCAATCACAACCTACTGTAGCAGCCAGCTGTCAATCACAACCTGCTGTAGCAGCCAGCTGTCAATCACAACCTACTGTAGCACCCAGCTGTCAATCACAACCTACTGTAGCAGTCAGCTGTCAATCACAACCTACTGTAGCAGCCAGCTGTCAATCACAACCTACTGTAGCAGCCAGCTGTCAATCACAACCTAACCCAGCTGTCAACTGTAGCAGTCATTGTCAATCACAACCACTGTAGCAGAAAACCAGCTGTCAATCACAACCTAGCAGCCAGCTGTCAATCACAACCTACTGTAGCAGCCAGCTGTCAATCACAACCTACTGTAGCACCCAGCTGTCAATCACAACCTACTGTAGCAGCCAGCTGTCAATCACAACCTACTGTAGCAGCCAGCTGTCAATCACAACCTACTGTAGCAGGGTTACAGGGTTACTGTCCTTGTAGGTATCTCTAGTTACTGAACTCACCCGCCAATGAGAACAGGTCACACAACATGTTGGCTTTAATCTTCAGATCAAGGGGACTGTCACTGAAAACAGATAATTAACATCATCCACAATATCACAAAGTTTTACCTGTAAACCATGCAATACAAGTAACAGAACAATGACCAAACATATTTTACAAAATAACCAGGAAGTTATGTTTGGTTCATCTGACCTGTGTTTAAATGTACGAGTGTCTTCAGTAGTTGAAGCTTATACTTAGCCTGAATCTACTGTAACTAATGTCGACATCAATAGCGACAGCCGTCCTGTGTTACTCACCAGGCTAATGATGGCGATAGGTTGACTTCTAGCACCCATGGTTTGAGGTTGTCGTCAATGAGAATATCAAATCCGTACAACTCTGCAAAAGCACAGTCAGATATGAACATCATTCATCAATACAGCATATACATGTGACTATACCATGACAGTAACCATAGTAACAGAGGATGAGAATTACACTGCATCATCAGGACATGAGTATACTGATGAAGAATATCTCCATTAGAACTGCACTGTAGCACTGGTATACTACTAGTAGCCACACCGATCTCATTATCTTCATCACTATAACACCATCTCAAATATCTCATACAGGAATATCTCATTGAAGCAGTCACACTGATCTCATTATCTCATCAGTAAAACACCATCTCCCCCGGTGTGGCATGAACATCTTGCAGGCCGTGGCAATCGGCAGCTCCACCGAGATGATTGTCTTGATTATGACATCTTCAATACGCATCATCAATGCTGGAACAACACACCATGACTTACAGACAGTTTGTGAAATGTAGAAGCACCAGTTGCAATCAAAGCTGACCGTTTACATATTCAGAGAACCGTTCCAATCTACCCAATGCCAATAACCAAACTTAACTGGTTAACTCCGAAACAGTCATCTTAATGCATTCACACTCACACTACTTGAGAAGTTTTTCAGTTTGGCACAATATCACATGTATGTTGTTACTAGTAGTACCACTACCACACATCCAGTGATGTGTACCCTGACATCCCTGACGGCCCACCTGCTGTGTCTCTTCCTTGGGACCTCAAGTAGCGCAGCAGAGCTCCAAGAGACCACTTGTTGCCATAGTCCTCCACGTCTGGGTCATCATTCCTGGAAACAAGAAATTCTTGGAAACTTCACACTTCAACTTGGTTACATTAACATGAAACCAATGACCAGTCCACTAACTACAATGAGCTTTACATGTTACCGTCAACATTCATGGTTAGGAATTGACCTCGAACATGTGCACAAGACATATACTGCAGACTTCAGAACAATACTGATTATGGAAGAGAGGGTATTCTTAAAGCCTTAGGAAACTTATTGCTTTTTCTAATCAAGTTTCCTCCAAAAATCAATAAACTTGAGATAAGATTAAGAATTAAGAAAAGGCACCTACAAGAGGGATCATAATCAAAAAGAAGAAACTGAGAATCTCTCAGGACAAATGTCCGAACAGTGAAAAATATAACAATTTGCTCTTCTCAATAGACAGCTGTCTCACCTAACATAGTCCTGGCTCTTCTTGTTGACACTGTAGTTGGTCAGGTGCATGCACTGGTTCCGGATGTGCTTGTTGCTCTTCTCATACTTCACAGTTGCAAATCTGACATGAAAACTAACAGTAAGTACAGACAGGTCACACTGCTTCCACCAACAGTCTGCTGACTATTTATTGCTTTTAACTATCTCACAAAAGTGTGGAAACAGTTAAACTAAAGACCTTGTCTACGGATCTTGTGTACAGATTTTGTGAACAGACCCTGGTTTAGACACATCCAGGAGTAGGCTACTGACTACTAATGACTACTACACATAATTTCTCTCCCAATCAAATCATTAGACAAAAACCACCATTGATCTGCCAGCTAGATTTAAATGATGGTGTCTATATCTGTATTGGTTGACACATAAACACAAGAAAGGAAGTGGATGAAGGGTCACAGACCTTGTTAGTCCCTCCTCAAATAGGTAGATGGTGAGTGGATCATAGGAAGTGACCGCGATGTACAACCGGACATCAAACTTGAACCCTGGAGAGAAGGACACATGTGTCATTGGGCAGCTTTGTTACCATGGTGATACTGACAGACTGCTATGCGAAGGGGAGTGATAGCCAGGGACAATAAACAGCAGGGACAATAAACAGCAGGGACAATAGCCAGCAGGGACAATAGCCAGAAGGGACAATAAACAACAGGGACAATAAACAGCAGGGATAATAGCCAGCAGGGACAATAAACAGCAGGGATAATAGCCAGCAGGGACAATAAACAGCAGGGATAATAGCCAGCAGGGACAATAGCCAGCAGGGACAATAAACAGCAGGGAGAATAGCCAGCAGGGACAATAAACAGCAGGGATAATAGCCAGCAGGGACAATAAACAGCAGGGACAATAGCCAGCAGGGACAATAAACAGCAGGGATAATAGCCAGCAGGGATAATAGCCAGCAGGGACAATAAACAGCAGGGATAATAGCCAGCAGGGACAATAAACAGCAGGGATAATAGCCAGCAGGGACAATAAACAGCAGGGATAATAGCCAGCAGGGACAATAGCCAGCAGGGACAATAAACAGCAGGGAGAATAGCCAGCAGGGACAATAAACAGCAGGGATAATAGCCAGCAGGGACAAAAAACAGCAGGATAATAGCCAGCAGGATAATAGCCAGCAGGACAGGATAATAGCCAGCAAGGATAATAGCCAGCAGGGACAATAAACAGCAGGGACAATAGCCAGCAGGGACAATAAACAGCAGGGATAATAGCCAGCAGGGATAATAGCCAGCAGGGATAATAAACAGCAGGGATAATAGCCAGCAGGGACAATAGCCAGCAGGGACAATAGCCAGCAGGGAGAATAGCCAGCAGGGAGAATAGCCAGCAGGGACAATAGCCAGCAAGGACAATAGCCAGCAGGGATAATAGCCTGCAGGGACAATAAACAGCAGGGAGAATAGCCAGCAGGGACAATAAACAGCAGGGAGAATAGCCAGCAGGGACAATAAACAGCAGGGATAATAGCCAGCAGGGACAATAAACAGCAATAGCCAGCAGGGACAATAAACAGCAGGGATAATAGCCAGCAGGGACAATAAACAGCAGGGATAATAGCCAGCAGGGACAATAAACAGCAGGGACAATAGCCAGCAGGGAGAATAGCCAGCAGGGATAATAGCCAGCAGGGACAATTGCCAGCAGGGACAATAGCCAGCAGGGACAATAAACAGCAGGGATAATAGCCAGCAGGGACAATAGCCAGCAGGGAGAATAGCCAGCAGGGAGAATAGCCAGCAGGGACAATAGCCAGCAAGGACAATAGCCAGCAGGGACAATAAACAGCAGGGACAATAGCCAGTATTTCATTTCATCTTCACTGTGCAGCCATACTCTTTGAAACACATGTTAACAAGTGTAATTAATGTTTATTTACCAAGAATATTTCAGGCTTCTCCATCATATTATAACTATTGCTATCTGTCTTTGTACATTATTTTCAATCCCCTCTGAGGCTGCAGCCATACTGTTGTAGTGTACTGCCACACACAGCCTGTACATACCAGCCATTATCATCTTCAGGATAAACATACTGCCAGCAGAAAAGACCATGAGTTTTAATTACTGGACCTTCTTACATTCACTGTATTTATCACAAGGAGTATATACATGAATTTGCATGTGATGTATGAAGTAATCTTTCATTTGCCCAGAAATTGGTGTAACATTCCGGGATAACTCCCGCGATAACTCGTATGTCAACCAGTTTCAGTTACTTACCATCCACAAGCAGAGGGTTACCCAAGTACTTGCACACAATGATGTTCTCATCCAGCGGAATCTGATCTGGCTGGAATCAAGGAATGTATTCTATACACATCTCAGCCATGTACTATGTAAAACATAAACTCACAATTTAAAACAACTAGAAAATCTCGACATGTGAGGAAGACCCATTCATTATTGGATTGTCAGAGGAGGATATACAAGGTTGAGGAGGAAATTCTTCATACTACTACAAGGATGGGGCCAGTGGGTACTACAAGGATGGGGCCAGTGGGTACTACAAGGATTGGATGGGGCCAGTGGGTACTACAAGGATGGGGCCAGTGGGTACTACAAGGATGGGGCCAGTGGGTACTACAAGGATTGGGGCCAGTGGGTACTACAAGGATGGGGCCAGTGGGTACTACAAGGATGGGGCCAGTGGGTACTACAAGAATGGGGCCAGTGGGTACTACAAGAATGGGGCCAGTGGGTACTACAAGGATTGGGGCCAGTGGGTACTACAAGGATGGGGCCAGTGGGTACTACAAGGATGGGGCCAGTGGGTACTACAAGAATGGGGCCAGTGGGTACTACAAGGATGGGGCCAGTGGGTACTACAAGGATGGGGCCAGTGGGTACTACAAGGATGCAGGGGCCAGTGGGTACTACAAGGATGGGGCCAGTGGGTACTACAAGAATGGGGCCAGTGGGTACTACAAGAATGGGGCCAGTGGGTACTACAAGAATGGGGCCAGTGGGTACTACAAGGATGGGGCCAGTGGGTACTACAAGAATGGGGCCAGTGGGTACTACAAGGATGGGGCCAGTGGGTACTACAAGGATGGGGCCCAGGGAGTACAAGATTGGGGTGATGGGGTGCTAAAAGAATGGGGACCATGAATACTGACTGACTGACTGAGTTTGGTTTTACGCTGCTTTTAGCAATATTTCAGCAACATCACAGCGCGGGGACCAAGAATACAAGAATGGGGACAGCCGATACTGCAAGAACAGGTTTTTGATGAGGGAATGTCTTACCCAAATAATCACCAGGGTGTGTTAACAGAAGTTTAGTTACTTACATGGTTGATGAGGAAGACTCCCCTTCCTCTAGAGGAAGCAACTGGTTTCACAATCCAGTGACCCTTTTCTCTAAGAAATGCAGCTGGAACAAGAAAAAAATGTTTAAATAGAACTTTAATACTCCAGAGGACATAAATGATGCTAATGTTATCAGTGTCAACTAATTCAAAACTGGCCTTAAACCAATTTACTTCCCTTCATCAATATTGTTTCATTAAAAATGTAATTTTTAAAGTAAAATTGATATTTTATACTTATCCTGACTCATGATCTTTTGCTTATCTCCCTATCCCTTGCCAATGGTAGTGGAACACTTGAATCCCTTGAAGTTCCTGAAGCGGACGTATAAATACACTCACCCACGAGCTACCTCCCTTTGCCCTTTCCCGCGCAACCAAGTGATGTGACGTGCCTTACTTGTCACTCTCTCCTGATTTTCCGCCCATGCACTTGGATCTGCTGTGAAATCTCAAATGTCTTCAACGGGGAGGTTGGGGGGCTTCTTCGTCATGAGTCAGGAAAAGCATGAAATATCAATTTTACTTAAAAAATTACATATTTTTCCTTATCCTGACTCATGATCTTTTGCTTATAGAATCCGACAGACTGGTGGGGGTCAAGCCACTGGATTCAACAGCTGTCCTTAGATACGCCCTGTATCCCCCCCCATGGGAACTGCGAACGGCATTTCCGTGATCCTATTCTTCCAAATTCCGTTATAACTCGGGGGGACCACTTTCTTGTCTTACTTCCATCTCAGACAAGTTGAATCATCTTGATTCATGTGGCTATAGATAAACTAGTATCCTCCTATTACTAGATATCTTATAACAACCCATAGATTATGATAAGATCTTTATCATTAATGAGTTGCGACCCCTTCACGTAGAGGTAAGATCTTTACCTGTACAGGATCTTTAATCACTCATGCTAGCCTGTCTTAGACTGTGCGCATGGACTTTCAAACTAGTACTTTTCCTTAGTAAAAGTTATCAACAAGTCAACGTGATAAAGGGTGAGATTTTCCAACTCAGCGCTTTTGAGGAACAGTTAGTTGCTGTGCTACAACGAGAGGCCCAAATTGGTGAATGCCTGAGACGTCTTCGGTGGCTATGTCTCGGAGGTAGTGGTTGGCAAACACTGTGTCCGACTTCCAAAAGCAGCCCTCCATAATTGTCGGTATAGAGCAATTTCCGTGCAGAGCTAGTGTTGACGCCAGTGCTCTGACTTCGTGTGGGTTGGAAGCTCTAGGAGGTTCTAGTCCTGCTGCTTTATAGGCTCTCAATATGACGGTTCTCCATCCAGAACGATATGGTCGTTCTTAGAAGTCTCTGTTGATAATGGGATGAACTGTGGGTTGGAAGCTCTAGGAGGTTCTAGTCCTGCTGCTTTATAGGCTCTCAATATAACGGTTCTCATCCAGAACGATATGGTCGTTCAGAAATGATAATGATGAACTGTGGGTTGGAAGCTCTAGGAGGTTCTAGTCCTGCTGCTTTATAGGCTCTCAATATAACGGCTCTCATCCAGAATGATATGGTCGTTCTTGAGACTTCTGCTGAAGTCTCTGTTGATAATGGGATGAACAGGCTTGAATTTTTGTCTCCTCGTCTCAGTCTTTTGAAGATATATCTTCAGGGCTCTGACTGGACACAAGGATAGGTCTTGCATATCCTCTGGTCCGAGGATTGTGGATAGCGCTGGTACATGGAACTGTCTATCTGGCTGACCAGGCAGTTGGTTCTTGGCAATAAAGTCCCATCTAAGTTCTAGATGTACTGCATCAAGATGCCTCGTGTCGAACCTAGTTCGACAAACGTCCAGCGCATGTATCTCTGATATTCGAGCTGCCGTGGCTAATGCAAGCAGGAACAGAGTCTTCTGTGTAAGCAGCTCGAAGGTAGACTGATCTAGAGGTTCGTAGGCACCACTGATGAGATGACATAGAATCACATTCAGATCCCAGGCCGGAGGAGCTCTGAACTTCTTTTGCTAGTCCTCCAGTTTAAAAAATCTCAGCAGAGCAAGTAATTCTGACTTCATAAGGTTCACCAGCCATCCTAGTTGAGTGAGCAACTTGATTGTGAAGTTCAGCTGTAGTTTGAGTTGACTGGCACTTTGGTGAACTTGAATGCTGTCGTCCAGGTAGAAGGCATTGCGTACTCGTGTGAATAGCCACGGGGCCGAAGATATTCCAAACGGTAGGACGTTCCGAACCCCAATATCAACGTCTAGTTCCTCTGGGAGTGCGGCCTCTCCCGGAGTTCCCTCTGTAATTTCCGGATGGGCGACGAAAGGAACCTTTCCCGCCTCTGAAGCTGGAGTACTTCTTCCCCTTAGCCTTCTGGATGCCGGAATATTTGGACTTGCTGTTGTACTTCTGGGAAGTATGACGAATGACGTTGGCTAGAGTATCTATAGACTTTGTCATCATGATTTCTCTTGAACCGTGAGTAGCTTCCTTAGCTGCATCGTCTATCTCTCCTCCAAAGATAGTAGGCGCGCCTCCCACGGAGCTCTAAGCAGCGGTTGGGTGAATCTGTCACTCCATGAACAAGATGCCAGTAGACATTGTCTGCGTAGCAAAGTGAGACCTGCAGATATTGATGCCACATGGTCCGATAAAAAAGTATTGGTCCTTCTTCTGAGTGAGCAGAGCCGATAATATCATTCTATCTTCATCCGAACTTGGGTTCTGGAACTTATTAATCAATGCTTCATTGATAGCTCTGGACCTGGCCAAACCGAAGAAGGATCTCCTTGTAGCAGTATCAAGTTGAGATAACTTTTTATCTTCCACTTTGTATATCTTGTTCCGAGAGTCGTTGACTAACTTCAGGCGCCTTCATAAAAGGATCCATGTGATGTAAGGGAAATCTCTTCACATTAAAGGATGGCAGATGCTGATTCTGGAACTTGGTAGCTTTCTCGAAAGCTGTGCGTAGGCTGGAAGATACCTTGGATAGAGGTTCAATCGGAGGGATTGTCAGCGAATCCAAGTCGTCATTACGCATCTTATAAGTGTAGACTTCATCTATATCCTTAGAAGGAGACTCCAAGTTCAAACCATTGGCTATCCAAGCTGTAACCTCTGAGTCCGGGAAGACGAAGTCTGCTTGTTCATCAGCTATCTCTTGATCAGTAGAGCTATGCCTCTGCGAATCATCCTTCTGCGAACCTGTATCCCTTCTCAAACCTCCATCATCCTTTCGCTAACCTCTATCTGTAGATTCCTCCCTTTGCGAATGTCTATCTTGAGAGTCTTCGCGAACCTCTATCTCTGGATACATCTCTTCGCGAACCTCTGTGTAGTGAGCCTTCTCTTCACGAACCTCTGTCTCGTGATGAGTGAATTCACGAACGTCTGTGAGAGATATGTGATCTCGATCTAGAGCGGCTTGGTGTAGGAGATGGATCCTTAGGTGTTCTCGAACAGAGGGTTTGCAGCTGTTGAAGAGTGAGTAGGCTTCTCATGTCTTCTATCCTCCTCCAAGATAACAGAGTCGTCAGACTGTGGAGACCTTCGCAAAGGTGTACGTTCGCCAACGTAGTCTTGAGAGGTAGATCAATGAGGAGTAGGTTCGTGCAAGTCCGTGGGTTTGCGCACGTTGTCAGCAGATGAGAGGTTCCGTCGAGCCTTCGCCTCTTCCTCGAACCTACGTTCCATCATGGCCATCATCTGGTTGGTGAATTGCCTCATAAATTCACCTGGATCAAAGTTCTGCTTTGATTGAAGCTGCTGTATTGAAGCTGCTAACGCTGATGAGTGTAGCCAACTTCACTCCGCTGAGAAGTACTGTAAACGCATTCTATATTCGCGTGGCAATTTTCGCGAATTGACAGTTTAGACTACATCGCTACGTCAATTATTCAAGAATCAGTAATTGCCGAACTGCCAGCCGTCTCTTTGGCCGCCACTAATAGCAGTGAAAACAAACAGAGTGGCTTAACCTGTCAGGGCGGCATTTATTACTTACTCACAGGAAATCCCTATCTGTGCGTATATACTAGTACACAGTAACCCGCTTACTCCCGAAGAGATGAAAACACATCAGTATTATGTTCAATTTTGACGATCTGACTAATTAACTTATACTGTATATGAAGCTTTTGTGATTTCAAACAAGCCGGTTGTTGTGAATGAGATGATTGAGTGTTAGTGACTATTCGCTTCATGATGATACGCTTGTATCTAAATGAATAAATAAAATACTGCTGTATTATTTCTTTCCCGAAGTCGCTTTCGTGGTAATCTGTTTTGTATCAAACCATCTGTCATGTGACCAATTTCCATGGCGCCACAACACACATTGCTGTTTTCGCTTAATTCGGGCGATGGGTTTTGGCTCATTATTTAATTATGTTTTGGGAAATCCATTACAGTTTACAGTTAAGTTTGATTCTTTATGCTACTATCAGTCGCCATTTTAAGATTCCCGTAGATTTCTGTCTTCAAACTTGATGTGTTATGGTAACAACTCAGGGGCGAGCGTGGTTAGACTGAATGAATGACAGGTTTATTCGCGGTGTATAAATTTTCGCACTAAAATGTTTTGCGTGAAAAGCGCGAAAATAAAACCTGCGCGAAATATACTACGTTTACAGTAGGTGGTAGTTCGTCAAACATCTGGCCTGCTGTGATTGTTGCAGGAGACGATCTAGTAGTCGTGTAAGTCGATTGAGTCGCCGATCTAGTAGGTACTTCAGGTAGAAGTAACGGGGGATCCTCAAAAACGTCTACTTCATGAGGAGGTATAATCTCTTCGTTGAAGGATTTCTGATGCGTTGACTTACTAGGCCGCGCAGATTTAACTTCTGATCTGGTAACAGATGCTTTCTTCTGCGACGTAGAAGAAGATGACGTCTTTTTCTTACTTTAAGTCGGTGTCAACTGCGTTGTAGCCGATCTCTTTTTCGCCCCGTACCAGCAGACTGCCCCTGCAACGTACTCAACATAGCACTAGTATTAGGAATTTCAGCAGTAGCAAGCAACATACAGTTTGCAGGCTGATCTCCTGATTTATCAGCCGTGACTTGTGATGACTTCCTCACCCGATCCATGGCACGTCTATAGATATAAGACAAATATTGATTAAATTGTAGATTTGATAAATCAACACAATAAGTCCAACGCAAGCTGGAAGAACATGGTTTGATGCACGAAGGGCATGGAGGGTGAGGATCAGCCACGGATAACCTGTGCCTGCGAACACTGCAAGATTTCATGAAATGTAAACAAGTTACATTATCATGATTATGATGAAATGATGACACAAATACAAATACTTTTTTTACAATTTTTTTTAACATATAATACAAAGTAATTATAGCCAAATCCATACACAGCTTAATTTTTAAGAATAGGATCTAAATAAAAAGGATATAATGCCGTATACGGGACTCCAGTGCTCACCCAACCATCCACTTGGGCGAAAAGGGAGAGAGTGACAAGTAAGGCTGGTCACATGACTGTTTACGCAGAAAAGGGAGGTAACCCGTGGGTGAGTGTATTTTTATGTCCGCTTCGGGAACTTCAAAGGATTCAAGTGTTCCACTGCCATTCGCATAGGAAAGGGAGATAAGCAAAAAGATCATGAGTCAGGATAACAAAAAAATTAGCATCATTAATGATGACAGGAAAGATGTTCAAAATACGCATCAGGTCATTACCACAGAAATCCTGGTATTCTCCTGGAAGAACAAAGCTGTTGGGGATGAAATCGAAATGCCTATGTCCCTGAAAAAAAAAGAAATATCAACCTATCAGACTTTGAGCAACAGGTTGTGGAGACAGATATGTAAGGGTGTACAGACAGGTATATGAGGATGTAATGTACAGACAAGTATATAAGGATGTACAGACAGGTATATAACATTGTACAGACAGGTATATAACGTACAGACAGGTATAATAGTTGTACAGACAGGTACATAATGTTGTACAGACAGGTATGTAATGATGTACAGACAGGTGTGTAAGGTTGTACGTACAGGTATATAACAATGTACAAACGGGTATATAAGTATGTACAGACAAGTATATAAGGATGTAAAGACAGGTATATAAAGGTGTACAGACAGATACATAAGGGTGTACAGACAGATATATAGGATGTACAGTATAAGGGTGTACAGACAGGTATGTGAGAATGTAAAGACAAGTACATAACATACAGTCAGGTATATTAGGGTGTACAGACAGGTATATAAAGGTGTACAGACAGGGATATAAAGATGTACAGACAGGTACATCAGGACTAGAGACAGGTATGTAAGGATGAACAGACAGGTATATAATGACGTAGACAGGTATATAACATTGTACAGTATAAGGATGTACAAACAGGTATATAGGGGTGTACAAACAGGTATATAGGGGTGTACAGACAGGTGTGCAAGGATTTACGGACAGGTATACAACCATGTACAAACAGGTATATAAGGTGAGTGAGTGAGTGAGTGAGTTTAGTTTTACGCCATACTGAGCAATATTCCAGCTTTAAGGTGGGGTCTGTAAATAATCGAGTCTGGACCAGCACACAGTCCAGGGATCAACACAATGACCATCGACCTGCGCAATTTGGATACAATGACACGTGTCAATCCGGTCAGCGAGCCTGACCATCCAATCCTGTTAGTCGCCTCTTACGACAAACATGGGTTACTGAAGATCAATTCTAACCCGGACCTTCACGGTTAGGTATATAAGGATGTACAGACACGTATATAAGGGTGTACAGACAGGTACCATGCCGTCATATGATTCCATGGTACTTGTGTTTCCGTGGCCTTTTCTAATGACATAATTTCTCACGAGCCACTTACCAAATCGCGCCACCTATCGATTACGTTTACGTTTATCAGTCGATTGTCACGGCTTATGAGCAAAAAATGTTCAGACTTTCATCAATTTGCGTACGTACAGTCATCTACTATTAAAAACTAATGCAATTTTATGTCTAGCACGTAATGCACATTTTCTATAAACTTATTCAGCTTCAAAGATTTCCAAACATCGGTCGTCTGCTAGCTGATGCCATCAATAAAAACAATCACGTGACCTAAGGGGGGGAATGCCAGCTCTATTTTTTAAACTATGGACGCCCGATAGGGTCATCTCTTCAGTTGTTTTTTCACTTTTCATTTCACGTATCAGACAGGAATATAAGGATGTACAGAAGTATATAAGGATTTACAGAGTATATAGGTGAGGTGAAATTGGGTTTAACGTCGTGCTTGAGAATATTTCGCTCATATGACGACGTGCATGTGTGTGTATGTGTATGTGCGGCTGCTTATACTAGCCCAGACTGAAGCTGGTTTTATAGTGCTAGTCCACTGAGATACCATGCCGCAGTGAAGCATGAATACCCCACTCAGACACATTATACTGACTCCGAGCCGACCAGTCCTTGTTGTACCCATTAATGCCGAGCGCCAGGCAGGGACCATCTAGTACCATATTTAAACGTCTTTTGGTATGACGCGGTCGGGGATCGAACCCACTTGCTCTCTGGGCGGACGCTCTAACCACTACACCACGGAGGCGGTCTCACAGAGTATATAAGGTTGTACAGACAGGTATATAAGGATGTACAGAAGTATATAATGTTGTACAGACAGGTATATAAGGATGTACAGAAGTATATAATGTTGTACAGACAGGTGTATAAGGATGAACAGACAGGTATATACGGATGTACAGAGGTACATAAGCATGTACAGAGGTATATACGGATGTACAGACAGGTATAAAAGCATGTACAGAGGTATATATGGATGAACAGACAGGTATATACGGATGTACAGACAGGTATATACGGATGTACAGAGGTACATAAGCATGTACAGAGGTATATACGGATGTACAGACAGGTATATAAGCATGTACAGAGGTATATACGGATGTACAGACAGGTATATACGGATGAACAGACAGGTATATAAGCATGTACAGACAGGTATATACGGATGTACAGACAGGTATATAAGCATGTACAGACAGGTATATAAGCATGTACAGACAGGTACACAGGGCATATACTGCTGCATGGTCCACTACTCACCTTTATCTGCTGCATTCTCTGAACATTCTTGAACAGCCGGTCTTTCCGTGTCAGTTCATAGGATCTGGAAATTTAATAGCAGATTCTTACAATTGATCTATTGGCTTCAGCTAAACATTATGGCCACCATCCACAACGCAGAAGAAATGATATGACTAATATACAAGTGACTGATTATTAAACTTTTATACTGCTGAAATAAGTCAGTAACCCTTTTACCTCGCAACCACAACCCCAGTGATGAACAATGTATCACTGAATAATGACAACACCTATATCATGTATATGAGAAGCCTCTTCAGTTTGACAGTGCTCAGTTTACTTGACTGACCTGGGAAAGTGGTTGATCTTCTGGAACTCAGTCATGCTGCGGAGCGTAAATGGTTTAAGATGGGCATTGGTCCACAGGAGGTTGAAGTCAGCACTGTTGGGGTGGACCTGCATGAAATCACTCACATCCTGTACCTTGTTTTAAAATATGTTACAACTACAAATGCTCTACACAATACATGTAGTGATTCCCTGATGCTACAGAAACAGCAGTATGACACATCTGAGGACATCAGGTCACAATGACCTTTCACTCAACCAATCACAGCATCACTTAAACAATGCTGAAAGTGAAAGTCCAAATGCGTTTTCAGACTGTACTACAGGTTCCCTCACAATCATCCTTCAATGGGACAAACATTTGAATCGAAAGAGACTTTCCATAGCAAGTAGAAAGAAATGCCATTTGATCTATTGGACATTCCAGAATTGTCTTTTTTCAGTTGTAAATGGAAATCCTGAGCTTTTGTGTGGCAGTAGCGAGCACTTAGATCTGATCTAATGAGACTGAGCTATATGGATGATGGATGTCATTACTTGATGTAGAGTCAGTATCAGTGTAGGTCAGACAGCCGAGAACCTACTGATGCAGGACATATAGACAATGATGTGTATCCATACAGTGTGAGCATGATTGTCAAGTTTTATACTTCCTATGCTGAATATGTAAAGTCTCTTGCTATTTTTAAGTTATTGATAGACAAAAACAGTGTATGTAAGTACAAAGTTTTGAATCAGTGATCTAGATATGTATACCAATATGGGGTGAATATCAGAACTAATTGTTACCTCATGAAAACCATGGGAGGTGAGAATGTTTCGGACAATCTTGCATTCGGTTGTCCCGAATTTGAATGCCAAGTGATATCGCTCTGTAAACAATCACATACATTGGAATTAATAATATTTCATAGGTAAAGATACAGGTATGTAATTAGTGAGTTTAGTTTTACTCCACACTCAGCAATATTTCAGCTAAATGGCGGCGGTCAGTAAATAATCAGATCAGGACAATCTAGGGATCAACAGCATGAACATCAATGATACGATGACATGTGTCAACCAAGTCAGCGAGCCTGACCGACCGACCCCATGAGTCGCCGCTTACGACAAGCATGGGTTACTGAAGATCAATTCTAACCTGAATCTTCACGGGTCAGGTATGTAATTAATACATGGTGAAGTATAAATTTAAGATTAACGTGGATAATTTGGTACTGGATTCTAATAATGTTAATATTGAGTTGAAACTTATATAAACTCGAACTAACCTGTAGAGGTTTCAGATTCTTTGAATATATTCCTCCTTGGGGTACATATAAGCATTTAAATGTCCATTTAAAGTCCCTACGACAGTTTTAACAATATTTGAATAAAAATATTTACAAAACAAAAAACTATGTTTCTGTCTTGTGAGACCACCCCTACAGGGCCCTACGGCCCCCTACAGCCAAGAGCAGGTAACTCTAGCCTATAACCTCGTACCTCACTTTCCATGCTAAACGTAATCAGACAGAATGTGGGGAGGTGGGTGGCCGTACCCCAAGGAGGAATATATTCAAAGAATCTGAAACCTCTACAGGTTAGTTCGATTCTTTTTCATATATTCCTCCTTGGGGTATATATAAGCAAAAGACAGACTCCTTAAGATTGAGCTAGGGAGAGGTATTCTGTCTGTATACAAACAACCCCGACAATAAGAGTAATTCCCGAGCTAAAAATAGCAGAAAAGCTCACTTACCTGGTCACGTGTCCACCACAGCCAATCGGGTGGGGGCATGAGCCAGGGTCAGGGGTCGAACATATTATGTTTATAATGCGAAACCTCGCTAATGTAAACTGCTCAAATAATCCCCCCTCCCTCCCGTAAGTAGTCGGAAGCGAATATAAGGGAATTTATCAATAAACCCGAGAAAATATTTTGACGTATAATACAAGCAAAGGTTTTCATGGCAATAGGACTAGAGCAGTACGGAGGAATGCAAAGTACATGGGATAAAAATCACCACCATAAAACCTGACACCAAGGGAACAGGTAGGAAAGTTTTAGATACCCAACACCAGGTGAAATCGGCAGATAAATGGTTCATGTCTTAAAACCTCGAAAGCTCAATCGGCTAGAGAGGTAGAACCCTGCCTACTGGAGAGAACTGACTGACCGAACCGAGCACGCTCGCTAGAGTGTCTGTCAAGTTGATAGTGACGGATGAACGTACTCGGTTGGCTGCATATAGCCGCTGAGCAGATCTCCTCAATGGGCAGGGCTGCAGCATATGCCTTCGACGTAGCCACTGCCCTAACCGAATGAGCCTTCAACCCTTTAGGTGGTATACGACCTTTGTGCGTATATCCTATATAAATGGCAGAGACATGCCAACTAGAAATGGTTCGCTTGTTCGCCGGAAGACCAGCCTTGACCCCGCCATAACAGCAAAACAATTGGTTATCCTCACGGATACCTCTTGTCTGCTTGATATAAGCCTTAAGCGTCTTACGGACATCTAAGACGTGATCACGTCGTAGAGAGGTACCGGGCAGGGAAGGCTGTGTGAAAGCCGGGAGCTCAATAGGCCGTTACATGAAAAGCACTATCTCTCTTAGGACGGTAAGTGTCAGGCAACCGAATGCTAACACTGTCTATATGAAAAACAGTTAGCGCGGGGTCGGCTGACATTGCATGAATATCGCCTACCCGCCTGCCCGAAGTTACCGCCACAAGAAAAGCTGCCTTCCATGTTAACAGCTGGAGGGAAAGAGCCGACAGTTTGTGAAATAGAGGACTGGACAGCCAATCAAGAACGATTGACAAGTTCCACAGGGGACAATCCGCCGGATAGTCGGAAGGATTCTGTCCACGCCTGCTAAAAAGAGCTGAACAAGATGGTGTTGCCCCAAGAGTGCACCGTCAACAGGAATATGAAATGCCAAAATAGCCGTTGAATATCCTCGAACAGTTGAAGCCGCTAGACCGGCTTCCAACCAAGACTGGAGGAATTCTAACACAGATACTAAATCTGCACAAAAGGGATCGAGAATCCCCCTGTTGACACACCAGCAGGCCCATCTATCCTCATACTGAACGTTTGTTGAATCCCTCCGCAAAGCCAGAATTGTATCTGCAACTGATGCAGGAATTCCTCTCGCTTGGAGGCGATTCCGGACAGCGGCCAAACCACCCACTGAATCCTGGGATTCAGGTGGGGCGCTCCATTCTGGGATAGGAGGTCCGGTCAAAAAAGTAATAGTACAGGAGGCTGAGCCAGAAACCTGAGGATTACCGGAAACCAACTTTGAGCCGACCAAAGAGGTGCAAGGAGCACAAGAAGTCGAGCTGGTTGAGCGGCTAGCTGAGACATGACTTTGGGAATCAGCGGTATTGGTGGGAACGCCCACAGTACCCTGCCCGTCCAATCTAACTGAAAGGCGTCGTTGGTTATCACTCTCGGATCAGGAATCCGAGAACAAAACACAGGAATCTGATTCGTCACCCCAGACGCAAACAGATCTACCTGGAACGACCCGAACAACTGGGAGATAATCCCGAATATCCCGGTCGAGCATTCATTCGTGTGGGGCTAGTATATGTCGTGAGAGAGCATCTGCACGCACGTTGTCTACCCCCGGAAGATAAACAGGCAAAACCTGAATGTTGAACTGGTCGCACCACAATAGAAACTGCCACGCCTCCTGAAGGAGTGACGGGCACACTTTGCCACCTTGCTTTAGAATGTAAGTCTTGGCCGTCTGATTGTCCATTTCAAGACGAATCACTCGGCCACGGACAAACTCTAGAAAGCTCTCGAACACCCGGCGGACTGCTCTCAACTCTAACACATTGATGTGCAGGCTGACTTCCTGCTCCGACCATAGGCCTGAGGCTGAGTGGTCGCCAGGGTCAACTTTGACAATAAAGTCTGGAACTAGGGAAACAATCCCCTGCTCCGTATTGAACCTTGCCCCCAAGAACACCAGATCCTGCGTTGGAACGAGTTCTGATTTCTTGAGGTTAATAATCCAGCCCAGTTTCACCAGAATATCCATCACAAGCAGTGTGGATTCTCTGCTTAACTGTTGGCCTAGCGCCCTGAGAAACCAGTCGTCCAGGTACGGGTAACAACACCTGCCCTGAGACCTGGCTAACTGAGCTGGGATTAACATAAGTTTGGTGAACACCCTTGGCGCCGTGGAGATGCCGAAGGGGAGCACACGAAACTGGTAGCACATCCCGTCGAAGGAAAACCGAAGGTACTTCTTGATCTCGGGGTGCATCAGAACACAATCAGAAACCTCCTCAACTGATACCGCTTGCCAACATCCGGTAAGTCGAACCGAGAACGTGCACCAGTCAGCAGAGGATTCACTACCTCACTCACCAGTGACGGCAGAATGCGTAACCGTACCTCGGCGACCCGGGTAGGCGCAAAAGCCTCCCCCGTGAGCCTAAATTCCTCGGGGTCGGGCGCCTGTACCGGTATATCCATCTGGGGCAGCACTTCAGCGATACGTTCGCAGGGACGACCCGGAGGAGTACAGAACCCCAACTTCCGACTCCTCTCTCCCCTCATCCTCCTCCATGTCGACATCTACACACACCTCGGCTACCATACTCTCATAATCAAGAGAGGTCGCCGAGGGCGCCACTGATGCCGAACACGTAGTGCTCAGAAGGTCAAGTTGGGCCAGAAGGCTCGGGTCGCCCTGCCCCCTGGTGGAATCCACACCGGGGCGACAAGCACCCGAGAACCTGCCCCTACATGCTTCCCGGGCAACCCAGACTGCACACAGGGCACCGAGGTGTCCCTGACCTGGCGAAGACAGGTCAAGACCTGATTCGCCGGCACCTTGCGCCTGTGATTAACCTGAGCCTGAAGCTAGGTCGCCACAAGGTGCCCTAGGCAAGCTATCTCCAGATAGATACAGGAGTAGAGACAGGGGTAGAGATAGGGGTAGTAGAGGTCTCCTTGACGACCTTAGCTTTTTTAGGAGCTGACTCTGTAGAGGAGGTGGCTCCAGAAGACCCCTTCTTTTTGTACGAACGCTTGGACGGGGGATCCTTGCCCCAGATATCACCCCCCGCCCTGATTAAGTTGCTGTAGAACAGCGCATCCACCCTTCGAGACTTAATAGTTTTGGGGGAAAAACAGTCGCACGCTGGACAACTCTTCTCTTCATGATTACCCTCCGTAAGACAACGTAAACACACCTCATGAGTGTCTTTAACGGGGATAGACGAGAGGCATAAAGCACAGGTTTTAAACTGCAAAAAGTGAAAAACGTGCAACAACCTGCCCTTATAACATATACATAAAACACACACATGGGCGATAACAACTAATGCTAATGTAACTAACACATACATGTGAAAGATAAAGCAAGCATTAAGCTGAACACCAGCAAATAATAATAGGCTGGGCCCGCCGCAACATACCAGAACATACGACTAATATCGTATATATGAAAAACAAGCAATGGAAAAACCGCCCTAACGTATGCCAAAATACAATTGACACACTATAACTAGACTAAACATTGACGAAATCCTAAGAGGATACAATGAAAAAGTGAGCACAGCGAAGGCACCCATCCGCCATCTTGACAAGCACATGGCAAGCCGACCGGGACAGGGTACAATGTTACAACAAAAGATGAATGAAAAATTTCAGAAACAATCTCTAAATCGCCCATGCTGGGAAAAAAGAGAACCATACATACAGTAGCTGTTTCGGAACCACTCATCTTTAAGCAGGGAATTTTCAAAAATCAACTCTCTTGTCGATCTGGACACCACGTCTAGTCGGTCAAATGACAGCATCGAAAGTGAGGTACGAGGTTATAGGCTAGAGTTACCTGCTCTTGGCTGTAGGGGTCCGTGGGGCCCTGTTGGGGTGGTCTCACAAGACAAAAACGTATTTTTGTTTTGTAATTATATTTATTCAAATATTGTTACAACTGTCGTAGGGATTTTAAATGGACATTTAAATGCTTATATGTACCCCAAGGAGGAATATATGAAAAAGAATGTGAAAAAATGATGTCATGCACACTAGTGGTGGTCTGATTAATTGAAATAATCGAAGATTGGTTGCAGTGACTAAACGACCAAGCAATCGATAATGTTTTCTCACAATCGAACACAATTTTTGGTCACTTGTTTGCATTAACAATATTTTTCGCAAGGTAGGTTTTGTCTGTTACAATTCATAGGCACTACAAGCTCGTTCCAAGTCATGATTGAATTTATCTTAAACACTCCAGAAAATTTATCTCCCTAACATACTAGTCATCCTTTAAAGATGTGAAATTTGCAAATGCATTTTGTGAAATTTGCACAAAACATCCCGAAAGAACTACATGTTTTTTCTTTAATTTTTGTGCATTAACAAACATAACCAGGAAAATTTGATAAATGATGTTAACTGATTATTTTCGATGATTGATCGGTTGTAATGAACCAATTATGAGATTGTAACCAATGCCTAACACTAATGCACACTTCAACAAACATCAGGAAGTTTAGGATAACTGTTTACACCATGAACGTGATCCATGTTATTATCATGCTCTGTACTGTGTTGTAAGCACAACATGCCGGAGCTAGCAATGGTACCTCCTATAGTCTTCAGATCAGGCTTTTTCTGCATGACACCCTCAACTTTGAAAACAATCACCGCAGTCTTCTTCCCAAACCCTGTCCACACGACATTTGAGTGGTCAGATCTGAAACCACAACAACAAATATCCATTAGGAATCCATTAGACACTCATGATATGTATGCTATTAAGTGTGATCTTGCCATGGAGTTATATACTCAGAACTTATCTCCACTTGACTAATACAAACGGTAATGTAATGACTACACAAAATGATTGAGACCACTTCAATGGTAAACAGATACGAGAGCCTGTAGCATTACACGGGGAGATTTGGGGGACATACCCTTTGCTCTTATCTTCCTCCTCTTCATCTGTTTCATAGTCCGAGTCATGTTCACTTCTCTCCTCACCATCACTCTGTTCAGACGGGGTCAGTGACCCTGTGTCCGAGTCTGTTGCCTTGGCAGCCATCATGCACAACGTGTGTGTGTCGCCCTAGTTGCTAGTGCACACATGCACCATGGAAGGGCACAACCTCATCTAAACCGTTTCCACCAGGAGAACAAGGAGTCCTGGATAAAGATGACTAGGTTTAAATAGGTCGGGGATTAGTCAACAGACACACTGTTTAATGCATAAGCCAAGACATCATGGTGACACCACTAACTTTGTAACAGACAACATCTTTAAGGAAACCCTATTTATGGCATGATTGAATTAAAACTACAAACCGCAGTGTTCATCAGTCTAAGTAAACTTAGGCTCAGTATTATTCGTTACACTGCTATACTGAGCCTAACAAAAAACCTAATAGAAGGTCGCGTCAGCTAACCTTTTCGACTGACCAATCAGAACACAGCTTACCAAATCGCGAAAGTTAACATTCGCACATACCGTTTGAACCTTTACCTCAGAAACTCGACCGATTCTGAATGCTATTTTTCCGCACGATTGCTTCCGAGTGATAAACGCAATGAGTAAACAGTTGCTGAAAATAGCGTTTTTGTCAACATTCAAGGATGGCATCTTGCGAAAATATACGGAAAGCAAATAGTAACCATGTCATTAGAAACCCATAAGCGTATATACTGCAGGTCAAATATCTGTGTTTTATGCGGATTTTTGTTTGTTGATAGATCAGTGTCAGCGACCAGGGAAGAGAAAATCCAAAAACCGTCTTGTAAGTCCCGCCGAACCCTAACAAGTAGTCATTGTCTGATTGGTGAAATCTGTTCGGACGCCTCACGTTTGATTGGACGGTCATAGGTTGCTCAAAGGTTAGCTGACATGACCTTCTACTAGGTTTTGTTAGACTCAGTATAGCAGTGTAACGAATAATACTGCGCCTAAGTTCACTTAGACTGCAGTGTTCATATACTCCATTCAATCTGTAAATATACCTAAACATAATACATTCATCACAGTCCTTGAAACTAATTGTACCGTCAAACACTGTTGTGTTGGAGGGACCTACATAAATACTGAGTTATCTGAGGATCGACACAACTGAACAACAACTTGGGAAATATTTACCAATTTACATGATGAAAGAAGAACACGGAAACATGAATTTGCAATTTACTTTGAGAAGCTTGCTCAGTTGTAGTCACTGCTTCCTACTGTTAGTGTAGGAACATCTAAAGACTAATCCGTCTTATACCTTGAGATTATGTACATAATAATATTTATATATGCAGGATTCAAAATTTCCATAGTCTCAGACAGGATAAATCCAGGAAGTACCTGTGAAATGTTGATGTGGGCTACCACCTTTACAATTACTACATATTACGTAGATGCAGCTCGGAAGCAGGTCATTTTTTAGGACAAGTGAGTGAGTGAGTTTAGTTTTACGACACTTTTAGCAATATTCCATCAATATCATGGCAGGGATATGGGCTTCACATATTCTACCCATTTTGGGAATCTGTGTGACGAGTGAACGCTTTAACCACTATGCTACCCCACCACCCCCTTTCAGGACAAGTGAAAATATAAATAATATACAAACATAACACATGATTGTAGTTGGCAGCCTTGGCATGGCTGGCAGACATGAACTTGACAAACATGAACATGACCATTCCCACCAAATGCACAGTATGGTTCATAAAGAAACCCTGTCCTTCTATTATTATTTCAATTTCTAACAATTAAATTCAATATGGCAAATCACAACATTTTTGTTAAGCATTTGAAAATGACATGTTATCTCCAATATGGAAAATATTTTCATTTAACACCATTTAAAGGAGAAAAGTCTTAAAACTTTTTAATATTTACCATTGAAAGATCACAAATACACCAATAGTTTCATAGGACGTCCAAATCTTCTTGTTACTCAGAAAGTAAAAACTATGGATGTATAATGAAATCATATATACCTAGCGAAAACCTAAACAAAATCATAATGTCAACATTCTACATCTTGTACAGGTTCTTTGAAACATATCCATCTGTTGTTATTTCTGACAAAGAGTTGCTCTTGTCATACCACATTGTACGATTGCTTCATGCAACATGGTCCAGTCGGGAAAAAGATGTAAAATAAGGTCTGTGCATACTGAGAGCAGGTGAGGTTGGTCCCTCTGTATATGGTCTCTGGTCTGACAGAGCTAACTTATTACAAAAAAATGTGTATTTCCCTTTCCCTTTTTTACGAAAAACATAACGTTACGTTATATATCAGATAAGCCTAAGTCAAATCAATGCTTAACTCTGATGAATCCTACAAAGTGAGGATTCTCAAAATGTGTCATTATACGAGTTGACCTACTTATAGCCTGATAGTTTACAGTAACCATAGACACACAATTCAATATGGCGGTTGCTGTACCGGAAGCTTATATTAATATATAAAACCACAACAAACTATGATATAACAAGCATGAAAAGTCCAAATATTATTTTTAAATGGTTTATAAGATGCATATGCATAAGTGGTTACATGTAAGCCTTCAAATTCTAAGTATTTCTTCGGGTGACCAACAGCGTTATCAGGCGGGAAGACCACCAGTTTGTTTTTGTCTGAACAAGTAAACACTAAACTCAATCACTAAAACAACATTGATTTTCAACATACCTTCCATTAATATCAGCAAACAGGACTCAGAGGGTACATCAAGTTCGAGTTTTTATCTTGAAACCAGTCAAAACAACATAATACTCACGACGGGTGAAGTCAACATTGAGCTTGACAGAACACGCGCACTGCCAACTTCCGGATATGATGGGAAAACATGGCGGCGCCCGTGATTCAGAAGTTTAGACCAAGAATCGTCTCACAAACTGGTTTAAAATGCACTGCATCCATAATCTTTTTTCACGGTTCTGGTGAGCCCTATTATGTAACTATAGAATGTGTTAGTCCCACCAGAGACCATATATCGGTATATGGTCTCTGGTCCCCACGATAAGGGTTAGGGGTGTAACTGTAGAATCCTTCCCTTTGAGTTTGGGTTAGGGACGAACATATTCATGGGTTTCTAGTTTGGGTTTGTTTAGGGGCGAATATATTCTGCAGGCGCTCCGATTAGGTATTAATTAGGTATCAAAATTGTTTGAATTGTCCATATTTTCTAATTAACTTAAGAGAGCTAATGGCCGTTACCAAACCTCCTAAAGCAACCCCTCAAAGGAGTGATCTACAAGATTGATAACTGTGGCTGAAGGGGGTCGTTGTCGGCACAGGTACTACGACAAACTACAGAAACGTATCCGGTACCCTAAACGACGGATGCGTCCATATTCCGCAACCCAATACTGAAACCGTATGTAGTTATTCCCTTTCAGCTGATTGCGAGTGGTGTACGTTGTGCACCGCGAAATATTCGTTACTGTGTATGCTCTTATATAACGCAATGAAATGCATCTAATACAACAGTATGACAGTTCTGATTAAGAAAACTCCACAATGCAGAATGGAATCGTCCAAGGTACGTTTCTGTATTCTGATTTTGGTTAGGGTACATTTCTGTATACAGAAACGTACCTGTGGTACACATTTGTAGTACCCATGCTGACAACGACCCCTTCAGCATAACTGTGACTGTGGTGACTCCTATAGGTGAAACCTACCCTCCCATAGATATCAGCATCAAAGAAGCGTAAAACCTCAACGGCCCCAAATTCGACAAAGTTGAAATGCTATCCACCGAGAATCAGGATTTCACGAAAATAAACGATTTGGAAGCTATCGATATCCGCCAACACAAACCTTTGATTAACATAACACTGGCCTTGGAAGAACTTATCAAACTATAGACTTTATCAATTAGAACACCCGCGAAGGTCCGGGTTAGAATATTGATCTTCAGTAACCCATGCTTGTCGTAGGAGGTGACTTAACGGGATCGGGTGGTCAAGCTTGCAGACTTGGTTGACACATGTCATCGGTTCCCAGTTGCGCATTATGATGCTCATGCTGTTGATCACTGGATTGTCTGGTCCAGACTCGATTATTTACAGACCGCCGCCATATAGTTGGAATATTGCAGAGTGCGGCGTAAAACTCAACTCATTCACTATCAATTAGAAACCTATCAGCCTGTTTTCACTACTAATCCCTCCAACTTATTGGCTCATCACCTGAGGTATTTGTTGTTCTTACTCCCCAACTGGCCACATCCAATTATGTACCACTTGCTTTTCAATTACATGCTGCTGTTAATGTTAATCTGATGTTTGTCACAACACTCTACATATATGGCATCAGGCTAACTGTTCCTCGGATATTCTATATATTCTTCCCAATACTTTGTTGTAATCACTTTTTAGCTTGAAAACAGTGTGCTGTAAGAATGTACACCGAAACACCGCTCTGTTCAATAAACAAAAAGTTGTTATCCATAAAGTTGTATGCTTTATTATTGACTCTCCAACTTCTGGAATGCTCATCAAACAAAACTCATGGTCATGTTGATGCTAACTGTCTTCTATGCTTATACTCATAGCTAATTAGTTTGTGGATCCTTTGACAACAGAGATGCAGTTTACTGCGCTTACAATTGGCTGGTACTCAGGTTTTCGTTCATAGATTTGTGTCTCCCTAATCCTGCGTTGCGTTAGGGTTAGGGTAGATTGCACCATATCCTATCTTCAGCTCTTTTGCAATATGGCTGGAATATGACCTAGACGTGACTATCTCTATTCTGTTATAATCCAGTATGTTACTAGTCTTATACTTGATTATCTCCAGTCTGAGATAAGATTTACAATATGCCATGAATATTGTTCACTGGGGTATATAAAACACCCTGCAACAACATTTGCTCACTAGATAGATAGACATCTTCACTGTCACTTTCACTGGGACTGAAACTGTAACAAGTTTATGATTATATCAACTATTGTTTCCATGTAATCTTGTTTATATTTATGTTTCTTGGCCCTTTTCTGTTTTGGTCCTTAGTAATGTATCAGGGGTTACTACATTCACTATTGTGGTGGTACTGAACCCACATTAAGGCCTGATAATTTTATGAATAAATTCAATATGAATGAATGAAGTATTTCTGGCCATGTTGGAGGTGGTCAGTTTCCACCCTGTCACTATTCAAACCAATTGGAAGTTGTTAAATGTAACTCTAATCTGAAGTGGTACACATGGCAGATTTGACATATGACCATAAAAAAGTGAATTTCTGACACATAATTTGCTTTGAACCTATAATTAGTTGTAACTACTGAACTGATCATTTGTTATACTTGGTATCAGTAATACCATCAACAGTATTTATCAGTATAGTACAATTGTACGGAAAACAGTTGAAATATATCAGAATATTGATAATGATAGAGCAATACACCCATATTGTATGTTATTGTCGTCATCATCCTGACGGATACCTCTCCTCTGCAGGTGACACAGGGAGAGGTATTGAAGAATGGCTGGGGTCTCTGTGTGGAGGACAGTTCAACTTCCCCCACATCAGAACAGTGTTTCCATCAGCGCCAATGAGGTAATCATGGTGACGAAATCAGTGTTTACTACCGATCTACCAGACCATTTCTAGTATCTTCTCAATATTACTATTTCCTTTACTTTGTTAATACTGCATCTGAGTAACCATTTGAATAAACACAGGCAACTATAAGACAACAAGTACGTAAACTTTAGCACAGACTCCGAGCGGCATCGGGGCGGTGGGGTAGCCAAGTGATGACAGCATTCGCTCGTCACGCCAAAGACCCGGGTTCGATTCCCCACATGGGTACAATATGTGAAGCCCAATTCTGGTGTACCCCATCGTGATATTGCTGGAATATTGCTAAAAGTGGCGTAAAACTCACTCACTAACTCCAAGCAGCATATTAAAGGCTGAAGGTGCTGTTTACTGAGTGCATTGGGAAGTATTGTTTTCTCCTCAAGACTCCTGTGTATGTATATCTAACGTTGTGTTCAAGACGCTGCAGCTACATGGGAGGATCACCTATGCACATGTGGTTTGACCGGCTGGCAGTGTCTCCCGATGTTGGCGAACACGATTCAGTGCATGAAATATGTCATGAGATATCTCACCTTATTGATGCAGAGGTTCAGGCAGGAATTCCCAAACACAGAATTCTGCTGGGTAAGACATATTTATAATTGTATCATGGACCACAACAAGCTTATTTATTTTGTTTGCAGTGGTTGCTTACTTTAGGAGTCAAGTTATCCCTCTTTGATTGTGGTGGTTGCATATTGAAAGTGTTAAATTATCTGCCCTTGTTTGGAGTGGTTGTCTACTGAAAGTGTTAAATTATCTGCCCTTGTTTGGAGTGGTTCTGAAACTGTTAAATTATCTGCCCTTGTTTGGAGTGGTTGTCTGCCCTTGTTTGGAGTGGTTGTCTACTGATGTGTTAAATTATCTGCCCTTGTTTGGAGTGGTCTACTGAAAGTGTTAAATTATCTGCCCTTGTTTGGAGTGGTTGTCTACTGAAAGTGTTAAATTATCTGCCCTTGTTTGTGGTTGTCTACTAAATTATCTGCCCTTGTTTGTGGTTGTCTACTGAAGTGTTAAATTATCTGCCCTTGTGTGGGCCGGTTGTCTACTGCAGTGTTAAATTATCTGCCCTTGTTTGGAGTGGTTGTCTACTGAAAGTGTTAAATTATCTGCCCTTGTTTGGAGTGATTGTCTGTCCTTGTTTGGAGTGGTTGTCTACTGATGTGTTAAATTATCTGCCCTTGTTTGGATCGGTTGTCTACTGAAAGTGTTGATTGTCTGGAGTGGTTGTCTACTGAAAGTGTTAAATTATCTGCCCTTGTTTGGAGCGGTTGTCTACTGAAAGTGTTAAATTATCTGCCCTTGTTTGGAGTGGTTGTCTACTGAAAGTGTTAAATTATCTGCCCTTGTTTGGAGTGGTTGTCTGCCCTTGTTTGGAGTGGTTGTCTACTGAAGTGTTAAATTATCTGCCCTTGTTTGGAGTGGTTGTCTACTGAAAGTGTTTAATTATATGCCCTTGTTTGGAGTGGTTGTCTACTGAAAGTGTTAAATTATCTGCCCTTGTTTGGAGTGGTTGTGTACTGAAAGTGTTAAGTTATCTGCCCTTGTTTGGAGTGGTTTTCTACTGAAAGTGTTAAATTATCTGCCCTTGTTTGGAGTGGTTGTCTACTGAAAGAGTCATTTTGTCTGCCCTAATTTGCAGTGGTTGTGTACTGAAAGTGTTAAATTATCTACCCTTGTACATGCAATCCAGGGACATTATAAGTGTGATATAAACACTATGATACACACACAACCATGTAATACCACTCCTTGTGTGCTGATACAACACTTGTCCCCCACTGATCATGCAAGGCTGTTACAGTAGTTACCACACAAACAGTGGTCATGTGTTCCAATGCTGGTTTCTATGCACCATTCCCATGATAATGGGTTTCACAAAAGAGGTAAAACACTTGTCATTGTCATATACATTTCCTTGTTTGGAGTATAATCAAACATCTAGTACAGAAAGTAAAACACTTGTCATTGTCATATACATTTCCTTGTCTTGAAGTATAATCAAACATCTAGTACAGAAAGTAAAACACTTGTCATTGTCATATACATTTCCTTGTCTTGAAGTATAATCAAACATCTAGTACAGAAAGTAAAACACTTGTCACGTTGTCATATACATTTCCTTGTTTGAAGTAAAATCAAACATCTAGTACAGAAGTAAAACACTTGTCATATACATTTCCTTGTTTGAAGTATCAAACAATCAAACATCTATTTCCTTGTTTGAAGTAAAATCAAACATCTAGTACAGAAGTAAAGTAAAAACACTTGTCATCTAGTACAGAAGTAAAACACATATACATTTCCTTGTTTGAAGTAAAATCAAACATCTAGAACAGAAGTAAAACACTTGTCGTTGTCATATACATTTCCTTGTTTGAAGTAAAATCAAACATCTAGTACAGAAGTAAAACACTTGTCGTTGTCATATACATTTCCTTGTTTGAAGTAAAATCAAACATCTAGTACAGAAGTAAAACACTTGTCTGAAATGTTTCCAGGTGGATTTTCCAATGGAGGCTGCTTGTCTCTTCACCTCGGTTACCGGTTCCACAGAGATGTGGCTGGGATCTTCAACCTCTCCAGCTTCCTGCAGACAGAGTCATCTGTGTACAAGGTGGGCTTCCGAATTAGTAAAACTATTTAAGATTTATTATTTGTTCATCACGGCAAACTGTAAACAACAACTGTGTGAAGTATTACATACAATGCAGCAGTTCTGAATCACTCTCAGGACAAGTTCCATGACCAGAACTGCCAGATGTTGAAGCTGAAATCGTCAATACAACAAATCTGAGACTTGACTAGAACAAACTTTATCTTACAGTTACAAAGCTATGAAACATCTTTACTGAGTCACAAGTTGAGAAACATTAAGCTCCTCTTCTATCAACTACTGACATAGTGTCAATGAGTATTTCGCTTTACAATGGCCAGTTCGATAGATATATTTCTGTCTCTCTTATCTCTTACTTGGCAGCACAGTACTTGTCTCACTCATGATCTATAAACTAGCAAGCAATCAAAATGTCTCATGAATGAGAGTTTGACAGAGAATGAGAGAGGTATACTTCACACGTGGCTGCCTGTCACGAGTTAGCTAGGATGTAAGCTACATAGAAGAAGCTAATGAACACTCAGGGGCCATATCCATGATGGCAGATAGATTGTAAAGCACAATCTGTGGGTCTTTGAATTCTGTCATATAGTTGTTGAATTGGAATAATGATCTTAATGATTTATCTTATAGCTGAAATAGACGTGTTTGTCATTGAACATGGTGAAATGTTGGGCATAAAATGAACATGTAAATGTTTCCAGGTGTGGACAGGAGATATTCTAAACAATGGAAGATGTGTCAGGTATTCAGTGAATCATGTCAGGTATTCAAGGAGTCATGTCAGGTATTCAAGGAGTCATGTCAGGTATTCAAGGAGTCATGACAGGTATTCAGGGAGTCATGACAGGTATTCAGGTCAGGTATTCAGGTATTCAGTATTCAGAATCATGTCAGGTATTCAGGAGTCATGTCAGGTATTCAGTCATGTCAGGTATTCAGTGAATCATGTCAGGTATTCAGGTCAGTATTCAGGAGTCATGTCAGGTATTCAGGAGTCATGTCAGGTATTCAGGGAATCATGTCAGGTATTCAGGTAGTCATGTCATGTCAGAGTCGCGTCAGGTAAGGAGTCATGTCAGGTATTCAGGGAGTCATGTCAGATATTCAGGAATCATGTCAGGTATTCAGGTAGTCATGTCAGGTATTCAGGAGTCATGTCAGGTATTCAGGGAGTCATTTCAGGTATTCAGGGAGTCATGTCAGGTATTCAGGGAGTCATGTCATGTCAGGTATTCAGGTAGTCATGTCAGGTATTCAGGGAGTCATGTCAGGTATTCAGGTATCCATGTCAGCTATTCAAGAGTCATGTCTGGTATTCAGGTAGTCATGTCAGGTATTCAGGTAGTCATGTCAGGTATTCAGGGTGTCATGTCAGGTATTCAGGTAGTCATGTCAGGTATTCAGGTAGTCATGTCAGGTATTCAGGTATCCATGTCAGGTATTTAGGAGTGAATTCAGATGGTCTGTTTCTCTTCTGCAGGCCTTGCAGCAAGATGCATCACATTTACCTCCCCTGTTTCAATGCCATGGAAAGGAAGACCCCTTAGTGGACTACAAGTGGGGGGAGAGCACATGGAACCGCCTGAAGGAGCTTGGGGTGAAGGGGGAGTTCCACGGGATTGAGGGACTCGACCATCAGATGAGCATTAGAGAGATCCAGATGCTGAGCAAGTGGATTACAGACAGGGTTCCTGAAGATGGTGGCACTACTGCAGCTCAACTATAGACATGGCAGGACCTGTCGGTGGACGCAGTATGTTTACAAGAAGAATCCAGTATAGACGCTGTTCATTTACACAGTCAGGGATGGACACGGATGGATGTTGAATATTAGCCTCACTGTCCATGAAGTGATAAATGCAATGAGGGGCAAACATTTTGGAAATAATTTCTGGAAGGAAATGTTAGCCATGTCCACACTTTAATTACACATTTGTTGTGTCTCTTACTCACAATAGCTGTAAAAGAATTTCTCATGAGTTTTACCAACTTGTTGCTAGATGTAATGGTGGTTTGTGAGGACATTTAGATATTTATAAGGACCAGGAAACCATTCACTGAAACAAGCAGATTTGTAACTTTGTCTGTACTGCCAGGCCTTTATCTGGGTATCAGCTTGCTGTGAATTTCAGAAGATAGGAATTGATTTAAATGTTACGAAGTGTTAAAATTAAAATTTCAGTATACCAATCCTATTTCACAACGAGCATATAAGCAGCTGTTTATTCTTACAAGGCATATTGTTGCACTCAATGAAGTATCATGTGTTTCGAGAATAAGAACAGTTGAAGTTTAACCAGAACATTATTCTTTGTGCCAGTGGTTGTTATGTTGTTAAGATGTATGTTGTTACGATGTATGTCGTTACAATCTATGTCGTTACTATGTATGTTGTTACGATGTATGTCATTACGATGTATGTCGTTACGATGTATGTCATTACGATGTATGTCGTTACGATGTATGTCGTTACGATGTATGTCGTTACGACGTATGTTGTTACGATGTATGTCGTTACGATGTATGTCGTTACAATCTATGTCGTTACTATGTATGTCGTTACGATGTACGTTGTTACGATGTACGTCGTTACGATGAATGTATGTTGTTATGATGTACGTTGTGACGATGTATGTCGTTACAATGTGTTACGATGGATGTATGTTGTTACGATGTACGTTGTGACGATGTATGTTGTTACGATGTACGGTATGTGATCAAGGGTAAAGGAGTGGACTAATGTTTTACTTATGTTAACAGTGCAATGAATAGCTGGAGAGTGCTATATATTGAGGCCCGTACCACTCTGCATACTCAGCACTCCAACAAATAATCAGTCTGCTGTAGAAGATGGCATTTACAATTTCAAGCCCGAAACTAGTTACATATATAGTCACATTTCAGAGCAAGAAAATATGCTTTTATTCTTTTCATACTTTACCTAGATATTGTCTTTTTCTCCTGAATAATGCTTCAAATATGCAGAGCAAATTGTTGATGTACCGGTGACATGGAACATTCTAAGCTGACCAATCAGAGCTGTGCTTTAAACTACCCGTTACTCAGTGGAACAAGTAAATACATACACTTTCATTGATGAGACACACAGAGAACTTAACTCCTCTCGAAGTGAAGTGTCAATTATGGCTGACATCTGTGGATTTACTGTCGTCTTAGAAGAGTAAGAAGAATAATTACTGGTTGTTATACATGTTTAGTAATGTTTGGGATATGGTGATGATTCATGCGGAAGTATTTGCTATTTTATGTGCCAAAACATCTGTAAGAGCCATATGATGTGGTCAGCAGGATGTGAATTAATCCAACAAGTCTGTATACTGGATCACTGCTGACTGCATGGAGTCCTTGAGGCATCTTGACCACATAAAGATGGTTCTCGTCTTACTTTATCCAGACTGTTTGACAGGTGAATGCTATATCATGGTGTGATGGTGCATGGTGTGATGGTGCATGGTGTGATGGTGTTACGTTATTCAGTATAGCATACATTGATGACTGACTAAGGTGGATGTGAACTGGGATATGGGAAATATGGTGATCTGTTGTTTTTTGTACACAAGTATTGTTACATTATATTTTACAACCTGAAAATAAATTTTATATATAACCATCTTATTCTTTGTTTGTTGATTTCATATGTTTGTCTCACTTGTGATGTTGGGTTAGAATACAAAGTGTCTCTTGAGTTTGATTCCTGGTGGGTCTGCGCCATACATGTGGCTGTGGGTGTCACCACCATGGTCAACTTCTGCATCACTCCAATCATTAGCTTACCCGGAAATGCTGACTGTCACTCACCTCATTTATCATGTTAGACACTGGGATTAAATACTCTGTTGCCCCAGGTTATTTGTCAGCTTGTTGTATTGATACAGACACGCCTGTACCTGAAGTTTGGTTGGCTGGTTGGTTGTTTATCGCCGCGCTCAGCAATATTACAGCTATATTACAGCTATATTACAGCAATATTACAGCTATATTACAGCAATATTACAGCTATATGGCAGCGGTCTGTATATAATCATGTCTTGACCAGACAGTCCAGTGATCAACAGCGTGAGCATCGATCTACACTGTTGTGTTACTATTGTACGAGAAGGCCAATACACAATGCTTGTCAACAGCTACAGTAAGAACAAAGCAGCATGAACTGGTCGGTTAAGGATCAGCCGTGAGAGCAACATGTTGATTTCAGGGTAGAACTGAACATCAGCAAAGATAAGATTTCCAGAACACTTTATGATTGAAATGGTCTCTAGCAAGTATCGACCTCCAGTACACTGTGAATTGCCAGGATTAGACTTGGTCCTCAAGGATCAAACTTCATGAACACCATGAGGATTGTGGGGTTAGAATTGATCCCCCAGCAGAGATCAAACTTCATGAACACCATGAGGATTGTGGGGTTAGAATTGATCCCCCAGCAGGGATCAAACTAAATGAACACCATGAGGATTGTGGGGTTAGAATTGATCCCCCAGCAGAGATCAAACTTCATGAACACCATGAGGATTGTGGGGTTAGAATTGATCCCCCAGCAGGGATCAAACTAAATGAACACCATGAGGATTGTGGGGTTAGAATTGATCCCCCAGCAGAGATCAAACTTCATGAACACCATGAGGATTGTGGGGTTAGAATTGATCCCCCAGCAGAGATCAAACTTCATGAACACCATGAGGATTGTGGGGTTAGAATTGATCCCCCAGCAGAGATCAAACTTCATGAACACCATGAGGATTGTGGGGTTAGAATTGATCCCCCAATCCAGACATAGGAAAATCCTGTTGAAAATAAAAGTCTGCGAAGTCCAGTTACCCAATTTATCGTTCCATCATTATCAAAAATCTTTGACATATCATAGCAAGCTTTGGGATATCGCCCTGACAGCATACATAAAAGTCTGCTCCAGTAGCTGACACAGCGACTGAAATATTTAACACAAACTGGATGCCTCCCTACATCTAACACCATACGAGCTGGGGTGAATTTTGATACATTTAAACATCGTTTGAAAAACAGACTCTGTACTCTTTCAATATTACCTCTGTAGGAGAAACCCCATATTTCAGCCCCGTACAATAGAATAGGCATTATCTTTGTATCAAATATGTTTACAACTACTTTGAATGGAAGAGCAGGATATACTTTCATCAATTTATTAATAGGAAACGGAGCTATTCTAGCCTGTAAAGAGAGGGCATCGCATGCTCTGGACCAAACTAATCTTGACGTACAAATAATGCATGTACCCAGGGACTTATAATACGTTACAAAAACCTGAACCTGTTTGCCTGAATAAAACCACTTTTCTACACCCTATAAGTAACCACCATTTCTAAAAACAATTATATTTGATTTATCAAGGTTGACTTCTATGCCCCACTTCACACAATAATCATATAAAAAATCTAATCTTTTTCTGCAAACCAACTACGGAATCGTCAAATAACATCATCAGCGAATAACAGTAGCAAAATTTCTTCTATTTCTTCTGTAACAAAAATCCCTCTGAAGGTACCATTTCTAAAATCTAGTGTTTTTAATTAATCCCAAGCAAGGATGAAACTTCCAGAAATCTATGTGGACTCCTGCTCCAGATTCGGTCTCTGTCAAATGGCTGATCTGGTTGATAGCTTGACATTACATATGCAATGTTAGATCTGTATGTTAGTATGTCATCGTATGCATTGCCACACTGCCAGCCTCATCATATCATCATTTGCATGTGCATAGTTACGTCCCTTGGGCACCCGGAAACATGTGATTTGGGTTTTGAATTCCAGTTAGAGCCGATAATGTTTTCAGTTAGTTTTTGTCAACTTTGTGGGATTCCTGAAATTGCGGAGGTCTTTCCATCCACGTTAAGCTGGCGCCCCGCGATACAACACAAGTACTGCGCAAGTGGCATTGAACCAAACTCACTCACTCACTCAGTCACTCGCTCACTTATCGTACGGAAGGAAGTGGATCGCCCGACACAGACCCTGTTATTTTAAAGTCAATCATGGATCAATAATTATATATCCATTTCATACATATATCCTAGTCATAGATCAAACACTTAAGACATCTTAACACAGATCAAGTGTTAAAATCACACCAAACGTTAGGTAGTTTCATGTAAGCCATACAACCTTCCGTTGGAGACGTTTTCCCGAGGAATGGAATTCCACCCTATAAAGCATTTCAAACTCTGCTATATTTCCATATGAAGACAATCATGAATCACCAATGAATTATAAACAGAAACGTTTCGACGGCGGTAAGCGGCCGATTAGCTAGAAACAACACGAGCCCGACCCAGGCTACTTATAAGTGAATTGAGACGAATCATATGAAGTTTAGCTTGGATAAACCTTCACATTTTGTGTTAGATTTAAGAAGAAATAATAAATGGAATTATAATTGACAAACTTTCCATCGAAACACACAAAACAACAAAATATTTAGAATAGTATGATTCACCTGAGAGCTAGCGAGCATCTGCAAAGATAAAAATAAAACAACACTAACATGGTACATCAACTTTTGGGTCTTAACATATTGTGTGTTTTTTTCCACTTTTTTAATTTGGGTGGTGGGTGTATCTATTTTTCGTTGTGATCTGCCTCAGCCCTGGTTTTAAGAAAGACTGAGGAGAGAAGCGTCTGAGGATAGGGAAGTGATGGGGGAAGGGCAAAGAAAGTAGGAGATTGTGTGGTGTCTTCGGAAGCAACCCCTAAGATTCCCAGGATTGGTTGTAAAACAAGGTGTCTGGAACAAGTTTAAATAATGATCATAACGATTTACTTGAGAGATCGAATAGAAATTTGTACAGTTTCGTTGCGCGGTCCCTCGCTATTTTATGTAGTGGTATGCAATACATCGCGAATATTTACCTCCCTTTGAAATGATTTGGTTGACAACAAATAGTTTACATATGGCGACCAAGGCGTTCTGAGAGACTTGTGATAAGGTAGTTTCTTCAAAATGTCATCCCAGACAGAGGTGCCGGGGGTAAATAATGCCGTGGCGAAGCTTCAGGAACTTGGTGAGTTAATGATCTTTGTTTTGGAATGGACCCACAAATGTAGTTGTGACTGCTAAATAAACAGATCGTTAGCGACATGCAGCAGAGACCGTACGAAAGATCAGCGAAATATACTTCTCATCAAAGGTTTAGACTCACTAGTGTAAATATAATTACTTCAGGCAACTGTACTAAACTAAATTTTGCAAAATATTCCATACTGTTTAAAGGTACTGTTTACACATGAACTGATGTATCGTAAAACAAATTCGTAACGTTGAAAAGATTATTGTCATGAGTTCAGTAAATGATGAAAATCAGTGAAAAGTGGCGAATTCTTAACAAAACTTTACACCACAATGCAGCTGTTCACATGCACGATATTTGCACCTGCTTTTCAGCAATTTGATGCATGATCCTCATGCAATTCAGCTGCATATAGTTTGCAGTTGGTTCCCCTAAGTTAGTGGAGAAATCAATCTTCGATGTAACCATATATATATACACAAATAGTGAGTGCTTTAAGTGAGTCTAAACTTTTAAGCGAAGTATATATACTAGGCCTTATATAGTCCCTGCATGCAGTAAATCCAAGAGATCTAATTGTTGAAAGCAGGAATTTAAAGTGATTGGTTTATTTTGAAAACCTGTCCATCATTTTAAACAGAAATATCACGTTGTTTAATATTGTTTCTATGCAAAGAAAAGTTGAGTTAGAAAACAAAGTTGGAAATTATAGGGCGTCATTCTATATTTCAATATTTTCATACACCATCAAATCAAAGGAATGAATTTCATTTGCATCCCACACAAAAAATAATTAAACTTACAATGTGATGTGAAACAGATATTGACTTCTTCAAGAGTTTGGAGGTGACTGTGAATCGTGTGATCAAACCGTGTGATTTTCCGATAGCAGATATCGACGCCAAGCAGATGATTTATCACTTACGTTTTTGACAGCACTAAAACTTTTTACAAACTTTTCAACATTCTATTTTTCATAGAGGTTAGTTCTCAGTGATCTATGTTTCAAACTGACATATGTTTCTCAAATTTTATCAAACATTGTGTAATAGTAATTGTTTGTGTTTTTAATTTTAAAATTGTGTTTATTTTTATATTATGCAGACATGTGTATGTAGCTTTATTCAGAGTATTTTGTCACATGAGCGGTAGTGGGAAAATGTGTGTTAACAAACAAACTGCCAGTGAAGTCACATCTTGTAAATTACCAGAAAAACACTATTCGATATGGTCAAGTGTAAATATATGCCAAGCAAAAATGTGACGGTACAATAAATGATAATAAATGATGTTTTCTTTATTGCAGGTGACCGAATGAGATCCGAACATTTTGGATTTCTTGACAGTGATGTTAGCAATATTGACAAAGTTATAGAAGCACTCCATGAGCTGGTAAGTATCAAGATAGTTTTCAGATATGAATTTATTACCTATGGTCACTTAGAAATATACATGTTGTGATTTATTAGATTAGACAAAATCAGTTTACAGATATGATTAGATAAGATGCATGTACATATTGGTTAAAAATAGCACAAGTATTCTTACTTCCCATGTGGATGCTACAGACCACAGCATGTACAGTATGATCTGAATCGTCTGCATTTGGTTTTTCATATTTTGAAATTGTGTTTGTCGGTTTGTTGGTTAGAAGCATTTAGTTTGTTATGTAGATTACTCCAACAACAAATATATTATTTACTGCACTGTAGGAACAAGAGCGCAAGCAGCTTCATGATGAATTGGAGACAGAAACTATCAAAGCCAGTGTTAATCGTCACAAGTTACAATTTCTGCCTGCTGAAATCAAAGAAGAAATTATGGGTGAGTAAGATGTTTTATTGATTAGTCTGAGACATTATATAAGTCTAGGTGATATGAAGGGATTAAATAAATTCCCTTTGTGAGCATGATGGTTGATTGTCATATTGTGTTTCTAAATGTTTTATTTCTACAAAAACAACTCATTGCCATTTTGTGAATTTTCTTATTTTCGCAGTTGCGGTCAACTCTGCCCGTCAGTCTAATGCGAAAGCCCAACAGGAAATGCAGGACAAGCTTGACAACATCAACAAGAATATTGTGTATCAGGGAGAGCGCCACCAAGAGCTGGAGAAGGAAAACTCCATACTGCAGTAGGTACCCAGCTGAGTGTGTTACTACTGTCTGTCAGAATGTTTTATCCTTCACCTTGGAAAACAAACAGAAAGCTCAAATCTCATCGTTTTCCTCCCAGTATTTACTGTACAGAGCCCCTCTCAATGCAGCAAACTTAGCACCACAACTGTTGGAGGTTTTGTGCTGAGATCAACTAGCTGAAAAGTCTCAGAGGACCAAGTGAATAGCTTAGAACTTCTTGTGGTTTACCAGAAACCCATGATTGGGTCTAGAAGGCCAGAATCACCCTGATGATGTCCATGCTTGCAGGTGCAAGTGTTAAACGTCTAACATCTACATCATGTCAATCACACAAAACAGATACACTGGAATAAATAACATAAATACTGTTCTTAGTGGTATTTAACTGACTGACTGACTGACTGACTCACCCTCAGGTTGAGCAGAAATGGCTTGATAGTATGGTATGATAAAGTACCAACAACTTAAATTGTGTATGATTGTTGATCTGATGCGTTGGTTCTGTTTTTCCAGCCCTGAGAGAGAGTTGGTTCGTCAGCAGCATGAAGAGATCATATCCCAGCTTAACCAGAGGATGGCAGAGAAAGCCAGGTGAGACCTGAGTCTCTCAGACGCCTCCTATGCTATCATATCTTCAAATGTATAACTTTCCAAACCAAAGCCAAAATAATTTCAGAATTTGGTGCATGGTTAACATATGATACAAGTAATTCTTTGTTTTAAATCAAACATTTTATGTTAACTACAACTGTCAGGTGTACCCTTGTAATATATGTTGACACATTTGGAGGCAGTGGTCAACTTATCCAGTTCTGTCTGTGGTAGGTTCCTCATGCAAGTTGACTTCATCCTATATTTTGTCATATGTCATGAAGACATTGATATTGGTGTCATAATCAATGTATCTAATGTCTTAAACTTTCAGCATGCAGATTGCCTTGAATGAGACCAGAGACAAAGTTCGCCAAGCCAATCAGAATGTATGTATTTGAGGGGTGATAGTTTAAATAATTGTGATCTATATTGGGACCCTAAAATACACTGGAAATGGTTGTAATACTACAAATGTGTGAAGTCCTCAGTTTGTGGAATAAACATGCATGCTGCTCTGTACCTGAGTCAGTTTCTGAAAAGTACAATGCTCTGTGCTGATCTGGTTCTCTGTGTAGATTGTGGACCTGGTGTACTATGCTCTGTGCTGATCTGGTTCTCTGTGTAGATTGTGGACCTGGTATACAATGCTCTGTGCTGATCTGGTTCTCTGTGTAGATTGTGGACCTGGTATACAATGCTCTGTGCTGATCTGGTTCTCTGTGTAGATTGTGGACCTGGTGTACTATGCTCTGTGCTGATCTGGTTCTCTGTGTAGATTGTGGACCTGGTGTACTATGCTCTGTGCTGATCTGGTTCTCTGTGTAGATTGTGGACCTGGTGTACTATGCTCTGTGCTGATCTGGTTGGTCTGTGTGTAGATTGTGGACCTGGTATACTATGCTCTGTGCTGATCTGGTTCTCTGTGTAGATTGTGACCTGGTGTACTATGCCCTGTTCTCTGTGTAGATTGTGGACCTGGTGTACAATGCTCTGTGCTGATCTGGTTCTCTGTGTAGATTGTGGACCCTGGTGATACAATGCTCTGTGCTGATCTCTGGTTCTCTGTGTAGATTGTGGACCTGGTGTACTATGCTCTGTGCTGATCTGGTTCTCTGTGTGTGTGGACCTGGTATACAATGCTCTCTCTGTAGATTGTGATCTGGTGCTGATCTCTCTGTGTAGATTGTGGACCTGTGTGGTTCTCTACAATGCTCTGTGCTGATCTGGTTCTCTGTGTAGATTGTGGACCTGGTATACAATGCTCTGTGCTGATCTGGTTCTCTGTGTAGATTGTGGACCTGGTGTACTATGCTCTGTGCTGATCTGGTTCTCTGTGTAGATTGTGGACCTGGTGTACAATGAGTGTGCTGAATGCTCTGTGCTGATCTGGTTCTCTGTGTAGATTGTGGACCTGGTGTACTATGCTCTGTGCTGATCTGGTTCTCTGTGTAGATTGTGGACCTGGTGTACTATGCTCTGTGCTGATCTGGTTCTCTGTGTAGATTGTGGACCTGGTGTACTATGCTCTGTGCTGATCTGGTTCTCTGTGTAGATTGTGGACCTGGTGTACTATGCTCTGTGCTGATCTGGTTCTCTGTGTAGATTGTGGACCTGGTGTACTATGCTCTGTGCTGATCTGGTTCTCTGTGTAGATTGTGGACCTGGTGTACTGTATGCTCTGTGCTGATCTGGTTCTCTGTGTAGATTGTGGACCTGGTGTACAATGCTCTGTGCTGATCTGGTTCTCTGTGTAGATTGTGGACCTGGTGTACTATGCTCTGTGCTCTGTGCTGATCTGGTTCTCTGTGTAGATTGTGGACCTGGTGTACTATGCTCTGTGCTGATCTGGTTCTCTGTGTAGATTGTGGACCTGGTGTACTATGCTCTGTGCTGATCTGGTTCTCTGTGTAGATTGTGGACCTGGTGTACTATGCTCTGTGCTGATCTGGTTCTCCTGATTGTGGACCTGGTGTACAATGCTCTGTGCTGATCTGGTTCTCTGTGTAGATTGTGGACCTGGTGTACAATGCTCTGTGCTGATCTGGTTCTCTGTGTAGATTGTGGACCTGGTGTACTATGCTCTGTGCTGATCTGGTTCTCTGTGTAGATTGTGGACCTGGTGTACAATGCTCTGTGCTGATCTGGTTCTCTGTGTAGATTGTGGACCTGGTGTACTATGCTCTGTGCTGATCTGGTTCTCTGTGTAGATTGTGGACCTGGTGTACTATGCTCTGTGCTGTACTATGCTCTGTGCTGATCTGGTTCTCTGTGTAGATTCTCTGTGTAGATGCTCTGTGCTGATCTGGTTCTCTGTGTAGATTGTGGACCTTGTGTACTATGCTCTGTGCTGATCTGGTTCTCTGTGTAGATTGTGGACCTGGAGGACGGGATCCTGCAGCTGAAGGAGGACCTGATCCAGGAGAGGACGGAGGCGAGGCACGAGAAGAAGAGACTGAAAAAAGCTGTGGTGAGTGAGAAGGAGAACATAAATATATGATGTACAACTCACTTCACAGGGGAACATAAAAATATGATGTACAACTCACTTCACAGGAGAACATAAATATATGATGTACAACTTACTTCACAGGGGAACATAAATATATGATGTACAACTCACTTCACAGGAGAACATAAATATATGATGTACAACTTACTTCACAGGGGAACAGGTAGAATCATGAAGCACATGTTGAGTCAGATGTTAGAAGTGGTTACCCTAATGCCTGTGGTGACGTGTGATGTTTGGTTGTGTTCCAGGCTGATACGGCAGAGAAGACCAAAGACCAGCGAGAATACAACATGGGCAAAAAGAAGTGAGTGATCAGATATAGCACATGATCAGTGTAATGAAACAGGAATAAGATTCCTTTGGAGTTTGGGATGATGCATCAGAACCAGTTTGAACCCATTACATGATGTAGACCTTCAGTTCATGAGGACAACTATGTATGATAATGTGTTAAAACGTTCACAACTGAGATGTCAGGTTATACTTGGAGGCAACATCAGTGGGTCCTACCCAGGTGCGGATGCAGCTTTTTGAGAAAGGGGGTTGCACACTATTGAGAAAAGTGGGGGTGCACACTTCATTTTTACCTGAGTTTCAATGGTCAAGAGGGGGGGGGGGGACACTCCTGCAGCCCCCCTCTGGATCTGCCTATGCTACCTGCACGCTTCCTACACAGTACTGTAAGTACTTGTCTGTTTCAGAGAGCTGGACATTCATCATGAGCTGCTGACCGACAGTGAAGGGAAGCTGGATGCACTCAGGAAGGTGACCTAACACAACTTGCTTAACCAAATCAGTATCGTTTTATTTAAAGATTATAAACATTATACTTACATTTGATTTATGTAAAGTCTTTGTAAGTGTTTTCCAACAACACAAAGTTTGTGAGTCTATGATTTAAGTCATTTTGGTCTCTAGGAATGTGATTTGATTTAGTTCCACTGCTCATATAAATTTAAGTCTTTTGTAATACTGAAAATTCAGTTTGTTTAAAGTCATACTCAGCACTACTCCAGCTTTTTCTTACATGGCAGCATGTAGATAGTCAGGTCCGACAGTCCAGTTGTGGTACAATGACAGACTATCAGACAAGTCACCAAGTCCGACAGTCCAGTTGTGGTACAATAACACACTATCAGTCAAGTCACCAAGTCCGACAGTCCAGTTGTGGTACAATAACAAACTATCAGACAAGCCACCAAGTCCGACAGTCCAGTTGTGGTACAATGACACACTATCAGACAAGTCACCAAGTCTGACCAGTCCAGCTGTGGTACAATAACACACTATCAGACAAGTCACCAAGTCCGACAGTCCAGTTGTGGTACAATGACACACTATCAGACAAGTCACCAAATCTGACCAGTCCAGCTGTGGTACAATAACACACTATCAGACAAGTCACCAAGTCCGACAGTCCAGTTGTGGTACAATGACACACTATCAGACAAGTCACCAAATCTGACCAATCCAGCTGTGGTACAATAACACACTATCAGACAAGTCACCATGTCTGACAGTCCAGTTGTGGTACAATGACACACTATCAGACAAGTCACCAAGTCCGACAGTCCAGTTGTGATACAATGACACACTATCAGACAAGTCACCAAGTCCGACAGTCCAGTTGTGGTACAATGACACACTATCAGACAAGTCACCAAATCTGACCAGTCCAGTTGTGGTACATTGACACACTATCAGACAAGTCACCAAGTCTGACAGTCCAGTTGTGGTACAATGACACACTATCAGACAAGTCACCAAATCTGACCAGTCCAGCTGTGGTACAATAACACACTATCAGACAAGTCACCAAGTCCGACAGTCCAGTTGTGGTACAATGACACACTATCAGACAAGTCACCAAATCTGACCAGTCCAGCTGTGGTACAATAACACACTATCAGACAAGTCACCAAGTCCGACAGTCCAGTTGTGATACAATAACACACTATCAGACAAGTCACCAAGTCCGACAGTCCAGTTGTGGTACAATGACACACTATCAGACAAGTCACCAAGTCAGTCCAGTTGTGGTACAAACAAGTCACCAAATCTGACCAGTCCAGTTGTGGTACATTGACACACTATCAGACAAGTCACCAAGTCCGACAGTCCAGTTGTGGTACAATAACACACTATCAGACAAGTCACCAAATCTGACCAGTCAAAATGTGGTACAATGACACACTATCAGACAAGTCACCAAGTCCGACAGTCCAGTTGTGGTACAATAACACACTATCAGACAAGTCACCAAGTCCGACAGTCCATATATTTGGTCAACTCTCACGACTAGCAGAGGTGGCTGGAGACTCATTCTATCCCTTAAAGGGTTGAAAATCCAGATGTAATACTATGATTTAGATTAGTATTAGATTGAATGTTTCCCTTCAACTGTTCTGTTGCCTGCAGAGTATCCGTCGGTTTGAGACGACCAAGTCGAGGCTGGAGGAGGAGGAGAACAACCTTAGTGCTCGACTGGCGAGGGAGATGAAGATGAACAAGGCGCTGCAGGCCAAGGGGTAGGCCAGACTCCCTCACACACCATCACCTAGTCACCCCAACACTCTACTCAGATCCCTCACACACCATCACCTAGTCACCCCAACGCTCTACTCAGATCCCTCACACACCATCACCTAGTCACCCCAACACTCTACTCAGATCCCTCACACACCATCACCTAGTCACCCCAACGCTCTACTCAGATCCCTCACACACCATCACCTAGTCACCCCAACACTCTACTCAGATCCCTCACACACCATCACCTAGTCACCCCAACACTCTACTCAGATCCCTCACACACCATCACCTAGTCACCCCAACACTCTACTCAGATCCCTCACACACCATCACCTAGTCACCCCAACACTCTACTCAGATCCCTCACACACCATCACCTAGTCACCCCAACACTCTACTCAGATCCCTCACACACCATCACCTAGTCACCCCAACACTCTACTCAGATCCCTCACACACCATCACCTAGTCACCCCAACACTCTACTCAGATCCCTCACACACCATCACCTAGTCACCCCAACACTCTACTCAGATCCCTCACACACCATCACCTAGTCACCCCAACGCTCTACTCAGATCCCTCACACACCATCACCTAGTCACCCCAACACTCTCTACTCAGATCCCTCACACACCATCACCTAGTCACCCTAACCGCTCTACTCAGATCCCTCACACACCATCACCTAGTCACCCCAACACTCTACTCAGATCCCTCACACACCATCACCTAGTCACCCCAACACTCTACTCAGATCCCTCACACACCATCACCTAGTCACCCCAACACTCTACTCAGATCCCTCACACACACCATCACCTAGTCACCCCAACACTCTATCCCTCACACACAGATCCCTCACACACCATCACCTAGTCACCCCAACGCTCTACTCAGATCCCTCACACACACCATCACCTAGTCACCCCAAGCTCTACTCTATCCCTCACACACCATCACCTAGATCCCTCACACACTCAGATCCCTCACACACCATCACCTAGTCACCCCAACACTCAGACCCTCACACACACTCAGATCCCTCACACACCATCACCTAGTCACCCCAACACTCTACTCAGATCCCTCACACACCATCACCTAGTCACCCCAACACTCTACTCAGATCCCTCACACACCATCACCTAGTCACCCCAACGCTCTACTCAGATCCCTCACACACCATCACCTAGTCACCCCAACACTCTACTCAGATCCCTCACACACCATCACCTAGTCACCCCAACACTCTACTCAGATCCCTCACACACCATCACCTAGTCACCCCAACACTCTACTCAGATCCTCACACACCATCACCTAGTCACCCCAACACTCTACTCAGATCCCTCACACACCATCACCTAGTCACCCCCCCTCTCCTCAGATCCCTCACACACCATCACCTAGTCACCCCAACACTCTACTCTCAGATCCCACACACCATCACCCTAGTCACCCCAACGCTCTACTCAGATCCCTCACACACCATCACCTAGTCACCCCAACGCTCTACTCAGATCCCTCACACACCATCACCTAGTCACCCCAACACTCTACTCAGATCCCTCACACACCATCACCTAGTCACCCCAACACTCTACTCAGATCCCTCACACACCATCACCTAGTCACCCCAACGCTCTACTCAGATCCCTCACGTCTGTCAGGCATTCATATACAGGATACTTTTGTTTAGAGATTACAATTTCTGTAGTTTTTGTGATGAGGTTTCAAGGATGCTTCTTACCCACGTGAATACTGAGTGAATATTTTAATAGATATCCTGTTTACACACTGCTGGATTAATGTACAGAGTCAGTGGCATCAAGGAGAGACAAGGCAGTAATGTACAATGAAGATATAGTGACATGGAAGATATAGCTGGGTCACACCCCATTGTGTCTTTGTGAGGATTAAAGATTATAAAAAATGTCTACAGAAATTTGAGATGACCCCCTGACTCGAAATGCTTCACAGTACAATACATAATGACAAGGCCAGACACTTCGGTGTATCCTACCCGACTGCTTTGCCGATCGCTACGCTATCATCGCATGCAGTCTTGACACAAATGGATGACATTATATCAGCACAAAATGGGGGTGAGGTCGAAGCAAGACCTCTGGTTGGTTGATGTTTGTTAGGGAGACATTTACAACTGATGCTTTCTTTTGAGAAGCCATTGCTTGAAAAAATCTAACATTTCCTCCAAGTCAAGCAGTTGATGAAAGTAAAAATTTATAAAGAATGTGCAGACTTACAAGCGTTAACCAATCAGAGCGCTTGTTTCACTGAAACAGTTCCCATGTAATCTGGACGTATACTCTGTTAATTATGTAATGGGGGCAAGTAATCATCGTTCTGCCCCAGCTGTGTATTGTAATACCAGGTGATCACACAAATTCAGATGCTGGCACTACATGGACATATGTGTTGGAGCATGTCCCATGTTAAGGACATGAGAAGGTACTTGTGTGTTGTAACATGGATGAGATATCCTCATTTGTCATGTTGGTGTTGGTGTTGCCCAGGCAGAAGATTCTAGGAGAGACGGAGGCTGAGAAGAAGAGGTTTGAAGAAGATGAGAAGAAACTGACTGACAAGATAAACCAGGTTTGTATAATGCTGATTCTTAATGTTTAACAAGAGCGAGTCTGTGACGTGAAGGTTCAATCAGGCTGCAGATGTCTCTACTGCTGCATGATGTTACAAATAATCTGAGGCTTTTATGTGACACTTTTTGCCACATCCTGCTCTTGTACCAGTACTTGTACTCTTGCTCCGGAACTGTTTGTTTCCAGTTTGATCGTGAGGTTGAAGAGGAAGGAGAGAGTCTGAAGGAACTAGAGATGGTTAAGATGGACCTACAAGCCGGTGAGTATCTGTACAGACTGGACATGTGGTAAATCATCCCAAAATGTGAAAAGCATTACAGGAAGGTCATTGTTTTCAGTTCATTTGTAGTGGAACACATTAGAACATTACCAGGTGCCCCTAGCTATGATTTATTCATTAGCACTTCACATGCCATCATTAAGAAGTCTCCTGTGCGCCCCCTGTGTTCCGACTATCACTCCGTTGGTATAGCCTCAGAGATTCCCGGTTGTTGTCTTGATGTGTGCACGAGCTGTTATTTCTAATTCCCAGATCTGCGAGAGAAGTTGGAGAAGAAGAAAGCAGATGCAGATAGGGTTGAGGAACTGGACAAACTGTGAGTAATGTGTATTAGGTAGATATACTGTGAGTAATGTGTATTAGGTGGACATACTTTGAGTAGAGTGTATTAGGTGGACATACTGTGAGTAGAGTGTATTAGGTGGACATACTGTGAGTAGAGTGTATTAGGTGGACATATTGTAAGTAGAGTGTTTTAGGTGGACATACTGTGAGTAGAGTATTAGGTGGACATACTGTGAGTAGAGTGTATTAGGTGGACATACTGTGAGTAGAGTGTATTAGGTGGACATACTGTGAGTAGAGTGTTTTAGGTGGACATACTGTGAGTAGAGTATTAGGTGGACATACTGTGAGTAGAGTGTATTAGGTGGACATACTGTGAGTAGAGTGTATTAGGTGGACAAATTGTGAGTAGAGTGTATGAGGTGGACATATTGTGAGTAGTGTGTATTAGGTGGACATACTGTGAGTAGAGCGTATTAGGTGGACATATTGTGAGTAGAGTGTATGAGATGGACATATTGTGAGTAGAGTGTTTTAGGTGGACATACTGTGAGTAGAGTGTATTAGGTGGACATATCGTGAGTAGTGTGTATTAGGTGGACATACTGTGAGTAGAGTGTATGAGGTGGAGATACTGTGAGTAGAGTATTAGGTGGACTTACTGTGAGTAGAGTGTATTAGGTGGACATACTGTGAGTAGAGTGTATTAGGTGGACATACTGTGAGTAGAGTGTATTAGGTGGACATACTGTGAGTAGAGTGTATTAGGTGGACATACTGTGAGTAGAGTGTATTAGGTGGACATACTGTGAGTAGAGTGTATTAGGTGGACATACTGTGAGTAGAGTGTATTAGGTGGACATACTGTGAGTAAAGTGTATTAGGTGGACATACTGTGAGTAGAGTGTTTTAGGTGGACATACTGTGAGTAGAGTATTAGGTGGACATACTGTGAGTAGAGTGTATTAAGTGGACATACTGTGAGTAGAGTGTATTAGGTGGACATACTGTGAGTAGAGAGTATTAGGTGGACGTAGCCCAGATTCCAGATTGTGTTCCAAATGTTCCAATTCTATGCACTCTACTCACAGTATGACATACTGTGAGTAGAGCGTATTAGGTGGACATATTGTGAGTAGAGTGTATTAGATGGACATATTGTGAGTAGAGTGTTTTAGGTGGACATACTGTGAGTAGAGTGTATTAGGTGGACATATGGTGAGTAGTGTGTATTAGGTGGACATACTGTGAGTAGAGTGTATTAGGTGGAGATACTGTGAGTAGAGTATTAGGTGGACTTACTGTGAGTAGAGTGTATTAGGTGGACATACTGTGAGTAGAGTGTATTAGGTGGACATACTGTGAGTAGTGTGTATTAGGTGGACATACTGTGAGTAGAGCGTATTAGGTGGACATACTGTGAGTAGAGTGTATTAGGTGGACATACTGTGAGTAGAGTGTATTAGGTGGACATACTGTGAGTAGAGTGTATTAGATGGACATACTGTGAGTAGAGTGTATTAGGTGGACATACTGTGAGTAGAGTGTATTAGGTGGACATACTGTGAGTAGAGTGTATTAGGTGGACATACTGTGAGTAGAGTGTATTAGGTGGACAAACTGTGAGTAGAGTGTATGAGGTGGACATATTGTGAGTAGAGTGTATTAGATGGACATATTGTGAGTAGAGTTTATTAGATGGACATACTGTGAGTAGAGTGTATTAGGTGGACATACTGTGAGTAGAGCGTATGAGATGACTTTGAGAAGTATGTGTATTAGGTGTTAATACGTAAGTAGTGTGTATTAGGTGACTTTGCATCCTTACAAAATCCTGTAACAAAATATTAACATTTTCATGTTCCAATTTTGTTTGAAGATTACAATCAGCAAAGCAAAACTTGACCATGAAGGCTGAAGATGTGGGCCGCATGCAAGCAGAGAACATCGACATGACTGAAGAGATAGAGAACGTGGCAGAATCTCACAAGTACGTCCAACTGTACTGTTTGTGTGACTATGTTGTACTGTTTGTACTATATTGTACTGTTTGTGTGACTATATTGTACTGTTTGTGTGACTATACTGTACTGTTTGTGTGACTATATTGTACTGTTTGTGTGACTATATTGTACTGTTTGTGTGACTATGTTGTACTGTTTGTGTGACTTTATTGTACTGTTTGTGTGACTATGTTGTACTGTTTGTGTGACTATGTTGTACTGTTTGTGTGACTTTATTGTACTGTTTGTGTGACTATATTTGTACTGTTTGTGTGTGACTATATTTTGTACTGTTTGTTTGTGTGACTATATTGTACTGTTTGTGTGACTATATTGTACTGTTTGTGTGACTATATTGTACTGTTTGTGTGACTATATTGTACTGTTTGTGTGACTATATTGTACTGTTTGTGTGACTATATTGTACTGTTTGTGTGACTATATTGTACTGTTTGTGTGACTATGTTGTACTGTTTGTGTGACTATATTGTACTGTTTGTGTGACTATACTGTACTTTTTGTGTGACAGGGCCGTGGTGGCGCAGCTCAACAAGCAACTGGAGGAGTTCAGGGAGATGCTCAACAATGAGAGGAAGGACAGGTAACTCTGGTTGTGGTGGTTGAGTGGAGGAAGGACAGGTAACTCTGGTTGTGGTGGTTGAGTGGAGGAAGGACAGGTAACTCTGGTTGTGGTGGTTGAGTGGAGGAAGGACAGGTAACTCTGGTTGTGGTGGTTGAGTGGAGGAAGGACAGGTAACTCTGGTTGTGGTAACTCTGGTTTGTGGGTGGACAAGGTAACTCTGGTTATGGTTGAGTGGAGGAAGGACAGGTAACTCTGGTTGTGGTGGTTGAGTGGAGGAAGGACAGGTAACTCTGGTTGTGGTGGTTGAGTGGAGGAAGGACAGGTAACTCTGGTTGTGGTGGTTGTGTGGAGGAAGGACAGGTAACTCTGGTTGTGGTGGTTGAGTGGAGGAAGGACAGGTAACTCTGGTTGTGGTGGTTGTGTGGAGGAAGGACAGGTAACTCTGGTGTGTGGGTGGTTGAGTGGAGGAAGGACAGAGTAACTCTGGTTGTGGTGGTTGAGTGGAGGAAGGACAGGTAACTCTGGTTGTGGTGGTTGAGTGGAGGAAGGACAGGTAACTCTGGTTGTGGTGGTTGGAGTGGAGGAAGGACAGGTAACTCTGGTTGTGGTGGTGAGTGGGTGGTGTGGACAGGTAACTCTAGGTTGTGGTGGTTGAGTGGAGGAAGGACAGGTAACTCTGGTTGTGGTGGTTGAGTGGAGGAAGGACAGGTAACTCTGGTTGTGGTGGTGGTTGAGTGGAGGAAGGACAGGTAACTCTGGTTGTGGTGGTTGAGTTGAGTGGAGGAAGGACAGGTAACTCTGGTTGTGGTGGTTTGGAGGAAGGACAGGTGGTTGAGGAAAGGACAGGTAACCTGGTTGTGGTGGTTGTGGTGGTTGAGTGGAGGAAGGACAGGTAACTCTGGTTGTGGTGGTTGAGTGGAGGAAGGACAGGTAACTCTGGTTGTGGTGGTTGGTGGAGGAAGGACAGGACAGGTAACAGGTAACTCTGGTTGTGGTGGTTGTGTGGAGGAAGGACAGGTAACTCTGGTTGTGGTGGTTGAGTGGAGGAAGGACAGGTAACTCTGGTTGTGGTGGTTGTGAGTGGAGGAAGTGTGGAGGAAGGACAGGTAACTCTGGTTGTGGTGGTTGTGTGGAGGAAGGACAGGTAACTCTGGTTGTGGTGGTTGAGTGGAGGAAGGACAGGTAACTCTGGTTGTGGTGGTTGAGTGGAGGAAGGACAGGTTGTGTAACTCTGGTGGTGGTGGTTGTGTGGAGGAGGAAGTAACTCTGGTTGTGGTGGTTGTTGAGTGGAGGAAGGACAGGTAACTGGTTGTGGTGGTTGAGTGGAGGAAGGACAGGTAACTCTGGTTGTGGTGGTTGAGTGGAGGAAGGACAGGTAACTCTGGTTGTGGTGGTTGAGTTGACGTGGGTCAGGATGATGTGATGGGTGTGGGAGGTATTGGCTGATGTTTGGTGTGTTTTGTTGAGGTTGTGGGGTGGAATGTGTGGTGTTGAAGGGTGTGAGTGTTGAGTAAGTGACTAGGTGACTCTAGTTGTGAATGGTGGGGGTGAGTGAAGGGTTTGGATGTGGGTTGGAAGTGATAATTATGGTTGGTGTAGGAGGTGGTGTGGGTTGTGGTTGGTTCTGGAATGTGTGGTGTTGAAGGTTTGTGGTGAGGGTAAGTGAAGGGTTTGGATGTGGGTTGAAGTAGATAATGATGTTGGTGTAGGAAGGTGTGGATTGTGGTTGGTGGAATGGTGTTGGGGTGAGTGGTAGATAATGGGGGTAAGTGAAGGGTTTGGATGTGGGTTGAAGTAGATAATGATGTTGGTGTAGGAGGTGGTGTGGGTTGTGGTTGGTGGTGGAATGTATGGTGTTGAAGGTGGGTCGTGCGGGTGGGTTGGGGGTGAGTGAAGGGTTTGGATGTGGGTTGAAGTAGATAATGATGTTGGTGTAGGAGGTGGTGTGGATTGTGGTTGGGGGTGGAATGTGTGGTGTTGAAGGTGGGTCGTGCAAGTGGTAGGGGTGAGTGAAGCGTTTGGATGTGGGTTGAAGTAGATAATGATGTTGGTGTAGGAGGTGGTGTGGGTTGTGGTTTGGGGGTGAAGGTCAAGTGTGGATGTGGTTAGTTACTGCCAGACATTGAAGCAGTAGCACAAGGCTTCACCACATGATGCATGTTTTCACTTCTAAAATTGTTTGCAAAATCTAGAGCTCACTCACAGTATAACTGCTATATGTATTCACAATGGCAGGGGTACATGTCATAACAAACCCATGAAGTACTGATCACGGAAGTTGTGTGGATGCCAGTAGCTGCCTTTATGTGTTGATGTAGGTGTCGGTTCACACACTGATGGTTTGTGTAGTGGAGGCTGTGCTGGTAAGCAACTGAGGAAAACTAACCTTGATCTTGATTGTGTCCTCAGATTTGATATGCAAGGTAAGAAGGACCATGTACAGAAGGATCTGGAGGACTTCAAGACTGAACAGCAGAGATTCATGCAGTCTGTCAACCAGAAGATCCAGGAGGGGAAGACAAAGCACGTGGAGCTCGCTAATGAGGTAATAAACCAAGTCACTTGGTCCAACCACCAGGTCCATTCGGTCATCTCTTACAATCAGCAGAAGTTGCTTAGGTCCATGTCCATGGGAAGTTCAGACAAGGAGGTGTCCTGTTGTGTTCTGTTTTCTTATTGTGTGTTTGTTGCAGGGTGCCCAGATTCAGAAGGACCTACGTAAAGATGAGGAGGAGATTCACAAACTGCAAGCGGAGTTGAGCACGCTGGAGGAGAGGTATAAAGACATGTTCTCCGCCATGCACAGCAAGACAACGGCCTTGGAGGTAAGGTCAAGGTCAGGTCATTCTATAGCCTGGCAGGTCACTTAGGATCAACATCATGCTTAGTAGATCAGCGTAGCAGCCACCATTGGCTGGGAGTTGTCTCCATTCATCACGATCTAAAGACACTGAGAATCATACATGCCAATAAGTGTTCTTGTGAAACAGTTGAGTATGGTCATTCTCTGCCCCCAACATCATGTCAGCCATTTGGAATACAATAGGCAGAATAAAAATATGTTCAGTTACTATTAGATCTTGGCTAGAGTTTACTTAGTCCTGTAATGTTGATGTAAGCAGGATATGAGGTTTAGATGCACTTTACACTGGACATTCAGTCAGTAAAGATATGGCCTAGAACAAGGCGATTGACTTGTCTCAGAGGTGATGTACTGTCAACAGTAAGCTGAAGGTGTCATACAATACATAGTGTTCTCAGGACAAAACACCTGCTGAAGTCAGGGATGCGTCGACACAGGTAGGTGAAACTTTGTATACCGAGGGATCACCAGGTGTCATCAGGGTGTTGGTTATATTTAATGAGGGAGGATGTATACCAGCCGGAGCCGGTATGTGTCAGCTGTTTATTGAGGTAGAGTGCTGTGGCTGAGTGCAAGGGACCTCTCACTCCTAACAACTATGTCAAATGTTGAAGTGAGTCTGTCTCTCTCTGTAACCAGTCTTAGACACTGTTCTTCTCAATGTCTCATTTGCATTTCAAATAATGGGAGTTTGGATAATTTTCTTTCTAAATACTCATCTAATTTGGCTGGTTAAACAGATTCTTCATTATTAATGTAACAAGTTTGATCAAAATTAAACAGAACAACTTCAGTTCTCTATACTGTGTTGGCCAGACAGATGTGGTAGAGATCCAGAGTGATGTTCGTATACACCCCTGTCACATCTGTGACAGAGAGAGAAATTACAGAAATAACTTTCCTGTTTTGCAATGTCTTCAGACGTGTGTTTTTAGATTTGCAGGAGATAGTGAGTATTCAAATACCTGCATCTGATAACATATATTGCTTATTTCCTAATCTGGAATTGGTACTTGATTCAAATAACAGCATGTATGTGATGTAATTATGTGTGTACAGGTGGGGGCTGAATGTCTACTGGTGGGCAGAACAACACTGGTGTATACACACTCTGGTGTTATGTGCTGTGTATATCTCGTTGTTATAGCCACAAGTTCTCTATCATTCTCAGTATAACATTACTGATGGTCACACAGATGATAGAGATAAAAGTCTATAAAAATGTTACATTTTCATGTTCCTTGAGAGCAGTTCAGTTGCATCTGTATTGAAACATTTTATACCCACAATGACTGCTCCTTGTCATGTATTGCACACACAGGGGCTCCGCACCAGGGTGTGTTGGGTCGTGTGGTGTGGGTATCTTTCTCCATCACCTTTATCCTTAAATCATCAAGTGGTCAACATAATCACACCTGTTGACATTTTGGCCTGTGTTCACCCTATGTGACCCATCATTCCCAGGTGACGGTTAATGACACTGACAGTTTCATGTCTACCAAGGGGCAGTTTTAGTTGCATGTATATTTGATAACATGGCTGAAGCCGGAATGTTGCGTGGGACTGTTGTGTTTCATCAGTAAACAACAGGAACAAACAAGGGAACGCATACTGGGATTTCTTCATATGATTTGTTTGTTTTAATGCCTCATTTTGGTGTGTTTGTAAATAATCAAGTCTGTTCCAGAGAATCCAGTGATTGACGGCATGAGCATGATCCACTCATTTGGGATCTGAATTGAGGGGATTGATGCTCTTGATATCACTCACTAGGTTGTCTGTAATACAGATTAGTGGTGTGTTAGAGGTACAGGAATATAAATATGTGTAAACATCGATTGATCCGCATCTTGCACTTGTAGAACCAACTTGTACATGTATTTCTATCTGTGTATAACAGACAGCTGAACACTTATATGAAGAAGGCAAGGAACTAAGGGTAAGATGGTGGTTAGGTAACAGTGGTGTATTGTTTATAACTGGACAATACTGGGAGCAGGATGTAACACCACCGTAATGTAACACCACTGTAACACAACTGTAACCTAAACAAAAACATCTATAGCAACATGAACAATAATGGGGAGTAAGAGGGAGGTATTTTAAAACAGATGTATTGCACTTAATACAAGAATAGCCTAAGTTATAACAACAAAGTCTTTAAGGTAGAATACAAATAATGTATTGTACACTTATAACACATGTATATCATTCAGGTGTAACACATTTACATCATACAGGTTACATAACACATACACACACACACACACACACAGAGGTGTAACACAAAGAAACAAGTTTAATATCAGGTACAGGTTTAACATGAGGATCCAGCCTAACTAGCAGAGAGGTGTAACATATAGGTACAGGTTTAATATCAGATACAGATGTACCACATATAGACTGGTTTAACAGTTGTAACACAAAGGTACAGATGTAACCCAAAGGTACAGATGTAACCCAAAGGTACAGATGTAACAAAGGTACAGATGTAACCCAAAGGTACAGATGTAACCCAAAGGTACAGATGTAACCCAAAGGTACAGTTGTAACACAAAGGTACCGATGTAACCCAAAGGTACAGATGTAACCCAAAGGTACAGATGTAACAAAGGTACAGATGTAACCCAAAGGTACAGTTGTAACCCAAAGGTACAGATGTAACAAAGGTACAGATGTAACAATTAAGGTACAGATGTAACCCAAAGGTACAGTTGTAACCCAAAGGTACCGATGTAACACAAAGGTACAGATGTAACCAAAGGTACAGATGTAACAAAGGTACAGATGTAACAATTAAGGTACAGATGTAACCAAAAGGTACAGATGTAACAAAGGTACATGTAACAATTAAGGTAACCCAAAGGTACAGTTGTAACCCAAAGGTACAGATGTAACAAAGGTACAGATGTAACAATTAAAGGTACAGATGTAACCCAAAGGTACAGATGTAACACAAAGGTACCGATGTAACGATGTAACTAAAAGGTACAGATGTAACAAAGGTACAGATGTAACAATAAAGGTACAGATGTAACAAAGGTACAGATGTAACAAAGGTACAGATGTAACAATACAAGGTACAGATGTAACCCAAAGGTACAGTTGTAACCCAAAGGTACAGATGTAACAAAGGTACAGATGTAACAATTAAGGTACAGATGTAACCCAAAGGTACAGTTGTAACACAAAGGTACCGATGTAACACAAAGGTACAGATGTAACCCAAAGGTACAGATGTAACAAAGGTACAGATGTAACAATTAAGGTACAGATGTAACCCAAAGGTACAGATGTAACAAAGGTACAGATGTAACAATTAAGGTACAGATGTAACCCAAAGGTACAGATGTAACAAAGGTACAGATGTAACCCAAAGGTACAGATGTAACCCAAAGGTACAGATGTAACAATTAAGGTACAGATGTAACCCAAAGGTACAGTTGTAACACAAAGGTACCGATGTAACCCAAAGGTACAGATGTAACCCAAAGGTACAGATGTAACAAAGGTACAGATGTAACCCAAAGGTACAGTTGTAACCCAAAGGTACAGATGTAACAAAGGTACAGATGTAACAATTAAGGTACAGATGTAACCCAAAGGTACAGTTGTAACCCAAAGGTACCGATGTAACACAAAGGTACAGATGTAACCCAAAGGTACAGATGTAACAAAGGTACAGATGTAACAATTAAGGTACAGATGTAACCCAAAGGTACAGTTGTAACCCAAAGGTACAGATGTAACAAAGGTACAGATGTAACCAAAAGGTACAGTTGTAAAGGTACAGATGTAACCCAAAGGTACAGTTGTAACACAAAGGTACCGATGTAACACAAAGGTACAGATGTAACCCAAAGGTACAGATGTAACAAAGGTACAGATGTAACAATTAAGGTACAGATGTAACCCAAAGGTACAGATGTAACAAAGGTACAGATGTAACAATTAAGGTACAGATGTAACCCAAAGGTACAGTTGTAACCCAAAGGTACAGATGTAACAAAGGTACAGATGTAACAATTAAGGTACAGATGTAACCCAAAGGTACAGTTGTAACACAAAGGTACCGATGTAACACAAAGGTACAGATGTAACCCAAAGGTACAGATGTAACAAAGGTACAGATGTAACAATTAAGGTACAGATGTAACCCAAAGGTACAGATGTAACAAAGGTACAGATGTAACAATTAAGGTACAGATGTAGCACAAAGGTACAGATGTAACAAAGGTACAGATGTAACAATTAAGGTACAGATGTAACCCAAAGGTACAGATGTAACAAAGGTACAGATGTAACAATTAAGGTACAGATGTAGCACAAAGGTACGGATGTAACAATTAAGATACAGATGTGCCACATATAGACAGGTTTAACAAAGGTACAGGTATAACAGAAGTATATGCTCTTGCTGCTAACACTTTATCTGGTGTGTTGATTGTCAGGTTGTTATGTTTGGGAATGAAGCAAAAGGTCGACTGTAGGGTCCTCTCTACAGATCTTGGTATGACACTTCATGTCCGAACGTTGATCACTCCTGTAACCTTTGACAACTGTGTGTCTCAACATGAACTCAGTATAATCCGACATACTAAACAAAGCTTCATTTTGGTGAATTGTGAAACTGATCTAGCTAACAATTATTGTCAAGTTCATGTATGTAAAACAACTTGTTAGACATGAATCAAACATGATGGCAATATCATTATTGTTGCTGTCTTAAAGATATCTTGTAATCCTGGTATACTCCAGTGTTTGATGAGATTGTCTTTTGACTGTGACTGAATTATAAACACACAGACTCACAGCAGGTTTACATGAAGCAGTCCAACATATAACCCTGGTTTTGTCCAGGATCAACTGGGTGGCTGGATGGTGGCAATGTACGATACAGTACTTACCTCCAACCTCCTCCTCCCCAATCCTCCTACCCCCAATAACTGACCAACGCCAAGAGACCCAGGTTTGTCTTCGCCATGGGTTCAGTGTGTCCATTCCTGGCAATCTGTAAAAAGGCATCACTCACTCATGTTACAGGAGGAGATTGTTACCATGGAGACTGACCAAGTGACCAAGTCCCAGCAGGTGTGTGAGCAGATGCCAGTGTTTCAGCAGCTGGAGGTGAGCTTTGAAGAGAGGTCAGCGGCCTACGACAAGATGAAGAAGGATGTTGTAGGTGAGAGGCTGACAACTTGGATGGAAATGATACTACCCATCAAAAGCTTAGACTTGCTTAGATCAATCACTATATGTATTGTATGTACATATGGTTACAACGAAGATGGATTTCTCCCCTAACTTGGGGGAAACATTTGCAAACCTCATGCAGATTAATTGCACTAGGATCATGCATCAAATTGCTGAAGCATGTGCAAATATCGTTCATGTGAACAGCTGTGTTTTGGTGTAAAGTTTTTTTTAAAAATCGCCATTTTCCACTGAGTTTCATCATTTATTGAACACATGACAATAAACTTTTCAACATCACGAATTTGTTTTACAGTACATCAGTTCATGTGTAGACAGTACCTTTAAACTGTATGGATTATTTTGCAAAATTTAGTTCAGAGCAGTTGACTGAAGTAAGTGGCTACATTTACACTAGTGAGTCTCAACTTTTCATGGGGAGTATATGTGGGAGCAGATGATCATATGTAATAACAGCGGTGATGTAACTGAACATATGATCATATGTAATAACAGCAGTGATGTAACTGAACATATGATCATATGTAATAACAGTGGTGATGTAACTGAACAGATGATCATATGTAACAACAGCGGTGATGTAACTGAACATATGATCATATGTAATAACAGCGGTGATGTAACTGAACATATGATCATATGTAATAACAGCGGTGATGTAACTGAACATATGATCATATGTAACAACAGCGGTGATGAAACTGAACAGATGATCATATGTAACAATAGCGGTGATGTAACTGAACAGATGATCATATGTAACAACAGCGGTGATGTAACTGAACATATGATCATATGTAATAACAGCGGTGATGTAGCTGAACATATGATCATATGTAATAACAGTGGTGATGTAACTGAACAGATGATCATATGTAACAACAGCGGTGATGTAACTGAACAGATGATCATATGTAATAACAGCGGTGATGTAACTGAACATATGATCATATCTAATAACAGCAGGTGATGTAACTGAACATATGATCATATGTAACAACAGATCATATGAGCGTGTGATGAAATCTGAACAGATGATCATATGTAATGTAACAACAGTGATGTAACTGAACTGATGATCATATGTAACAACAGCGGTGATGTAACTGAACAGATGATCATATGTAACAACAGCGGTGATGTAACTGAACAGATGATCATATGTAACAACAGCGGTGATGTAACTGAACAGATGATCATATGTAATAACAGCGGTGATGTAACTGAACAGATGATCATATGTAACAACAGCGGTGATGTAACTGAACATATGATCATATGTAATAACAGCGGTGATGTAGCTGAACAGATGATCATATGTAATAACAGCGGTGATGTAACTGAACATATGATCATATGTAATAACAGTGGTGATGTAACTGAACATATGATCATATGTAACAGCGGTGATGTAATTGAACAGATGATCATATGTAATAACAGCGGTGATGTAACTGAACATATGATCATATGTAATAACAGCGGTGATGTAACTGAACAGATGATCATATGTAATGACAACAGTGATGTAACTGAGCAGATGATCATATGTAACAACAGCGGTGATGTAACTGAACAGATGATCATATGTAATAACAGCGGTTATTTAACGAAGCAGATGATCATATGTAATAACAACAGTGATTTAACTAAGCAGATGATCATATGTAACAACAGCGGTTATTTAACTGACCAGATGATCATATGTAACAACAGCGGTTATTTAACGAAGCAGTTGATCATTTGTAACAACAGCAGTGATGTAACTGAGCAGATGATCATATGTAATGTTTTTTTAGCAATATTTTAAAATGTTACTGTTTGATATCCCTACCACTGCCATGCATTTCTTCTTCTTCTGATCATATCATGTTTTGTGAACTGGTTTTATGTTCAGAGATACAGTAAATAGTTAGTTAACACAGGTTACACCCAGACTTAAACTAAGTTAGCTGCTAACCAGAATCATACAGTTTGGTTTGTTTGTTTGTTTTTTAACTGAAAATATATCATTATAAAATATATCGTTATCAAATATATCATTATCAAATATATCATTATCAAATATATCATTATCAAATATATCATTATAAAATATTTTCATCATAAACTCAGTGCTTTTAGACACTAGAAGCCTAACTCTGTACTTTAACATAAAATATCCTGAAAACAATGTCAATGGCCAATATTTTGGTTAATACACTCAAAACGTTTTGGCACAGACAGCCAATGTGTGTAATGACCCCTGTCTTATGACTGACATGATGAATGTCTCATCTAAGGACTGGCGTGGTAATTGAATTGCGGTATGTGTGACGTCATGAGTGAGTTATAGTCACAGTGGCAGTATTGCAGCCATATTGTGACTAAAAATAGTTTTAAAATTCATGATAAATACGTATCATATGATACATTTTAAAACCTGTTGACAAAGGAGTTTCCTGTTTTATGATACACATTTTGAACAATCTGTTTTGCGATCATCGTTTTGAAACCCTGTGTTATGATTGGCATGATGAGTGTCCTGTGTTATGATTGACATTGTGGACCCACTGTGTTGTCGCTGACATGATGAATGTCCTGTGTTATGATTGACATTGTAGACCCACTGTGTTGTCGCTGACATGACGAATGTCCTGTGTTATGATTGACATTGTGGACCCACTGTGTTGTCACTGATATGATGAATGTCCTGTGTTATGATTGACATTGTAGACCCACTGTGTCGTCTGTGTTATGATTGACATTGTGGACCCACTGTGTTGTCACTGACATGATGAATGTCCTGTGTTATGATTGACATTGTAGACCCACTGTGTTGTTGCTGACATGATGAATGTCCTGTGTTATGATTGACATTGTGGACCCACTGTGTTGTCACTGACATGATGAATGTCCTGTGTTATGATTGACATTGTGGACCCACTGTGTCGTCACTGACATGATGAATGTCCTGTGTTATGATTGACATTGTAGACCCACTGTGTCGTCACTGACATGAATGACATGACGAATGTCCTGTGTTATGAATGTGGACCCTGTGTTATGATTGACATTGTAGACCCACTGTGTTGTCACTGACATGATGAATGTCCTGTGTTATGATTGACATTGTGGACCCACTGTGTCGTCACTGACATGACGAATGTCCTGTGTTATGATTGACATTGTGGACCCACTGTGTTGTCACTGACATGACGAATGTCCTGTGTTATGATTGACATTGTAGACCCACTGTGTCGTCACTGACATGACGAATGTCCTGTGTTATGATTGACATTGTGGACCCACTGTGTTGTCGCTGACATGATGAATGTCCTGTGTTATGATTGACATTGTAGACCCACTGTGTCGTCACTGACATGACGAATGTCCTGTGTTATGATTGACATTGTGGACCCACTGTGTTGTCACTGACATGATGAATGTCCTGTGTTATGATTGACATTGTGGACCCACTGTGTCGTCACTGACATGACGAATGTCCTGTGTTATGATTGACATTGTGGACCCACTGTGTCGTCACTGACATGATGAATGTCCTGTGTTATGATTGACATTGTGGACCCACTGTGTTGTCACTGACATGATGAATGTCCTGTGTTATGATTGACATTGTGGACCCACTGTGTTGTCACTGACATGATGAATGTCCTGTGTTATGATTGACATTGTAGACCCACTGTGTCGTCACTGACATGACGAATGTCCTGTGTTATGATTGACATTGTGGACCCACTGTGTTGTCACTGACATGATGAATGTCCTGTGTTATGATTGACATTGTAGACCCACTGTGTCGTCACTGACATGACGAATGTCCGAATGTCCTGTGTTATGATTGACATTGTGGACCCACTGTGTTGTCACTGACATGACGAATGTCCTGTGTTATGATTGACATTGTAGACCCACTGTGTTGTCACTGACATGACGAATGTCCTGTGTTATGATTGACATTGTGGACCCACTGTGTTGTCACTGACATGACGAATGTCCTGTGTTATGATTGACATTGTAGACCCACTGTGTTGTCACTGACATGACGAATGTCCTGTGTTATGATTGACATTGTGGACCCACTGTGTTGTTGCTGACATGATGAATGTCCTGTGTTATGATTGACATTGTAGACCCACTGTGTCGTCACTGACATGACGTGGGACCCACTGTGTTGTTGCTGACGGATGAATGTCCTGTGTTATGATTGACATTGTAGACCCACTGTGTCGTCACTGACATGACGAATGTCCTGTGTTATGATTGACATTGTGGACCCACTCTGTTGTCACTGACATGATTAATATACTGTGTCATGACTGATGAATGAGTGTCCTGCTTCAGGCTTGAAGAACAAGAAAATGAGTTTAGAAGATGCAATAATGAAGTCCAAGCGAGAGAAGGAGGCCATGGCGGCGCCCCAGGTGAGTACACATCTAAACACAGTAAACAGGAACAACTGGAGTGATATCTGAGTATCACTATCAAGTTGAGTAGTAGTTCGAAATACCTGCCTGCCCGATCGCCGGGGACAGGTTATTTTCAACACGGACTGACAGATTCTCAAATTCACCTGTCTGACGGTCGGGTTAAAATTTAGACATGTATATAAAGAAATTTTGTGGGAAGGTAAGTTTTGGTCAGGGCTGGCAGGTTTTGCATCTAACCAGCCCTGTGGTCTGGCTGAATTTTTGGGGAGTTTCATACCCTGTTATTACGCAGATTGGACAACTTAGTCTATAGCTTTACATTGTTTGAAGAAAACAAGGTCAAATGGTTATAACCACTATAAAATGTCTAGATGACATGCTACAATGCCAACTGTGTGCAGGTCAAGCTAAGAGAGGACCTGAAGCAGCTGCGAGGGGAGTCCCTAACACAGATGAAGGCTCAGGGCCAGCTGATGCAGACCACGGAGGAACAGATCTACATGGAGGGCAGTAAGCTGAAGAAGGTCATGGAGGAGAACCACAGGTTTCAGGAGGTGAGTGATGAGCGTCAGGGTTGTCCAGGTGGATGTCGCAGGTTTCTATAAGTGTTCAATCCCAGACTTGCCCTTGTTGTGATCCATTGCCCACTAGAATATGTTGTGACTGTGACTTGCATCTTCTCTGGTATTCCTCTCCCATATGTTGTTATAAGACTTTTCAAAATCATGGAAAGATTGATGGACCACTGACTGTCTGCCTGTAGAGTTGCAAGAAGCTGGAGGCTGACATTGTGGACATCCAGTCTCAGATGGAGATGAACGAGGAGGCCACCATGCGGCTACAGAAAGAACTGGTCAAGTCTAAAGGTAGGGACTGGAGATAACAGTAGGGTAGACCACTACTGAGGTGGGGAGGGGTGGGGTTGACCACTACTGGAGTGAGGGGTGGTGGGGTTGACCACTACTGGGGTGGGGAGCGGTGGGGTTGACCACTACTGGGATGGGGAGGGGTGGGGTTGACCACTACTGAGGTGGGGAGGGGTGGGGTTGACCACTACTGGGGTGGGGAATGGTGGGGTAGACCACTACTGGGGTGGGGAGGGGTGGGGTTGACCACTACTAGGGTGGGGTAGACCACTACTGGGGTGGGGAATGTTGGGGTTGACCACTACTGGGATGGGGAGCGGTGGAGTTGACCACACTGGGGTGGGGAATGGTGGGGTAGACCACTACTGGGGTGGGAGGGGTGGGGTTGACCACTACTGGGGTGGGGAATGGTGGGTAGACCACTACTGAGGTGGGGAGTGGTGGGGTTGACCACTACTGGGGTGGGGAATGGTGGAGTAGACCACTACTGGGATGGGGAGGGGTGGGGTGGGGTTGACCACCACTGGGATGGGGAGGGGTGGGGAATGGTGGGGAGGGTGGGGACCACTACTGGGGGGAGGGGGGGAGGGGTGGGGTTGACCACTACTGGGGTGGGGAATGGTGGGGTTGACCACTACTGAGGTGGGGAGTGGTGGGGTTGACCACTACTGGGATGGGGAGTGGTGGAGTTGACCACTACTGGGATGGGGGGGTGGGGGAGCGGTGGGGTTGACCACTACTGGGATGGGGAGGGGTGGGGTTGACCACTACTGGGATGGGGAGGGTGGGGTTGACCACTACTGGGATGGGGAGGGGTGGGGTTGACCACTACTGGGATGGGGAGGGGTGGGCTGACCACTACTGAGGGTGGGGTTGACCACTACTGGGATGGGGAGGGGTGGGGTTGACCACTACTGAGGTGGGGAGGGTGGGGTTGACCACTACTGGGATGGGGGCGGTGGGGTTGACCACTACTGGGATTGGGGAGTGGTGGGGTAGACCACTACTGGGGTGGGGAATGGTGGGGTAGACCACTACTGGGGTGGGGAGTGGTGGGGTTGACCACTACTGGGGTGGGGAGAGGTGGGGTAGACCACGACTGGGGTGGGGAGTGGTGGGGTTGACCACTACTGGGATGGGGAGTGGTGGGGTTGACCACTACTGGGGTGGGGAGTGGTGGGGTTGACCACGACTGGGGTGGGGAGTGGTGGGGTAGACCACTACTGGGGTGGGGAGTGGTAGTGTTAGCCACTGCATGGGTTGAGGATGTTGGGGTTGCCCATTTCTGAGGTGAGGAGAGATGGGTAGGTGCAGTGAATTTCTTGGTTAGAAATACATCATATTGGGCAACAGAAGGAAAGGTTATATATGCACTTTTTAGATTTTAGTCATCTCCAATTCAAAACAAAATATCAAAAATCAGCTGTCATTGTGATGTTGTATTTTACAGAGGCCCTTGTTACCAGCTGGGAGTCAGACCGGGTCATGCAGGAGGTATGGTTAGCCAGACATGCAACACAAACAAAACTTGGCCAGACAATTACTGTTGTCAGTTTCATCTGAAAGTAAAACCAGACAGATGATGTAGGTCATAATATGTGTCAGGAGAAAATCTGGAACTTATCACAGGGTTTAGATATTACAATAAATTCTCCGAAAACAGAACATTGATGCAAGAACCAAAATAACCTGTAACTATTCCTGTCACCCAATCACAATAGCCAAATAACCTGTAACTATTCCTGTCACCCAATCGTAACAGCCACATAACCTGTAACTATTCCTGTCACCCAATCGTAACAGCCAAATAACCTATAACTATTCCTGTCACCCAATCGTAACAGCCAAATAACCTATAACTATTCCTGTCACCCAATCGTCAACAGCCAAATAACCTATAACTATTCCTGTCACCCAATCGTAACAGCCAAATAACCTATAACTATTCCTGTCACCCAATCGTAACAGCCAAATAACCTATAACTATTCCTGTCACCCAATCCTGTAACAGCTGTCAAAAATAACCTATAACTATTCCTGTCACCCAATCACTGTAAATAGCCAAATAAGCCAAATGTAACTATTCCTGTCACCCAATCACAATAGCCAAATAACCTGTAACTATTCCTGTCACCCAATCACAATAGCCAAATAACCTGTAACTATTCCTGTCACCCAATCGTAACAGCCAAATAACCTGTAACTATTCCTGTCACCCAATCGTAACAGCCAAGATAACTTATCACGTTTGATCCCACAGTTGTTTGCTAACCGAGACAAGGAGACGGTAGAAGCGTTTGGGCGTCTGCTGGAGAAGACGGGGAACCGCGAGACCACTATCTCTGATGTGACGGGTCGACTGACGGATGAGCTTTCCGTTCTGGCTAATTTTCTGGACAATGTGTCCAGTAGACGACCTCGAGGTGAGTATTGGTCAGACATTAACCAGTAATGGTGAACCAGACCTGGTGAAGTGAATGATCACAACTCTTCAACTTGATCTATGGAGATAGCTACACAGCAGCACTCGGAGTATACAGGCTAACTGTGTCAGTAAATGTACCTGTGTGTCACTGATGTCTGAGAAAACACACGACATACACTGATTTCCTTACAGACTGAAACATGACATGGTATAAGACCAACTTTGTGTAACTTGGCCAGAATGCACACATATATTGTTTTACATAATGTCCCTCCACTATTTTCCACCTTGACCAAGTGTAACTTGCACAGCAATACAATTTATGATCTGATATGCATGTGAAGAGCACTTCCACTGTAGTATAGAATAACTGTCACTTTAATGCTTGCTCTTGGTTTGTTGGTCCTCCCATGTGTGATAGTCCTGAGTATGTGTTAGTGTATGCATGGGCAACATGTCTCTGTGTTTGGATGCTGAGTCCTCCTCTCTGTGCATGTATACTGACAGTCCTCCCATGTGTGATAGTCCTCAGTGTGTTAGTATATGCATTGGAAACATGTCTCTGTGTTTGGATGCTGAGTCCGCCTCTGTGTGTGTGTATACTGACAGTCCTCCCATGTGTGATAGTCCTGAGTGTGTGTTAGTATATGCATGGGAAACATGTCTCTGTGTTTGAATGCTGAGTCCTCCTCTGTGTGTGTGTATACTGACAGTCCTCCCATGTGTGATAGTCCTCAGTGTGTTAGTATATGCATGGGAAACATGTCTCTGTGTTTGAATGCTGAGTCCTCCTCTGTGTGTGTGTATACTGACAGTCCTCCCATGTGTGATAGTCCTCAGTGTGTTAGTGTATGCATGGGAAACATGTCTCTGTGTTTGGATGCTGAGTCCGCCTCTGTGTGTGTGTATACTGACAGTCCTCCCATGTGTGATAGTCCTCAGTGTGTTAGTATATGCATGGGAAACATGTCTCTGTGTTTGGATGCTGAGTCCTCCTCTGTGTGTGTGTATACTGACAGTCCTCCCATGTGTGATAGTCCTGAATATGTGTTAGTATATGCATGGGAAACATGTCTCTGTGTTTGAATGCTGAGTCCTCCTCTGTGTGTGTGTATACTGACAGTCCTCCCATGTGTGATAGTCCTCAGTGTGTTAGTGTATGCATGGGCAACATGTCTCTGTGTTTGAATGCTGAGTCCTCCTCTGTGTGTGTGTATACTGACAGTCCTCCCATGTGTGATAGTCCTCAGTGTGTTAGTGTATGCATGGGAAACATGTCTCTGTGTTTGAATGCTGAGTCCTCCTCTGTGTGTGTGTATACTGACAGTCCTCCCATGTGTGATAGTCCTGAATATGTGTTAGTATATGCATGGGAAACATGTCTCTGTGTTTGAATGCTGAGTCCTCCTCTGTGTGTGTGTATACTGACAGTCCTCCCATGTGTGTGTGTGTGCATGCGTGTGTGCGGGAGGGCGCGCGCGTGCATGCATGCTGACAGTCCTCCCATATGAGAGTGTGTGAATGCATGCATGCTTGCGTGTGTACATGTGTGTGCATGCGTGCGTGCGTACTGACAGTCCTCCCATGTGTGCGTGTGTGTGTGAGTGCGTGCTTGCGTGCTGACAGTCTTCCCATGTGCATGCTTGCTGACAGTCCTCCCGTGTGTGTGCGTGCATGCGGACAGTCCTCCCATGTGTGTGCACATAGATCAGCACCCTGCATGTGTTTGTTGCATGCACCTGCTACTAATGTCCTTCTTATGCACTAACAACAGGCAAACAGCGAATCTCAAGGTAAGGCACTTTTGAAGCTTGTTTCTTACTTTGTATTTATTGGTTACTCTTTATGAATAAACATTGTCATTGTCTGTTTATTGGTGTGTTTATTTACCCTGCAACCCCATCATTCTGTCACTACCCCCTTGCTGCTTTTACAGTACCCAGTGACTTGATTCTCTTTCTACAACCATTGGTTCTGTTACTAAATATAACCTTGTTATTCTGTTAATTTATGTCACCCATTGGTTCTGTTACTATACAAGAGGTAGGACTTTAAAGTCATTGTGACAGATGCTATATCAAGACTTGACCATGTTTATTCCTGGAGAGAGTGGTGAAGGGGCTTGATCACGCTCTAAGGACAGACCATTTGACATTCATGAGAGTTTGGGATTTTCTTACAAAAGACTTGGACTCAAGTTTTACACAGACAGTGGATTGTGTAAAGAAAATTGTTTGGTTCATGCATTTTATGAAGTCCCTGCCCCAAACACCCCACTCCCATCCCCTGGCCCACCCCTCCCCATGCCCTGGCCCACCCCTCCCTACAACTACATGTGTAAAGGTCTTTGATTTTTGCAATGATAACGCTTCCATCATTTATATCAGACAGTTTTCTCACTCCTAACTGTCCATGTTGGTTGTCTTGCAGCAAATTAAGTACACTGAGTGCATGAGGGCAATTCTTCACTTGCACTAAAAGCTCAGTGTGTAAGAAGCACTTGAATCCGAGAAAGTGAAATCCCAAATATAACATGTGTTACATTTGATCATTTTCTAAATGGTGTTATGTATTCATAACAGTGTTTTCTGTCAGGCGTGGGTGTGCATTCTATTACATTCACTATTAAGCTGTTTAAGTTACGTGTTTCTCAGAACCGTCTTCTCCCTAATATTAGCTTTAATGTTAAAGGTCACATGCAACGTAAAACACAACTTTGCAGATTCTGATACCTTTGGGTATGGACTTACCGAAACAAATCGTCAAAAATGCAAATTCAACTTATAAAGTTGAAAAATAACGCGATGAAAAAAAACACGCGAAATCGGAGTTCAAACGTTTCACTAATTTTCCCCCGACTTTTCTGGGGAAAACAGGTTTCAACAGCGGGGCTGCGCTCATAGCACGTGCGCAGTGAAATAGGTTCGCGTAGCTTGGAAGGCTTTGGTGTGAGCTATTTTTCTAATGTTTTGTTGATATCTCACAGGCGCGAGCTTTTTATATGTTATGACAGTAAATTAACTGTTTATATAATTTCACCACACGTTCTTCTTACCGAGTCACTTTCTCAGTTCGATACTTAAAAGCAATGTCATTATTTAGCGTTGACAGAATTTCTAACTGTGATATAGATATGTCTTTGTCACAGACAAAACTCAATGTCTTGTTTTATTGACACCTGTGTGTCTGCCTGCCTGTCTGCTAATGACAATATTCAATACACAGCTGCTATCACTGACCACATGCAATTTGAACTTAACACCAATCAGGCTATACACCATAAACAAAATGCATTGATTTATGTCCCGAGTTCGGTCTCTGTCACATTATGTAATTACACAGACAGGCAGGTGTGATAGTTGAACACATGACATGTTATGATGTCTGTTGATTGCAAAATGTTATACACAAAAAATGAGCATGTATTTACAAAACCCAACATCTCTACATATACACACACAATAAGCCGTGAGGGCATACTGCAAATGAACCAGCCGTTACACTTGAGTGCACACCCACCCGCTCTGACTGGGTTCGGTATCCCGGCTGCTTCGTTTCTTGGGAAGTAAACCGAAGTACACAATATTGCACTTTTGATTTGCGATTGTACGCTTATAATTTTGTTTATATGTTTTTTCATAACCAGCAATGTATATTATATGTCACGAATAAGTGATAATCGGGTTTTAATTATGTTTGATTTTTTGGTTGCATGTGACCTTTAAGCATTGTTAAGAAACAACTTTCCAAGTTAATTTTGTTCATGCTCCAGATTCCCCTTTCTGCAATCCATAATATGCCCGACTTGCAGGGGAACTATTGTCTGTGGCCAGTAGGGGCCACGTGGTTTATTAAAAGTTCATTTTACACATTTATCAGTAAGTAGCATGAGAAACAAAACTGTTTTCTCCCTTGGTCTTATTTCCTGACCTTGTGTATTGTTTAGCTGATTCCTGGGATGCTTCAGACATCTTGTTGGTAGGCTCACTCAGCTCTGAAGTAACATTGAAGTAACATTTTAGGTGAAGAAGCAGCTTGTGATGGATCAGCTTGTTGCTTGAAATATCATTGTTTATTCACAAACATGCTCGCTACGGTCAAATATGAATTTACTCTAATTCCATTTTCGATTTCCTTCAACACGCTTTTAATGACAGCCATGACATTTTTCAGGCATATGTAATCAAGCAGCCCCATGTCCGATTCTTTCAGGTTTTGTCAGGAGTTTGCCTCCACCACTACTGTACTTTGTATTGGAATCCACGCTGAGTTTCTAGACACATCAGGGATATCATGTCATCCCCATGGGGAAATACTGGGAAACAAGTATCAGTCATGTCAAAGATAATGTCATCCTTCTGGCCATTGTCTTAAGAAAGGTTATTTGAAAAAGTGTAAAAGCATTTGATGTATGCCACTGAAATTTTGGTACGTGTTCTGTGAGGCAAAGCTGCAATCTGGGATGGTCAAGGTCAGGGTCACAGAGATGATTACTAAAATATGTTTGCCATTTTCACTGATATGCCATTACCTGCAGATATGTTTAAGCCATTACAACCAAATCACGATGCAGATCAATGCATCAGTGGGACCAAATAAAATGTCTTTGACAGAGGGTCTTACTTTATGATAAGTTTCGGACTGAAACTTTGTGCCGATATAGACAGAGTGCCGGTGTTTACATAGGCCGGTATTGACAGAGTCCACTGTATACGACAGGTCAAACCAATCTTATGGAGTCAGTAGTAGCTCATGCTTGCCTACTTTGAATGAGAAGTATATGCTGTGTTTGTGATTAAGCTGTCTGTAATAGACACAGGTTTCCTCAAACAGGATGTTATGGAACTTTTTTAAGTGGTGGTCAGTGGCTTCTCTGGTTGACAGTTTTCTGGTAATAATCAAACAATGTGTTGTTTCTATCGGAGTGAGGTGCCCCTCGTGGACATCTATTGCTGTATATTCTACAAGTATGGTGGAATTACTCTCCCAAATGTTGACAACTTGTTCTTAATCTTAAAAGTTTTATTTTTATTTTGGATGTACGTACAAATGATCTGTTCAGTTTCTGTACATCCTCGTGTTTATTTAACATACATTTGATTATATGCAGATTATATGTGGATTATATGCAGATTATATGCAGTCTATAAGCACAAATACTTAAAACTTGCATGTAGCAATATTTTATAAATCTTTAGATGAGGAATGATATGATCCAGGCCATGATATTATTTGATGACAGATAAATAATTCTATTTCTTGGCTGTGCTCAAATGTTTGTAAATATTGTTGGCACTATAGATATATGAATCTACTCAGAAAAAGTCATCTGATTTACTTTTACAAACTAGATATGTTAGATTTAATCTTCAGTTGATAACTCATCGATCGCTATCTTAATGTTATCTGAAACTTTCATTACAGAAACGAGAAGCGGCCTGCGACCAAACAAAGCCAGCGCCCGGAGACCCGGGACGGGCAGCACCCATCGAGCTCACAGCGCAGTCGAAGCAGTAGCCGCTGCAAATCTCGCGTCACCTGGGACACCACATCCCCCGGGTCTCGACCTGAGAGCCAGTCGCCAGTCAAACACAGAGAAAAGTCTGACATCTCGACCCACCACTTCAGGGTCAAGACCAGCCTCTAAAAGCACAACTAACTTCAGAACCCCTCGGTCCACCAGGGTTGTAACAACACCTAAGTCTGCCAAATCATGAACAATTTCATAGAAATACTTAAAGCTAAGCTGTGATTTACTAGTTATTGAGAGATTATAAGATGTATATTGTATTCATGGATGTTTATATTGTGTTGCAATGTAACTTCAGGAACACTAAAAGGCTCTTCAACTGACAGTTTGTATTGTTTTTTCGTAAATCCAATCATTTGTAAAAACAAATGAAAGAGAAGTAACCATAGATAACAAGCACATGTTATCTGGATCATTGTAACGACAGGCAAAGGTTATCGGGAATCTAGTACCCACAGACAACAAGCATGTGATCTGGAATGTAGTACCCACAGACAACAAGCATGTGATCTGGAATCTAGTACCCAAAGACAACAAGCATGTGATCTGGAATCTAGTACCCACAGTCAACAAGCATGTGATCTGGAATGTAGTACCCACAGACAACAAGCATGTGATCTGGAATGTAGTATCCACAGACAACAAGCATGTGATCTGGAATGTAGTACCCACAGACAACAAGCATGTGATCTGGAATGTAGTACCCACAGACAACAAGCATGTGATCTGGAATGTAGTACCCACACACAACAAGCATGTGATCTGGAATCTAGTACCCACAGACAACAAGCATGTGATCTGGAATCTAGTACCCACAGACAACAAGCATGTGATCTGGAATGTAGTACCCACAGACAACAAGCATGTGATCTGGAATGTAGTACCCACAGACAACAAGCATGTGATCTGGAATCTAGTACCCACAGACAACAAGCATGTGATCTGGAATGTAGTACCCACAGACAACAAGCATGTGATCTGGAATCTAGTACCCACAGACAACAAGCATGTGATCTGGAATGTAGTACCCATAGACAACAAGCATGTGATCTGGAATGTAGTACCCACAGACAACAAGCATGTGATCTGGAATGTAGTACCCACAGACAACAAGCATGTGATCTGGAATGTAGTACCCACAGACAACAAGCATGTGATCTGGAATCTAGTACCCATAGACAACAAGCATGTGATCTGGAATGTAGTACCCACAGACAACAAGCATGTGATCTGGAATCTTGTACCCACAGACAACAAGCATGTGATCTGGAATGTAGTACCAACAGACAACAAGCATGTGATCTGGAATCTAGTACCCAAAGACAACAAGCATGTGATCTGGAATCTAGTACCCACAGTCAACAAGCATGTGATCTGGAATGTAGTACCCACAGACAACAAGCATGTGATCTGGAATGTAGTATCCACAGACAACAAGCATGTGATCTGGAATGTAGTACCCACAGACAACAAGCATGTGATCTGGAATGTAGTACCCACAGACAACAAGCATGTGATCTGGAATGTAGTACCCACACACAACAAGCATGTGATCTGGAATCTAGTACCCACAGACAACAAGCATGTGATCTGGAATCTAGTACCCACAGACAACAAGCATGTGATCTGGAATGTAGTACCCACAGACAACAAGCATGTGATCTGGAATGTAGTACCCACAGACAACAAGCATGTGATCTGGAATCTAGTACCCACAGACAACAAGCATGTGATCTGAATGTAGTACCCACAGACAACAAGCATGTGATCTGGAATCTAGTACCCACAGACAACAAGCATGTGATCTGGAATGTAGTACCCATAGACAACAAGCATGTGATCTGGAATGTAGTACCCACAGACAACAAGCATGTGATCTGGAATGTAGTACCCACAGACAACAAGCATGTGATCTGGAATGTAGTACCCACAGACAACAAGCATGTGATCTGGAATCTAGTACCCATAGACAACAAGCATGTGATCTGGAATGTAGTACCCACAGACAACAAGCATGTGATCTGGAATCTTGTACCCACAGACAACAAGCATGTGATCTGGAATGTAGTACCAACAGACAACAAGCATGTGATCTGGAATCTTGTACCCACAGACAACAAGCATGTGATCTGGAATCTAGTACCCATAGACAACAAGCATGTGATCTGGAATGTAGTACCCACAGACAACAAGCATGTGATCTGGAATGTAGTACCCACAGACAACAAGCATGTGATCTGGAATCTAGTACCCACAGACAACAAGCATGTGATCTGGAATGTAGTACCCACAGACAACAAGCATGTGATCTGGAATCTAGTACCCACGGACAACAAGCATGTGATCTGGAATCTAGTACCAACAGACAACAAGCATGTGATCTGGAATCTAGTACCAACAGACAACAAGCATGTGATCTGGAATGTAGTACCCACAGTCAACAAGCATGTGATCTGGAATCTAGTACCCACAGACAACAAGCATGTGATCTGGAATCTAGTACCCACAGACAACAAGCATGTGATCTGGAATCTAGTACCCACAGTCAACAAGCATGTGATCTGGAATCTAGTACCCACAGACAACAAGCATGTGATCTGGAATCTAGTACCCACAGTCAACAAGCATGTGATCTGGAATGTAGTACCCACAGACAACAAGCATGTGATCTGGAATCTAGTACCCACAGACAACAAGCATGTGATCTGGAATCTAGTACCCACAGACAACAAGCATGTGATCTGGATTCTAGTACCCACAGATAACAAGCATGTGATCTGGAATCTAGTACCGACAGTCAACAAGCATGTGATCTGGAATGTAGTACCCACAGACAACAAGCATGTGATCTGGAATCTAGTACCCACAGTCAACAAGCATGTGATCTGGAATGTAGTACCCACAGACAACAAGCATGTGATCTGGAATCTAGTACCCACAGACAACAAGCATGTGATCTGGAATGTAGTTCAAGAAAAGGGATATCACTACAATAGACTGGCAATAAACCATGGCATCACTCATCGCTCTGACACCTGACCTGCTTAGCTGTACCTTTTAAGCTTTCTGTTGACAAAATGAAAAATTTTGACAAATGAAGGATGATAACTAGATAAGAGTGTTTTGATATGAAATATCATTAAAACGTGGGCCAGCTTCACCATGATCTAGTAACATCTAACATCAATTAGGTCACAATATTTTAATTAGCATTCTATTGATAATCATTACAAATGAGGCTATTGATTTTTCATGGTTGATTATAAAGTGTGTGACTATGAACATGTGGGAAGCCTGTGATGAAGGAGAAGTGAATGGAAAGGTAATGATTAGCTTCCTCTGGTTGCCTTGACAACAGTCACCAAGTTGGCTACAGCATCACATAACAAGTTGTACACATCATGACCATCATTTATTGCCTTCAGTATATAAATACTTTATGTTACAATAATGACATAATTTGTGATGTAAAGAGTACCTGACATTCATGACTTGAATTCATTTGTTCCCGAAGTCTGAAACGTCACAACACAGTCAAGTTATAGAAGTGTCTTGACATGACGAGATAGAAAGCAGATATAGTTGGCGCTACAGTGTCTTCTCCGAACAACTCAGATAGTCTGCATGTATTCTAGTTCACATGATCCCCCATATAAATATAATCTTCTTGTCAATCACAGCTGATGGTCACATATATACAAAACAGTATTTTCTCCCTCCCTTCCCCCCTCCCCACAATGTTTGTTTGTGATTTGATGCCACACTCAGCAATATTCCAGTTAGATGACGGTCACATGAAAACAATCTGGACCAGACAATTCAGGGATTAAAATTTTGAGCAACTATTCTCATCACTGGTGTACGACAACATGCAAACTTTGTCAACAAGCTTTACCACTGGGATCGTTTGCTTGCTTCTTAAAGACCAAAATAGGTTACCTGGGCACCGATTCTAAACCCGATTCTCTCTGCTGACAAGATACATAGTTCAGTATTACTGCTGAACGATGCGTGTCGATCAGATTCATCACGTTTTGTCCTGACCAACTCAGGCACCAGCCAGATAGTTTCTCAAAGGACATGCATTGAATGATTGGCTTCTCTACATCCTGGACTTTTTAGGTTAGTGATAAAACCACCTCTTACTCTACAAGACATTTCTGAGAGACAGAGTCCATATGAAGACATCTTGAAGCATTGTTAAATGTAGCAACAACTTAATGACTCCATTTCCCCATGAATGCAAGTACGTGGAAAATTACTGATACGGTAAAATAACATGTTATACTCAGTGCCACTCATTATAATGGCCACCAAACAGACCAATTCATCTTGCAATAATTCAATAAATGAAATAATACATGTTGTAATCTCTTACCAAGAATAATGGAACAACCAAGAGACAGTTTCAGGTTAATCTTGAGCTCCATAATCCGAGGGGAACGTAACTATACCTGCTGCAGTATGGTGAAACAAGAAACAAACATGTCTGAGAAAGAATGCTCACACTTACGTATATATGCATATAATATTCAGTGTTCTCACTTGCAAAACATTCATGCATAATCCTGGACCTGGCAACATCTTGCATACAAGAGTCATCTACAAATACTGTTGTGGAAAATAGACCCACACCAAATTATATAAATCATTCAGTACCTAGAGAACAGCATGAAAGTCATCTTGTGCCTACAATCAGGGCTGGGCATCGGAAGCAGCTTTCTCAAGCTTTCCACCATATCCAAAAGCTGATTACTTGTTGTGGACTGAAGTTCAACACCCTGATACTGATGAAGATGAGCCTGGGCTTGTGCTACCTGGACGTGACCCATCTGTATTGTTAAGCTGAGTGTATGCATGACATGGGTGATGTTCAGCAGCAGTAGCAGTGTCTGTCATGTGTAAGTATGAGTGCCTTCACTGCAGCGTCTATCCTTGCAGCGACTGCATAGCGAAATACACACATTATAAACATGACTTTCATCACAAAATGACATCAAATTAATATCAGTTAACAGGACCATAAATTAAGTGAAGGTTCTTATGTAGTGAGTTGGAAACTTACAGGTTCAACACATGCAAGACTACCAGCTGGTCTCTAACGCTTCATGCAAAGAATGGGTTTCATAACCCACGTGTGTGGTATATAGTGAGTATGACCAGGACAAATCAGTGATTCAAACCAACACTCAGTCAGTTCTCACATGCCTTCATCTAACTCGTGTGAGACGACATCTGTGTATGGGAATAGTGAGATGGTCTAAGTCTAAGTAACTTTAGGCTTTCTGAATGGTCACTCCCCCAGTTCTTGGTGAATGCCAAGCCAAGCATTGATGAAGCTCTCTGGTTTCCCTCAGTTCACATCAAAGAGAAAATGTGTCAGAAGTTGATCATTTTTATGGAAATATGTTCATTCCACTCATACACAAGATATTTTATAACAATTCCATACAAAATACGATGAACAACTGTCATTAAAAATTACTACCAGTGTCAAGCTGACATCTGTACAATTTTGACATCATTATCAAACATTTCATAATATACACAATACAAAGGAACATGAGCTGCTGGCAGCTTCCCATAAATGTAGCTAGAAACATTCAGACCACTTGCTGTGAGTAAGTATATATATATTTATATACAATAACTTTCTGCTGTCAGTTATCTACTTCATGACACAATCAATCAAGAGAGAGGCTACCCATAAACTCTGGTTCTTATCATGGTGTCCCTGTGGGTTGTGACATTAACATGTTATGAGTAGACAGAAACATCCACAGCCAGAGAGGCCATATTCACAGTTCAAGCTGTATGCAAGGGACTCGTGTCTCAATAGGCAACACAGATTTTATTTACTGTATGAATAGGAAATAAGGACCATATTTACTGTATTAACTATGGATCATGATCACTGTTTACCCAGCTTTACCAGGCATTGTGCATAATATTAACAGTATTAAATGGAATAAAGTGTTATATTTACTGTATTCAAACAAATAAAACAGTTTCATATTAACCCTCCACTCATTAGGACTCATAAAAATCCAGCTGAGAAAGCCTTGTAGCCAGATGTATGTTTTGGCCTGATAAAACTCTGCTAACATCTGGCCATCAGAACCTGCAGTTTGATGGCATTACATGTGTGAGGACCTCCTTGTTGTAAGGCTATTTTGTCAGATACAGTAGAAAGGATCGATCGTCGACAGAAGCAGCACTTGCTGTTACTATTCAGATGGCTATGTACAATATATACAGGGACAGTCAGCAACATGCAGTGCTGCTGACTTCATTATCGAGTTCACAAGATGAGCACTTCCTCCAGGGTATCCCGGAGCTACAAGGAGGTTGACTCCATGACTGAGGGAGGTCAACACAGGGCTTCTTCTTTCAGTGCTGTGATACAGTTCTTCAGTAGCTGTACTTGAGCCTGGAAACACCATGTGAAAATAGACATGACTGGTGGTTTGTGCAGAGTAGAAACCAGTGGAAGTTATGATCATAAAAAGCAAGTGAACAGTAATCGTATACATGTACTGATGGCGTTAGCCCGGATGTATCAAATGAAATATTCCTGTGCTTCAAATACTCAATTACACCCGGAAATTGGCCAACACATGATGTTTATCAAAATTGTAAACACAAAAGTAAATCAAAAGGCCCACATGGGTTTTACTGTCTGCATTAATTTACATCGAGTACGAGTACAGCAGTGACGTGTCATCAGCTGGCCTTTCAGCTGGTTCCCATGGTAGCATCCGGAACTGCTCGTTTGTGACGTCATTTTGACTTTACGTCACAATATGATTTGAATGAAGCCACGACAATACAACTGTGTGCGATATTTGTACGTGTCAATACGCAGTGAATAGTCTTTCAATTTCCCGGGAATCGATTACCATTCGATCATGTTTTTCAACCAATAAGATTAAAGAACACATGGTTCACGCCTAACATACAGGGATATATGGTATATCAACCAGCAAAAGTGAAGTGTAAAGGACTTAGTCTGTCCTCATTAGGCAACATGAAATAAAGTATGAGCCTTAACTATCACATGGGAATCAATCCCTGGTTGTCGATGTGAGAGGCAAACACTCAACCACTGGCCTAACAGCCTACAAATTATAACTGTGGTGCTTAACGTTATTACAGGTGTTTTATACTTGGTACACCATTATGATGAGGTCACCCTATTGTTATTGCATTTGATTCTGAGCCAAGAATTCACTGGGTTTTCCACAAATTATATATCAGTTGTAACAAATAAAAGTCAGAAATACTGCTCTCATCTGTAGCGTTCAGAAGTAGAATCAGGGGTAACTGACTCTGTGTCTAGAATCAACAGCGTCCCATGACTTCTCAATTACAACATCTACACTTTCTGTGCATGAAGTTTCTGAATAATTCTCATGGTCTACACTTCCAGTGGCCCCAAGTTCTCTTACCTTCGCATGTTTCATCTCCAACTCTGCTAGGTCCACCAAGTTTTTCCTAAAGTATGCTATTCTCCGTGTCTTAAACTCTGTTAATTCTGCAAATCACAACAGTAGCTTAATAATTTTGCAAAATAAAACACTCCAAGAACTGGAATGATACTGACACAATTTGGAACACTTCAATTCTGATACATACTGCAAGAGTGAGTGAGTATGGTTTTACGCCACTTTTAGCAATATTCCAGCAATATCACGGCGGGGTACACCAGAAATGGGCTTCCGACATTTTGCCCATGTGTGTAATCGAACCCAGGTCTTTGGCGTGACAATTGAACGCTTTGACAACTAGGCTACCCCACACCCCCACAAGAGTTCATTCTCATATGACATACTAGAAGAGACACCTACCTTTCTTAGCCATCTCAGATATTTTCTCAAACTTCTTGCAACATGTCTCCTGTGTTTTCTCTGCCTGAAGATAAAACAGAGAACACACCGTGACAAGCAACAAGTACTCGAAAACACACCCAGCCTGGAGACAAGGTAAACACACCCAGCCTGGAGACAAGGTAAACACACCCAGCCTGGAGACAAGGTAAACACACCCATGGGTGTCCTAAATGACCTGTAGACAATGTACAGTGGGTGTCCTAAATGACCTGAAGACAGTGTACAGTGGGTGTCCTAAATGACCTGCAGACAATGTACAGAGGGTGTCCTAAATGACCTGGAGACAATGTACAGAGGGTGTCCTAAATGACCTGGAGACAATGTACAGTGGGTGTCCTAACTGACCTGCAGACAATGTACAGTGAGTGTCCGAAATGACTTGCAGACAATGTACTGTGAGAGTCCTAAATGACCTGCAGATAATGTACTGTGAGAGTCCTAAATGACCTGAAGACAATGTACAGAGGGTGTCCTAAATGACCTGGTGACAATGTACAGTGGGTGTCCTAAATGACCTGCAGACAATATACAGTGAGAGTCCTAAATGACCTGCAGACAATGTACAGTGAGAGTCCTAAATGACCTGGTGACAATGTACAGTGGGTGTCCTAAATGACCTGCAGACAATGTACAGTGGGTGTCCTAAATGACCTGAAGACAATGTACAGTGACAGTCCTAAATGACCTGGAGACAATGTATAGTGGGTGTCCTAAATGACTTGCAGACAATGTACAGTGGGTGTCCTAAATGACCTGCAGACAAGGTACAGTGAGAGTCCTAAATGACCTGGAGACAATGTACAGTGGGTGTCCTAAATGACTTGCAGACAATGTACAGTGGGTGTCCTAAATGACCTGCAGACAATGTACAGAGGGTGTCCTAAATGACCTGGAAACAATGTACAATGGGTGTCCTAATTGACCTGCAGACAATATACAGTGAGAGTCCGAAATGACTTGCAGACAATGTACTGTGAGAGTCCGAAATGACCTGCAGATAATGTACAGAGGGTGTCCTAAATGACCTGCAGACAATGTACAGTGGGTGTCCTAAATGACCTGCAGACAATGTACAATGGGTGTCCTAAATAACCTGGAGACAATGTACAGTGAGTCCTAAATGACCTGAAGACAATGTACAGTGGGTGTCCTAAATGACTTGCAGACAATGTACAGTGGGTGTCCTAAATGACCTGCAGACAATGTACAGAGGGTGTCCTAAATGACCTGCAGACAATGTACAGTGGGTGTCCTAAATGACCTGCAGACAATGTACAGTGGGTGTCCTAAATGACTTGCAGACAATGTACAGTGGGTGTCCTAAATGACCTGCAGACAATGTACAGTGGGTGTCCTAAATGACCTGCAGACAATGTACAGTGGGTGTCCTAAATGACCTGCAGACAATGTACAGTGGGTGTCCTAAATGACTTGCAGACAATGTACAGTGGGTGTCCTAAATGACTTGCAGACAATGTACAGTGGGTGTCCCAAATGACCTGAAGACAATGTACAGTGACAGTCCTAAATGACCTGAAGACAATGTACAGTGACAGTCCTAAATGACCTGAAGACAATGTACAGTGAGAACACACCTGTTGAACTTCTTTGTTCTTGGTTCTGGCCTTCTCAAGAGCTTTGTTGGCAGCTTCATAGTCTGCAAGGGAGCGTGTGCGGCGGTACAAGAGGTCTTTGGCTGCTGAGGAATCTCTCATGTAATATCGCAGTGTATCACTCAACTTGAGATCTTCATCTGATGCCACTCGACCCTCTAGTTTCTGCAAAAGACAGGTATAGACATGTACCATGTAGAGTGAATTTGTGTCGTTTTCACACCGGGGAAACACATTAATGTGATTGTGACTCTTTGGTGGTTATATGCGCACCTTGCAATATTTTTTACACCCAGAGCCAATGTGTTAATAGTATACCCTGTGAAAATTTGGACATCAGCAACCCACGATTGAAGCAAGAGATGACCAGCTGGATAAATGACTCAGACTCAGTTACTTGGTTCATGCATGTCTCATATTCTAATGGCACAGATAAATGAGCATGTCAATCACCAGATTGTCTGGTCAAGATTAAATTACACAAACTGCAGCCTACAGCAGTCAGATATGACAGAGTCATCTGTCATGCTCAACTTACCCTTGCTTTCTCCAAGGCTTCAGCTACTTTTGTGAAAATTCTGAAAAGGCAAATTATTTTTATTTATTATTATATTACTATTATTGGATATTTATATAGCGCACATATCCACGCACTAGTGCATGCTCAAGGCGCTGGTATTTTTTCCCTTGATCATTGGATGTCAATCTCAACGGCACATCTTATTATCAATCTCACCTCCCTGGGGATTATACAACTGTTGCTGCCACAAGGCCCACCCAGTTATTGCGGCTTTCCCATCCTTACGAGGTACCCATTCACAGTTGGGTGGACTGGGACACATAGTCACAGTACTTTGTCCAAGTTAGGTGTTTGCACGTATTCAATTGGCCACCATCTGGTCATATACCAACAGATTCGTGGGTTCTTTTAAGTGCACAGGGCTGTGTACTGTACACTAGGGGTTTAAACAACACTGAAAGAGCTGACTCCAAGGTTTTTATACCCAGTCATAGGTGGGCTCGATCCCAGCACCTCATGCTCGCTGGATCACTAGACTGGCGCCGCTACCAGCTCGCCCTCTACGCCCCAAAATTATTCACATGATAACACAACTTTGATGTGATGTCAAGTGTCCACTATAAGGATGATGTACAGATTGGGTGGATCTTAGCTGTTACGAATACACAAGAGGGGCAAACATACCAACTGAATTACATTTGATAACCTCCGGAGTTGGTATCTACAGAAGATCACAAGAATTAAAGGTTTACATGACTTACTTATTAAGTTCAGTATTTTCAATAGTCGCTAGCTGCACTAATCCAGATGATATTTGAATATATGTGTCAGCAACATCTGAAATAAGTAACACAAAACAATGACTAAACAATATACACCCAACAAATGTTTTACTAAATCAATCAAAATATTCACAGATATAGCACTGGTACCCAGCTGGTCAACAGCGAACTTGTTCTTTCATGGCAGCTAGGGTGATGCCTTCCTGACTTGGGTTATGGGATCATATCTGTTGTTCTTGTCATAATTAAGGATGCAAATTTTTCCCCTTCTACTGTTTGGTTATAAGACGATCAGGGTGCTGCTGTACAAAACAACCTTAGCGTTAAGACTACCTTAAGTCTATGTTAAGGTATGGGAGTTACAGTCACCTTAGCGCTAAAATCACTTTCTACAACGGCACCCAGGAAGACAGTAGGTGGCAACAAAAATTCACATGGTCAGAAAAAAGCCACGGGGGGAAGTGAAAAGCTGCACGGTCAGTGAAAGGCTGCACGGTCAGTGAAAAGCTGCACGGTCAGTGAAAAGCTGCACGGTCAGTGAAAATCCCAGGGTGAGAGAAACGACACAACAAACCAGTGTAAATTCACAGACACAATGATAAGCGGCATATTCAGACACTCAGTCACTGAGTCAGTGTAAACTGCCAGGAACATGAACAGTTACAAGGTCAGTATAAAGCCAGCGTACACTTTCAGTGAATCACCAACAGACTGCAAAGTGCCTTCTATCTCTACTTACTTTTATGTGTTCTTGTCATTCTATCTGACTTGCCAGTGCTGTCTTTGATCTTGACGTGGTAGTCCACCAAAAATACTTTTTCTGCTTCAAAAAAGTCATCCACATCCTGCAAAAAATGATAAAAAAATTCTACAATGTTTCCTTGTGAAAGTACTAAACACAAATGACTTTATAGTTTTTGTACATGCAAGTAGAAAGAACGTGTATCTATGCAGTTCTTACAATTATTTGTCGGTCGTTCAACATAAGCAATATTTCAGCCATAGCATGATGGACCAGATAAACCAGTGGTTGAAGTAATGAGCAATCTCCCACTAAACACAATCAGTCCTCAGAACCAGTGAGGCTGTTCAACAGTCACCAGTGACTATGGACAACAATCACCTTACCTTTTGGGATGACAGCAGCACCTCGTCCGCCGACTTTGTTATAGTTTTGAAAAATCCTCCTAATTTCTCTCTTTTGTTCTTTCCCCGTACACTGAGCTGGAAATACACCCAAACATGCAGCAGCGAGACAAACAGGGATACACACTCCTCTAGTGAATACATGATACATGTTACGGATATTCTAGTGTTAGAGTAAATCAAATATGACAAATGATGAAACAGAGCTAATAGGAACATGGCCTGCTTCAGTTTTGCTGAAGAAAATACTTGAAACTGGTATAAACTAGAGGCGGAATTTTCTTATTTTGTCTCTGTGCAACTAACAATATTAACATGTGCTCTGAGTATGTTACACACATGAATGGAAAGTTTTACATAAAGAATTCCACATACATCCCCATCAAACTCTAGGAAAACCTCAAAGTTGACATCATTCCGGAGAGCCGGGTGGGCTGCCAACCTCTGCAGGAACACTTCATGCATGGCCACGGTCTTCTTGAATGTAGCCAGGTACTCTCTGTAATACACGTTTCATGTCAGTATCTACACAGCTGACACGTACAGTCTGTGCAGCTCATTCACTAAGTCAAAAGTTGATCATAGGTTTAAAAAAATTCCCAGCATCATTTCAAAATGTTTGTGTATTTGCTGTTTAACACCAGATTCAACAATATTCGAGCCATATATGGATACAGTAGGAAATAATCAAGTCTGGACCAGACATTCAAGTGATTATTATCACAAGTAAAGACCTACAAACTTGGACATTCATGATATCAGCATACTTATCCTAAGACAACAAAATTCCCTCATTCCTCATTCATATTGATTATATAACACAGAACACAGTGCCCCTATTTCATCCATGGTGATCCATGGTAACTAATCAGAGTTATCTGTCCTTGACCACTCACTGCCTTCACAGAACACAAGAACATACACATGACAAAGCTTTTGTGCAGAATATGTTTTGTCTTATATAATCTTGATCAGCAAAAAATGCAGATACCTTCGTGAGAGATTACCTACATTATAATATGCTTGAAACTGAAATTTTGTATGACACATTAGTATTTTTGTTCCATGTGTTAGTGCGAGATTTTCCAGTAACAAAAGTAGTGCTTAAACCAGTGTCTTATACAGAAGGAAATAGCAACTTGTTGGCGGGGACAACACATAACTGGGTTGCAGTCCATAACTTCCTGCCATATCAGACAGCACTGTGACCAGTTGATCCCCAGTTGAGGTGCCTTCCACAAGCATCCCAATTTCAGCCCCCTCATACAAGCATCTCCACTGGTAAGGTCATAATACACTTGCCTCTTACAATCCTAGGATTCAGACAGTGTTGATGGATCTACATGATTTGTTAAAGTCACCACATCAGTTTGCTTACGCTTCTAGTTCTTGTTTCATTTTGGTGAACTCCTCCCTCGTCATTGTCCCCTCCCCCTCTCCCAACCTCTGCAGCTTCTCTCGTGAGGCATCAAAGTCAGGCTTGGGTGGCGCTGGCGGGATCTACACCAGACATCATGGCACTCAGTTATCTAACATCTTACAAATGCATTTAAAGATACTTCACATCAGTGGCTAAAACAAAATAATATCAAGACTGTATTTGTCATGTTTGTTTGTATCAGGAAATAAGAAGTTACACTTTCTGTGCTGAGTAGCACTTTCTAAACATAGAATAATAATCATTTCAAAATTAAAAGTTCTAAAAAGACAAACTTACAATGATGCCAGCATATTCTTCATTCTCGCCATATCTGTCATGAAGCCAAATGAATTCTTCATGCTGACGAACAACTGAAAACTCAGGGTTTCTGAACTGTTGCAAAGTCGTCTGCAAGTGAAATAAATCATATTCACTTTTCTTTTTTCTTGGTTGAATCAAATCGTTAAGAGAAGCTATCAAAACGTCAGCTTGGCTCACTGGTATTTAGAATCATGATATGACTTTACCACTAAACAAATCTAGGTTTGAATCTCAACATCTCCTTTTCTTAAATTTGCTGATGAAGAAAAATGCCTCAACAAGCAAAAACCTAATTTCATACTTCATATTTAGCTAATAACAAGAATTAGACCAGTACTGCCACCTGCCTATTTAATTTGCCCAGCTTGCTTTTTAAGATGCACATAAAAATTCAAAACATTAACATGATGGCTGTATGAAATGTTAATATGCATCACACTTTGGGGACAAACAGTCAAACATGCTCTTCCTGACATCTGAAACCTCACATTTCTAAAAGTTCATTACCAACCTTTGTGTGAACAGTAAACTTGACTTTGTCTCTCTCACTCAGAGCATCCGAAATATCAACAACAAGCGAGGTGTCTGTCAAGTCCACAGTATCAGATCGACCCTGGAAAAAAAAAACATAAACATGTCCATACGACCAGAATGTTTTTAATGCATATGACTTGCCATGTCTGACAATGACCTGCTATGACATTTGAGCATGTTGAAATTAGATGCCACAAGAAGTGTGGACATAAGGACAAGTGTGACAGGTAAACATCTGGTGGATTCTAGCCAGCTGCTTCAGTATCCAACAGTGTACAGAAGCAGTCAGCAGATTTTACTCAATTACTTCCCTTGAAGGCCTAGCCATGACAACAGAATAACTGATCTTGCTGTTTGACATCTTAATATTTACTGTACATCTTGAAGTTCAGTAAAACCCTATTTACCATATAAATCATTCCAACCGAAATGTATGTGTTATTCATGATAGTCATCCCTTGTTATCCATGGATGACAGCCCGCGTTATATGGCATCTGCTGGGGTATGCTATTTATGTTCATGTGAAGATTGCTGGAGAACTGTTGTCGGATCCACTGATTACCCTGTGGCTTAACTGAGACTGCAGTATCGCAAAGGGCATTATTGCAATGGATGACTGTAAACTGACTTTGCTCAGACAGTTGCTTGAACACGTGTTTTCCAATCATCATGAAACAGGAACAGGTCAAAAGGGCGAAAGGACAAAAGGGACAAAATTGAAAAAAGTCAAAAGGGTCAACAGAAAGTCAAAAGGGCCATAGACTTAAGTCAAAGGGCCAAACTTTTAGAAAAAAGTAAGATTAAAAGAAATTCATTACATGTTGTTGCAGTAGTTCTAATCCTATTTTAGAAAAATGCAATTTTTCAAGTAAAATTGATATTTTATACTTATCCTGACTCATGATCTTTTGCTTATCTCCCTTTCCCTTGCAAATGGTAGTGGAACACTTGAATCCCTTGAAGTTCTCAAAGGGGACGTAAAAACTACACTCACCCACGAGTTACCTCCCTTTTCCCACGTAAACAGTCATGTGACCAGCCTTACATGTCACTCTCTCCTCATTTTTCTGCCCAAGCACTGGATCTGCTGTGCAATCCAAAGTGTTTGAGCGGGAGGTCGGGAGGGCTTGACCTCATGAGTCAGGATAAGTATAAAATATCAATTTTACTTGAAAAATTACATATTTTTTCTTATCCTGACTCATGATCTTTTGCTTATAGAATCCTTCGGATTGGTGGTGGGTCAGGCCACTTCCTGGATTCATCAGCTGTCCTTTAGATACGTCCTGTATCCCCCCCATGGGAACTGCGTTGCGGCATTTCCGAGATCCTATTGTTCCAACTTCCGTTATAACTCGGGGGGACCACTTCTTGTCTTACTTCAATCTCAGACAACTTGAATCATCTTGATTCATGTGGCTTCAGATAAACTAGTATTTTCTTATTACTAGATATCTCATATGTGTGATGTGAAATTGGGTTTAACGTCGTGCTTGAGAATATTTCGCTCATATGACGACGTGCATGCGTGTGTATGTAGATATCTTATAACAACCCATAGATTATGATAAGATTTTATCATAAATAAGTTAATCACTCATGCAAGCCTGTCCTAGACTATGCGCATGGACTTCCAAACTAATACTTTTCTTAGTAAAAGTTATCAACAACTCAACATGATAAAGGGTGAGATTTTCTGTGAGAGTTGCTGTGCTACAACGAGAGGCCCAAATTGGTGAATGCCTGAGATGTCTTCGGTGGCTATGTCTCGGAGGTAGTGGTTGGCAAACACCGTGTCCGATTTCCAAAAGCAGCCCTCCATAATTGCTGATATAGAGCAATTTCCGTGCAGAGCCAGTGTTGACGCCAGTGCTCTGACTTCGTGTGGGTTGGAAGCTCCAGGAGGTTCTAGTCCTGCTGCTTTATAGGTTCTCAATATGACGGCTCTCATCCCAAACGATATCGTCGTTCTTGAGACTTCTGCTGATGTCTCTGTGGATAATGGGATGAACAGGCGCTTGAATTTTCTTCTCCTTGTCTTATGTCTTTTGAAGATATACCTTCAGGGCTCTGACCAGACACAGGGATAGGTCTTCTATATCCTCTGGTCCGAGGATTGTAGATAGCGCTGGTACGTCTATCTGGCTGACCAAGTAGTTGGTTCTTAGCAATGAAGTCCCATCTAAGTCCTAGATGAACTGCAGCATGTTGCCCCGTGTCGAATCTGGTTCGAACAAAGTCCAGCGCATGTATCTCTGATATTCGAGCTGCCGTGGCTAGCGCAAGCAGGAACATAGTCTTCTGTGTCAGCAACTCGAAGGTAGTCTGGTCTAGAGGTTTGTAGGCATCACTTGTAAGATGTTGAATATTATTACTGTATGCAGTGGATTGATCTAATCATGCTCAGGACATGAGTATGACAGACCATTTAACTTTACTGAACATCATGGTAAATAATTATTATTCTTCACACAGAAAAGAAAATAGAGTAAAACTGATTGTATTATTGAATATGGTGAGTGAAAATGAAGATGGCATTAACACTGGAACTAGTAATAGTGGTCTTGTATGGAATTCTGAGCCAATGGACAGAAACAAAGACAGGGAGAAACAGTCCACACTGGTACTGTTGAAAGCAAATCAAAATCTTTCTTCTTTTGTGAAAACTGAGTTAAAAGTAGAACATTGGTTGGATTGTTGTCTAACATCACACAGACGATGACATATCCCCCCGGCCCCCACATCTTTGAAAGAACAATTCATCTGACAGTTACTTAAAGTCTAGCTTGATTTTACACTAAGTGCAAATCGTTTCTATGGAAATGATGAAAAACATAAATGACAAAAATCAGCAAATAGCAAAAGGCACCACTTCAAGATCTGCCTCACATAGCTGCCAAGTTTTGCCATAGTTTTTGAAACGAAACCCACCCCTCCCTTTAGAGACTAAGTCTAAATCGTTTCCATGGAAACCTAGAAAAATAAAAAAGACAAAACTCTGTAAATAGCAAAAGGCACCATTTGGGGATCTGCCTCACGTATCTGCCAAGTTTTGCTGAAAGATATTAAGAAGTTTTCGAGTTCGAGCTCCGGAAACGAAGCCCACCCCTCCCTTTTCAGACTAAGTTCGATTTGTTTCCATGGAAACCGGGAAAAAAAAAAGCTAAAAATCTGCAAATAGCAAAAGGCACCATTTAACGTTCTGTTTGATATATCTACCAAGTTTTGTTGAAAAATATTTAACGGTTCTTGAGTTGTGCTCCAGAAACGAAACCCACCCCTCCCTTTAGAGACTAAGTCTAAATCGTTTCCATGGAAACCGGGAAAAATAAAAATGCCAAAAATCTGCAAATAGCAAAAGGCACCACTTAAGGTTCTGTTTGATATATCTACCAAGTCTTTTTGAAAAATATTGAAACGTTTTTGAGTTATGCTCCGGAAACGAAGCCCACCCCTCTTTAAGACTAAGTCCAAAACGTTTCCATGGAAACCGAGAAAAATAAAAATGACAATAATCTGTAAATAGCAAAAGGCACCACCTTAGGCTATGTTTGACATATCTACCAATTTTTGTTGAAAAATATCAAATGGTCTTTGAGTTATGCTCCGGAAATAAAATGATTACGGACGATGGACAGACAGACAGACTAGGCAACGACTATATCCCCCCGCATTACATGCCGTGGGGATAATAATCGAGTCTGGACCAGACATACCAGTGATCAACAGCATGAGCATTGATCAACACAATTCACAAAAGTGTTGAATACAGTTTTACAATAATTCAGTTTTACCCAATATATATTTATGAAAAGGAAAGGAAGAATCTCCATGTATACAACCTAATTTTGAGATCACTTATCAGAAACGTAAGATGTATTTTCAGAGCTTTAGTATGTAGAAAATAACATCTGTATGTGTAATAAAACACTTAGTTTAAAACATATCACAATACTGATACGTGTATTGCAAACAATCTATTTCCCAATATAAAGCTGATAGGTGAATTTTTGTTGGAATAATAAATGAGTTTTAATATGTTTCTTTAATTGTATCGGAACATACTTGAATACATATCCAACTTCCACAAGTGGCACTGAAAGAAATTGTTCCTCATCGTTAAAATGTATGGGGGATACGGGCGGAAGTCTTACCATTGTTATTATTCAACAAGCGCAAATGTTAATTTTGCATCATATTATGATTTAATTTTTGAGTGACAACAAAAGCCCTTCGCACTTTTACAATCCGCATGATGGTTTATAATAAGACTCTCAAACCTCCACTTTTTCCATTTTATAATTATTACTGTCAGTCACCCATGTTCCACTTCAGAAACACCCACTTCAGTGACGATCCGATAACTCGAATGTCATGCCTCATACAATAAGCCAGTCACAAGCTGTCACTGATAACTCATATACCTCAGCAAAACTGGCCTCATCTTTAATTATCTACCTATAATACGCGGATCACAATATACAGCTGTCAACAAGCGAATAAGCTCTTATTCCATATCCCATTTCCTAGTTAGGTCGCTGGTAGGCGTTGCTACCCTCCTTTGCCGGCATTCACACGTACCTTGTTTCCATGATCCTCTGCCAAGAGGTCAGGACTGTCATCGATTCCGTCCTTAAAAGACAACAACAACACATTTTTATCAAAGTCTTACACAACATATTATAAACCTGGTAATAAAATGTCTGATAAGGTACCCGAAACAAGAAGCACACCCACCATCATGGCTGCAGCTTTTGTCACGTGACGAAATGAGTGACACAGAGCTATATTGTTATTTTCGTATTTTTGAGTCATGCTTTATCTGAAAGGATTGTGTGGAGATTTTAATTTATTGCAAAACACTGTTCACAAAGTACATGAAAAGGACATCGATTAGTGTATAGCTTCACCAGAATCTGCTAGAGTGGATTGAGATCACGCGAAATTCGAAGCAAGGGATCTACCATTATTTTTGCCTGCAAGGGAGCAGTCATTTCTTTCGTTTTAATGTTTCTGACAGGAAATCGACCCTTGCAACTAACGAAACCAAACAACTTTATCATCCTTCCAACACATGAAATACAGTACATGGAAATTTAAACACCGGGGAAGATGTATTTGCAACAGTGATTATATAGTATGACCAGAAATTATTGAGAATTTTAGGAATATGTTTAATTGGATTTCTAGTATAAACAACCTTGACCAGCTATCAAGTGCTTGGGTTCAATCAAGAGAGACAACTCCATTAATCCTTTTTCAATAGTTTGTGAACAGTTATCCCCCTTTGTTTACTTGCTAGCAGACGACATTTTCAGTGATCCTCAGTATGGATGATTTAGAGAAGAGGAAGTTGATTTTAGAGTATTATAACAAGGACATCAGATCAGCTAAAGTGATTTCAAGTAGAGCAGGCATCCCTTTGTCCACTGTTTATCGTGTTTTGAAAAATATTGCAAATGGATATGGCATTGAGCACCACGGAGGCGCAGGTAGGCCCAGAAAATTGACTGTCGGTGACAGGAGGCGGCTTGGTATTCTTGTTTCTAAAAACAAACGAAGGAGTTTAGAAAACTTAAGGCTGGATATGATTGATAGAGGAACTGTGGCTGTCTGTAAGGAGACAATTAGAACTGAGCTGCATGCAATGGGTTGGCAGAAAAGTCGAGGAATTCCATCACCGATCATGAAACCTGAACAAAAGGAGCGAAGGTAGAACTGGTGCTTACAGCATAGAAATTTGAACTGGGACAATGTGATTTTCTCAGATGAAAGTTCTGTGTGGCTGTTCCCTAATACACCGAAATTCTGGACCAAACAAACTGAAAAACTGAAAATATCTGTGTTAGGGGCAACGCCGCTCTATGTATTTAAAGGGAATATGAACGGTTAGCAGTACACAGATATTCTCGAGGGACATTTACTTCCATCTACTCACGTGTTCTATGGAAACTTTTGGATTTTCCAGCAGGACAACGACCCAAAACATCATTCAAAGCATTCACTGGCCTGGTTTCAGACCCAAAATATGACAGACTAGAATATGTTTGGAGACTTATGAAGGAAAGTGTCAATAAGAAAACTCTGACAAATATTGCTGAAATGAAAGAAGAGGTGGTCCGATATTGGGACAGCATGGACCACGACGTCTTTGATCAGTAGTATGCCCCGCCGCATTGAAGCCAGCATTGCTGCCCATGGTGACTTGACAAAATACTAACTGTTCACTTGTCTTTGAATCTGGAGTTATGTTCCGGTAATATTCACATTTAATACGTGAGTAATGAGTGAAATTTCTTTTAAAAAAATTACAATCTTAAATTCTCCATAATTTCTGGTTGTACTGTAGGTCTCATGAGGACGTTACGTGCCGTAAGCGAACGAAAACAAAACTGATGTTAACTGACTGACGTCATGCTTCGGTTGTAGCTAGTCTATAACTACTTAACCCTTGGGGTACGGTACTCAAATGACGTCACAGTTCATAGTAACATAACTCATTCTAGGTACTGATTCAGTTATTAATGAAACCATTTTGATACATATATTTCATGTCTTGTGGACTCAACAAATGTAATATCCTGCACCCGATGCACATCTCGCTTAGGTAATGATGGATAACACTATATATATATATATGTGAACAACTTCTTTATTACAAATGAGAGCGACGTACGTTTCGGTGTAGGTTCTAACACTGTCAACATCTTCACCGTCAAGGTGTGATTTTACGCCAAATGGAAACATAGAAAGTAGATAACGTATTGATTTAACATGCAAATATGCGGACCTCGCCTTTGTAATGTCTCGCTTGCATCCCAAGTACACTGTCCTCAGGTTCCTATTGAAGCCTTGGGTACCTCCTGATCTCTTGGCGCAGATTAGGAGTAAGCCTGGGTTCTCCATTGGGAGCACACCCCTTCTGACACTCTACGTAGAGCAGAATCCGGCAGTGTTGGGGAGTCTCCTTATTCTTTAGGAAAGTTCTTGTAATTTCGAGAAGGCAGCGCTTCCTGGGAGAAGTTGCATTCGCTGTCTGTGCTGCGTATAAAGAGTGCAAGGACCCTGAACTGATGGTGAGCTTCACCAGCATGGCTGTGCCAAGATCACCCGCACCCTCCGCATTGAGCAATTTAAATCTGTAAAGTGATTAACTAGGCATACCCTTTCAACACAGATTTCAAAGAATATGATGCGACTCTAGCTCTAACGTTGCTTGATCAAAGTTTCTACATTTAAGGATTCAGTAAACTTTTAAATAGGTTTTATGGTGAGCAGTTGGAGGACATTTCCAGATTGTCGGACTGATGACGGGAATAATGTCGGACGTCATTCCTTATTGCGACTTCTGCCACAGATTCCCGTGTTTTATATTCTTTGCGAGTGTTTGTGACGAGGAGACAGGATATTCTCACCTTTTGACCAACACATGGTTACATTATTTTTGACAGTGATTCACAGGCAAATGCTAGTACAATGAACCCAGCTTTCAGCAGAAATTTAGTCCCTATTCGCGAACACCTGTTATTATCAGACATTTTCAGGTATCTTGTATATATGTCCCACTGATATGTTTCGTTTCAAGGTCACGATGAATTATGACTGGCGTGTAGAAGCTTAGAGATTACGATGCTTATAAGTAAAGCAACACGTTTGGGAAGTAGATTTTGTTTCAACAACACACTAGGGGTCAGTGTTAACGTCTCGACCCAAACGTTTCTTTTATAGTTGATTTAGCATACTTACATATGCTACTGAGCTTGTGTTGGAAATCGGTGACTTTAATCGTCCAGCAGAAACATCGACCTAGTTGGAATAAAATGCGAAAGAATACCCAAGACAGACGGACAGCTCTACTTGATACACCCCATAAGCAACAGATCCGTGAAGCACACGCGGCTTCCTCCAGTGACAACTTAGCTTCACGACGCATCTGGTGTCACCAGTGTGGAGAACAGCTCGGTGGCTCCAAGTTAGTCTGTCAGCCTTAAATAATGCAAGTCTAGATTTCCTCAGGTTCTGAATCTCTGGTCTCCCTGGGGATCCTTTTCAATTTAAATGGGTTTGTTTGTTACTATCAAAATTAATATATATTCAGAGACTAAGCATTAGTCTAGTTCTAAGGAGCTGCACTAGGCCGAATATGTGGATCTCCCAAAACCTAAAAGACCCTAAGTTTGTCACAGGTAACCATGCTCAACTGATGTTACCTGTAGTTCGATCAGATTCCCAAAGGTCTCTAGTTTTGACTCAGTCACAGAACGCCTTACCCCAACAAACCTGTACTGGAATGCAGCGTCACGATGTCCTCCCCTCCCTACCAGAAAGACCTGTGATGTGGAATGGGTGGGGAGACACTTTCTGACTTCTTTTCCTCAATCCACAAAGATCTGTCCTGATCAGTGCAGAGTACCCTCCAGGATAATACCCCGACGTTTCAAGGAGCTGTTAAAGCTTACAGTACTCCATTGTTACCAGCTCCCTTAATACGGACGTAGAGAAGTGTTCAGCTGTACCTTGTGGATGAGAAAGTGGCACATGATTACCCGGTCTAGGTGCTTGTTTTGAGCACACTTTAAAGCCAAGATCAACAGAAAGACCACCTGACTGATTCTAATGCTTTGGTTACATCTACAATGGTGAAGGCACAGAATGGCTAATCCGCTCTTGTATGTCCGTGTGTCCTGTAAGATTATAACTGACAGTGTGGTGATGGAAACCTTCCTCACAAACTCAACCTGGGATTGCTCCACAGCTGGACCGAGGTCCTGCAATATACCTCTGTATAGTATACAGATACGCGAGACCATGTAGTGTAGCCCTGTATTGTGTGTACACAGTTGTACACAAGGCCATGTAGCAGTGCTGCATATACATGTATGTCTATACTTTATTTGTGTATATATCATATTGTAATGAAATAATAATACAGCTTTTACCATGATGTACAGAATAAATAAACTTGCTTTCTACTCAGCTCCTGGTTGACTTGTCTTTAATTCAGCTTTAATATTATTTAACTGCCTTTGGGTAGCTGTGGGGTAAGATTGTACAGCTTGGGTCACTCCTTTGTTTAAGACAGCTCACGCCTGATTGGCCTTGTTTAAAATACTAATGTTGAGCACTCCACCAGCACAGCACACAAGCCACTGTAGACTGAGACTGACCAGACGTTCCTACAGGTAAGTTATGTACTTTGTATGTTTTTACAATTATGTACTTAATCATTTATAGTAAAATCATAGGCAAGAGTTCCCCCGCTTGAAATGTATTCTATTTATTGGGATTATTTCGAAGGGTTTAGGTTTATGGTTAGGGTTTATGTTAAGGCTTAGGCTTTTTATGAAACAAAAACATAGGCCTATATTCTTAGGCATAGATTGATTAAAAAGAAATACGGGGGCTACGGGCGGTAATCTTTCCAAATTATGTTTTAATATTATCTACATTAATTAAATAAAACAGTAAATCTATTCATAATTTAATTCACATAAACGTCATCTTTTCACTTTCCTATTTCTGTCCTTGAGAATGAATGCAGTTGGTATAATCAACAGGTGCAGTCAGTCCGCGCCCCAGTACAACCCACAGGAGCGTTTGTTCTGACACTGACTCCCAAATAAATCATTGAAACTCAAACCCAACCTGTGTGTCATTACTGAACACTCCCCGGTTACATGGACACGAAACCATGTAGAAATGCCTGTTTTATATTGACACAGTTGTACACAAGACCATGCAGTATAGCCCTGTATTGTATGTACACGAGACCATGTAGTACAGCCCGGTATTGTATGGGCACAAT